TCGTATAAAATGTCCCCGTCCTATTTTCAACCCTCCCTAACCATAAATCTCATTACCAAACCAAATTTGTAACAAAAACAAAAAATAACACCGTCTCCAGCGTCGGAAGCCCGGCCCTTTCAGACGGTCTTGTTTACAAGGCCAAGAACAAAAACACATTCAGAAGTCAATAAATATTATTCTTCATGTCTCCTCAGGGGGAAATTCCCGGACCTCTTGGAATGCGAAAAGGAAAATGAAATGTATGGAATAGGGATGCAAGATAAGGAAATAAGAAACAGTTGCGTCATTCGGGATAGCAAAAACTTGAAACTGTTTGCCGAGAATCTAATTGTAAGCTCGCGACTTGCAGTAAGTAACAGCAAAGACCTTCAACTTACTAGTTAATGCCAACAATCTTTACGAGAGATTATGCAAAATCAGGAGAGACGGTAAGAGGAAAAATGAGTTTGCTGAATTCTTGGCGTACAGTAGGGGACCGGTTCCATGGCAAGAAAAGTACCATTTCGCATCCGGGAAGTATCAAAAATGTGACAAAATGCTTCCCTTTCCAAGTGAAAAAAAACTTCGTTTTGAAGAGCGCGCCTTTTCTCTCACAAAAAGAGCGAGCGCGCTTTTCAAATCGGAGTCTTTCACTTGGAAATGGAGGTATTTTGCCACATTTCTGACACTTCCTGGATGCAAAATGGAAGGTTTTTTGCCACTGGAAAGACTTAGGCATCTCATTTTCGGCAGGCAAAAATGGAGTATCTTAGCTATAATTTGATATAAATTTTTTAGAAATTGGCGGATTATTGGCGAAGAAAGCTTGAAATAAGTTTAAAACCTCGGGCTGAACCACTCTGTAAAACTTACGACCTTGTAGATGCTTCGGAAGAACAACTTGTGAATATTCATTTTTTGAGGCGATGCGACAGAGTTCTCATTATTTTCCCGACAGACTGAGATATACCTATTTTCATCCAAATCTAATATGTATATGTTCCAAATTTGGAAGATACCCTCTTTTTTGGCTAAAAAATTCCCAAAATTTATTACTTTTCAGCGATTTATAGAGTCATCGACACGAAAAAAAGATTTTGTAAACTAAATCCCATTAGTGGCAATATACATCTATAGAAAAAGATCTGCAACTCTCCAAGTTCATTTGCATCCAAATGAATCCTACTGTACAAAGCCCCTCTCTCACCCACCATTGCCTTTACCCCACCCAAAGTACTTCCAAAAATATCTCAAAAATCACATCCGCCCTTCCTCCGCCGCTCCTTCAATTAACCGAAATTAAAATCCACTTCCTTCGCGACTCCCCTGAGGCCCGCACCTTGGCCTTTCGCAACCGTATCAGCGCGTTATAAGGCTGATGGCTTCCGTCTTTCGGGCCGCCCGTTAAATGGATCGGAAAACGCGTTTGGCCGCGGGGCATTCGGTCCGTTCCTAATCGAGTATGCAACGAACTTGTCAGCGGTCGCCATTCCATTTTTAAACTTGAACGTGATAATTAAATTTGGATCGAATGTCAGCGGAAACGTTTAGACAATGGCAAGGGGATGGATGGAAAAAGAGAATGTCGCCTGTTGGAAGAGGAAGTATAGAGGAAGAAGTTATCTAGTAAGTATTAGGCGGCTACTGTAGTCTTTACGCTGCAAGGCACGTAACGTCAGCGAAGTTGAAGCCATTTCCAAGCCAAGATTTAAATGTGGCATTTCATCACAAATAGAATTTTGTGGAAAACCTATGACTGTTGTTTTCTTGGCTACAAAGCCTTGCTTTCTGGCCATCAAAATATGGTTCTAAATTTCCCTTGATTTCTTAAGCCTATTTTTGTCCTCCAGAAAATTCTTCCGAAAGATTAGGCATCTAAAATGTTTTAGTCAATCGATAGAGTGTGGATGAAACGCCAAAACAGTTCAGGAAGGCGCAGGGTTGACGCTTTCAGCTAAAATATTTATAAATTAATTTGCGGCCTATATAAAGCAGTCTGCTTGTCTGTAGAGTTAAAGCATGATTTCTGAGTGAGTGTAGCAGCCTATGACATAGAAACAGTGCTACAGGCACGGAAAGTGTTCACTTGACCTTCTGGAAAGTCGTCAGACTGATCTTTGGCGTTTGCACTGTGCGACGAAAGTCAGGGTGTGAGCGACAGCCCATGAATGCCTATTGCACAGTGCTAGAAAAACTTTTGTTTTCGCAAGGTGACCCAGAAAGCTTTAGTTATTTTAGGTGATCAGAAAGTTTTGTCCACCAATTTTTGGAAAATCTGCATAACTTGCCTAAGGACAGAGACACGAAAAAAATTTTATGTGGCAGATTCAGCCTGTCATGACTAGTATACATGCCAAGTTTCAAAGTGATTGCCTTATATTCACTTGAGATATGGGTGGTCAGAAATTTATGTCCGGGAGTATACAAAGTACGGTCGTCTCTGTAAAGACCGTTGAATATCCCGGTTGCCCTGGAAAGCGCGAGACAAAACTTTCAGAGACTGGTAGTGGCGTAGAGCCTAAGCAAGTGAAAACTTTTTTTATGAAGGTCAGAGCGTCACACTTTGGGTACTTCCGTGAATTTGGGGCAAGTTTTATCAAGATTTGAGCGTCGCAATTGAAGCACTTCCCTACTGAGCGATATACGTGTAAACCCGACTCTCTTTCCACAAATTTCTTCAAGTTAATCGGCGTAGAGAAGTGTATGTCCTCTAAAGCCCTCAACTTCTCTCCTCTCACATTAGAATTCCAACTATATCGTTAGACCTTTTACTGTTAGCACCTCGCCAAGCCATTGGGCTTTTTATTGTTTTTTAAAAATGGTCCCCATTATTATGGATGAGACGTCAAAAAACCAGTAAAATTAAACATGTATACAGCGTCCTAAACCCCCTCAAAGCCCGATGATCGTATCAAAATGCAAGATGTTCGACCAAACAGATGTGTAATTAACAAATCTCGAAATCAGAGGTGTAATTAAATTCGGCCGAGCACATGTTCGGCTAAAATTAACTTTGAATCATCCAAAAATCTGTCGGAAATAACAAAACACCAGAGTTCCGAGATTTTTAAACCCTCCAGAATAATCGAAAATCCCTTCTGACACTGCTTTTATATAGCGAAAACATCAAGTTATTTATGGCACTGTGTGTCAGTGAAAAATGGGGGAGGAAATAACAGGAAGGAGGGATGTTGCAATCTGGAACTACAACATACTAACGAACAGCGAAGAGGAAAAATCAAAGAGGAGCTACGGTAAATTGGAGCAGATTTTGAGTGTAAAAATAAGGTAATAAAAACGGCAATTAAGCATGTGCAAAGGTGGAAAGTGTCCATAAAAGAAAACGTTATTTGAGGGTTATGAGTTCAGTTCAAGGAAAAAATATTTATATCTGTCTGTCGGGAAAATAATGTGGATTTTTCGAAGCAAAATTTCTCGGCTCTTCGCACACCAAATCGCCGCAGCCATCATAAGCCGACGATAGGCGATTTTAAGACTCGACAAATCCACATTATTTCCCCGACAGACTCATATTTTTTTCTTGGACTTAACTCTTGACCCACAAATCACTTTTCTTTCATGGATGATCTCCACTCTGTACGTATAGTAAATACATGTAATTTATAAGTCCTGTAGACTGGTTGTGGCAGTCAGATTTCTTTTAATTTTGCATTGCGGTTCTGAACGATCCTGAAAATTTTGTGTTCTTCAAAAAATTTAGCGGCCGGATTACTTAACGGTCTTGTTTTTGAGAGAGCACGCGAAATGAGGAGAGTCGGACAGATTAAAAAACTTTTTGCTCGATACTTTTTTCGGCCGGAAAGTTAAAAATTTTTGAGCAAAAAATTGAAGCTTTTGTGACAACTTATAATCAATGAGGAGAGTTGGGCAGATGAAAAAAAATTTTTTGCTCACCACTTTTTTCGTCAGGAAAGTCAAAAATTTTTGAGCAAAAAATTGAAGCTTTTGTGACAACTCATAATCGAAAAAATCATGGTGGTTTCTGTAAGATAGCATTCTGGCATATATGTTGGACAATCGTGCTCTAAATTTGAGCCAATTTTCATCCAATTCTATCTTCGCCATGTCAAAATTTCGATTTCCCTTGTTATACCAGATGTCGTGTACAATATAAAAAAGCTATAAAGTATCCAAAAGGCATATCATCCTTTTTTTTCACTCTGTAAACCTAAAAAGCCTCCCTCTTTTTGCCATCAACGTTCCTCGAAAATCGACTTCCCTCTACTGCCCCAACCCAACTTGAGTTGTCAAATTACCGTTGACAAACCCTCTTTGTTGCCAAAATTTCAAATTTTGCATGTCAATTAAAAATTGCGCCCTCCCACAACGGGCCCTCAAGGGAATGCAGCAGAAATGTAATTGAGTTACACTCCCTTTTACTTCCAGTGTAAAAATTATTATTTTTTTTTGTGAGCGACGAGATTCCTACGGTCGATGGCTGTGGGCTTTGAATATTCATAAAGTTCCTGGAATGAGGAGATAATAACGTTAAAAAAAGAGACTCTGCGGCCAACATTTTGTTGATGAATCTGATTTCTGTGACCCCTGCAGTAACAAGGAAAGTCATTTGAAGAGTATTGTACAGTGATCCAGTGGCAAAAAACGTACCATTTTGCATCCGGGAAGCATAAAAAATGTGGCAAAATGCCTCTCCAAGTAAAAAACTTCGTTTTGACGGGCGCGCCCTTTCCCCCACAAAAAGAGCTGCCGCGCTATAGAAATCGGAGTTTTTTCACTTGGAGAGGGAAGCATTTTGCCACATTTTTGATACTTCCCGGATGCAAAATGGTACACTTTTTGCTACTGGCTCAGGTCCCCCACTGTAAGTGGACAGTGTTTTTAGAAATAAACCTCGTTCTGATGCCCATTTCAGAGCTCCTCAAACACTGCTTTAGAGTTAAAAAAAGGTTGTAAAATGACCTTTATGTATGCAAAAAAAATATTTTTTTAGTCTTATACCTTATCATTTATTAACTGTTCACTTCCCCAAGAAAACCTTAATCAGAGTCAAAATATTTGTCTTCTTCATCCTGCTCCTTCATTTTTGCGTATTCTTCGGACTCCTCAAGTTGATTATAATCATAAAATTGAGTGTCCTTCCCTTCCAAAAATCGCTCTTCCATGATTGATTTGAACTCCTCGAGTCGTTGGTCATGTTCCATATCCTCGGAGGAATTTCGTGAGACGTTGTCGAGCTGTTTTTCATCGGAAACGTCTAATCTGGACATCTGATCCGCTGTTTTTTGGTCGTTTTCGTCTTTTTTCTTGGCTTCCAGATCGAATTCTGCAATGAAAAAAAAGAATAAAGGATAAAACGACATAAAGGTTACTCAAATAAACTGTAAATCTATGAAAATCCATGATATTATGTTATACTTACTATCTTGTACTTGCCGATCTTTTCTTTGCTGCAGAAGTCGAGCCTGCCTCTCAATCTCGGCATTTCTCCCCTCATCATCGTCAGAGTCAAACTCCACTTCAAATTCATCGTCCTCATGCTGTTCCACATGATGCAGGAACCGGTCCATGCCATCATTCTTCATGATCCTCTCGAACTCTTCTAAATGCCTTTTTCTTTTCGCCAATGACTCTTCCGAACAACACTGTTCGTATTCGCCCATGTAGTCAGAGTAATCAGCTCCATCCATCAGTTCTTCAGTTGGTCGGAGTGTTATCTTCTCTAAAAATGAAAGAAATAAAGCAAAATTTATGCTAACCTTACCATCATCGCGAAGGTGTCCGCCGAGCATCAAATCGAAGAGCGCTGGATCTCGCTCTCGCATTTTATCCAACGAAAAATACTCTCCTTGGCCCTTCAGCTTCTGCATCGCCAAGAACCTTTGATTTCGAAGGTCTCTGCTCTTCTCGGAACTTAATTTTGCCTTTCGAATCATGTCAAAGTACATCAAATTAGTTGAATCATCCGAGAAAAGTGAAATATCACCTAAACATCAATGTAAAAAAGATTTTAAATACCTACCTTCATCTAAATATCTGTGATACCTTTGGAGAAATAAGCTGGGGTTCGAAATGAAGAGGTTTTCCAAGATTTTCAGCCTCTCTTCATCCTCAAGATCAGGCTCATCTTTCTTCTGATGTCGATAAAAAACGTCAGATAGTCCTAGGATTTTTGTAAAGACTTCTTTGATTTCTCCGGTTGACGAAGACGGCTCCATCGTAATTTACAAAAAAAATTTTTTGGAAAAAATATTTATTTGACACTTCGCCTTGTAGCAGAATGTCATAATTGATTGGGGCCAAATCTGGTGTCTCGAAACGGCGATTTGCAATCATTTTCAGCGTTCAAACTTGTTTGTCGCGCTTCGGAGGCTGATTTTCTGCTCGTTCATTCTTTTTTGCTTCTGGATTGGGGTGAGGTCGGGATCAAATCCAGCCTCCCACATAGAGAATACTAGCACAACATTCTAATCGACTCACTTCGACTAAATCAACATGATGCTCCGTTCTCGCAACACCATCAACCAGAATGGCGAGGGAAAACGTCAGGTACTGAAGTCTGTGACCTCGAAGCACAAGAATATTGATGTTTCTGATCAGCCAAAGATGAAGAGGGCGGCTCTTGGAGATATTACATCTGTAAGTAGTAGAGATTGAATTTTTTGGTGTGTCCTATCTTTTAGATGCTTATCAACATTTCTCGTCGAGTGGTTGAGCCTTTATTTGCTTTAGGCATCTTTTGGCTAAATTATATTACACTTGATACCTATTTTTGATGTTAGTGTTTCGGGAGTATTTGAGTGTATTATCTGTTTGGAAATGGCTCGAAATGATAGTGTATGCATCTAAAATATTTATTTGCAGGGTCTCTCGTCATATCAGATCGATTCCACGAAGAAAAAATGCACTTCCGTGACCTTCAACCTCAAGGTGGAGAAGGTCGAACGCCTTCTTTCGTTGAAGGATGTGGAAGAAGCGGAGGAGCTGGAAGTCGACCCATGCCCTGAGGTCGACTTTGACAAGGAGAATGCGTCCGATCCGTATGCCGTTTCGGACTTTGCTGCCGATATCTTCAAGTACCTCAAATCGAGAGAGGTAGGTCTAATATAACTGTGATTTTTACATGCTATTTGCGTCTGATTGGCTGATGGGGTGCTTTATTGCAGCCTCTTTTTATCCCTGGCCGTTACTCAGTTCAACACAAGTTCCTGGACATGAAGAATCGCGCAATTTTGGTGGATTGGCTGATCGAGATTCAGGAGGCATTCGAACAAAATCATGAGACCCTTTATATGGCCGTGAATCTGATGGATCGTTTCTTCACCAACTGTCGGGTCCTCCGGAAGGAGCAGCTGCAGCTGGTGACTACTGCCGCTGTGTTGGTGGCTTCAAAAGTTGAGGTAAGGAGTGAGATCAATTATAATATAATTTTTTGTCGTGGACAGTGTTTTGAGGAAAAATTCGAGGGGGGGGGTTATCATTTATTAGAGTCGTGGATGGTTTCCGGAATTAATTGTAGCTTAAATAGAGGGGTAAGATGGGACCGTAACACATTTTTTTGACGGTGCCGCTCGGTCTAGTATAAGGTCGGAGACTTCAATTTTTATCAACTTCCCTATTTCAAACACTTTCAGGAACGGTGTGCCCCACTCATTGATGATCTGATCTATTTGGTCAAGGACGCGTTCGACGCCAAGACCCTCAAGAGAATGGAACAAGAGCTCCTGGTCACCATCGGCTATGATATCTGTTCGCCATTGTCCTACTCGTTCCTGAGACGCTATGGACGCGTGATCAGGTGTGATATGCCTTTGCTGACTCTGGCCAGATACATTCTTGAAGTTTCGTTGCATTTCCTCGACTTTTGTCGAGTGGCGCCGTCCAAAATGGCCGCCGCTTGTCTGCTGTTGGCCATGAGAATGACCAACGCTGGGGAATGGAACACGGTGCTGTTGAAGTACTCGGGATACACGGCGGAGGATCTGGAGGCGTTGAGTTGGTCGTTAAACCACATGCTGAAAGTCTACAGACAACGCTTTCCGGAGATCAAGATGGTTTGGGGGAAATATTCTCATGAGTAGGTTTTGTTTCGATGGAGAATGTACAGTAATCTTATTTCCGTGGAAGTACAGCGGACCTGATCCAGTGGCAAAAAACGTACCATTTTGCATCGGGAAGGTATCAAAAATGTGGCAAAATGCTTCCCTCTCCAAGTGAAAAAAACCGTTTACGGAGTGCGAGTGCGCTTTTAATCGGAGTTTCTCACTTGGAGAGGGAAGCATTTTGCCACATTTTTGATATTTCCCGGATGCAAAATGGTACGTTTTTTGCCACTGAATCAGGTCCCCCAGTATCTGTACATGTTGTATTATACCTCATGTATAATGTATGAAAAATTTCAGAGTATTCTTTGAAGTGGCCAAGACCCCGATCCTGAAGGACAGATTCCGTGCTGACGCACCAATTGGCCCTCCCAACAAGGACATTGCTGATCACTCGAACTTGGAACATTAGTACTTTTTGATTAACTTAATTAAACATAACTGACGCCTTAATTATTTTTATCTCCCTCTATTTCTATTATATTTATTCCAGGCATTCTTCTCTCACTTAATACTTATTCATACTACATAATAATCTCAAGTTCTCATCCAATCTCCAGCCTTTTTCCTTGTTTTCAATCTGATGTTATACTACCCTCGAAATCTTTCCGAAAGATCTCACTATTATTTCTTTATTGTTGTAATAATTGCGTTAATAGTAGAGTAAACAGTTTGGCACAGGACTGAAGTATTCTCCGCTTATAGTGTTACACTGTTTATTAGATATCTATACTCTTTTCTGACTATGAGGTTATCTTGGGGAAATCACAATCAAAGCTTTTGGAAGTCAATGTTGCCTGAGGGGTAGAGGATATCATATCGGCTCTCGATCAGCTGCAGTTCCTTTTCTTTGGCCGAGGGATTGGCGGAGAGGGCTAAAAGAAGTGTAATTTTATATTGGACTTGGCAGTCTACAATGGGGAACCTGATCCAGTGGCAAAAACGTACCATTTTGCATCCGGGAGGTATCAAAAATGTGGCAAAATACCTCCCTCTCCAAGTGAAAAAACTCCGATTTCAAAAGCGCCCTTCAAAACGAAGTTCTTTCACTTGGAGAGGGAGGCATTTTGCCACATTTTCGATAATTCCCGGGTGCAAAATGCTTCGTTTTTTGCCACTGGATCGTGTCCGTCGGTGTAACTTTTTTTGCCCATAATTTTTTTCCCCCAAATCTGACCCCTCAAACCCACAATGAGCCTTTTCGTAGGTCCTCTTGAGTAACGCCTGGATCGACTGTAAGGCTTTCTCCACCGATTCCTTGAGATCTTTCGTGTCTTCGATCCAGACCAACAAAAGACTTGCAAAAATATCGCCGGTTCCCACATAACTGTGAGGCAATCTGGGTAATTTGAACAGGTGTTGGACAATCTCTCCTGAGGGCAGCTTCTGTGATGTTAATCCGATCAGTTTGCTCTCATCTCCGGGGACATTACTCGATACCACAACCATCGGGATGTTATACTTGGCATGCAGGTATTTGGTGGCTTCTTGATAGTCTTCTATTGTCTTGCAGTCTCTTCCAGTCAACTCTCTGGAAAATATAAGTCATAATCATCGTTGAGACAGCAAAATTTTCCACAAAATCGAAGGGAATGTGGTATAAAAAAGATTATATTGCACTTACCTCAACTCAAATGCATTTGGAGTCAAAATATTGGCATGCTGGATCACATGGTCGCGATATACCTCCATCAGCTCTTTTGGGGTGTACTGCAAGTCGTTGTAATTATAACCACAAGATTTGACTTACATATCCAACGCCGTCATCGCCCATTACGGGATCACAGACGTAGACCAGGTCCGGGTTCTTTTTCTTTTGTTCCTCGAGGAAATTTCCGATTTCTCGCAGGAAATTTGGGTCTCCACAGTAGCCTAGACATTTCTTTTTATTTTACCAAAAAAAAGAGGTCAAAGAATTTCAAAAATTTTCGCTTACCAGTCAAAATATGACTGTAGTCATCCAAATTATTTATTTTTAGGCCCTCCAAAAGCTCCTTGATGTCCTCACTGTTGAATCTTTTGCCGCGAATTCCATTCTTATACGCTATAAAGGGCATATTACTCTATCTTATCCCGTATTCTCACCAGTATGATTCGAGAATTGAACTGAATTCATAACATCAGTTTCAAATCCATGTAATTGTAATGGGAAGACAGCCGACTTGTTGCCCGCATATCCCGAAACGACATGGCTCTGGATGCTAAGAACGCGTGTTTTGGGCCGCGAGATCTTCAAACGATCGGCCATGGCTGAAAAAAGTGCATGTAACGAAAACGTTATACAGTGCTGGACAAAATTATAACTATGTTTACAATCTCACATGGATTAGGCCCTTCGGCGTCAGACGTCATTTTATTCAAAAAGCCGCGGGAAAAGATGTTCTTGACATAAGTTGAGAACTAAAAATGGGAATTTTCGAACATTTTGGGCTAAAACAATATAAAAAGTAGTTAATACCTGAATCTGTTGACTCTAAAATGAGATATTCTCGCTACAAACCGCTTCTAAGATACCATTTTACATTTACGTAGATATTTTTACATTTTTGTCTAGTATAATACAATGCTGGACAAAATTATAACCGCACTTTAAAAATTGCTGTAGCTTTTTTGGTTGTCAATAGAAATGTGTCATATTTAGCACCAATATTCATTAGTGTGAAACAAATCATGTGTCATAAAATTATTATACCAGTCAATGATTCGTAGCACACTAGTGCATATTGGTGCCAAATATGACACATTTCTATTGACAACCAAAAAAGTTACAGCAATTTTTAAAGTGTGGTTATAATTTTGTCCAACACTGTATTATACTGGACAAAAATGTAAAAATATCTATGTAAATGTAAAATGGTATCGTAGAGGCGGTCTGTAGCGAGAATATTTCATTTTAGAGTCAACAGATTCAGGTGTTAACCGATTTTTATATTATTTTAACCCAAAATATTCGAAAATTCCCATTTTTAGTTCTCAACTTATGTCAAGAACATCTTTTTCCCGCGGCTTTTTGAATAAAATGACGTCTGACGCCTAAGGGCCTAATCCATGTGAGATTGTAAACAAAGAGAGAAAAAACGATTTATAAATGGGCGGTCAGAGGTCGACCTCAGTACAAAGCAGAGACCAAAAACCAAGCAATGCTATAAAACCATTAAAGTTTACAAAACTACTTTATTTTGGGCTTATACAATCATCAAATTGGTCTTCTTCAAAAAACTCTAGCGCCTTGTAATATTTCTGATTAGTAAAACGAAGAAAATATCAAAACATATTACTCATCAGACTGAATCAGTCGAAAACAACCCTTTTATACATTCCTTTTGGCTACAAAATATATTTACAGTGCCCTACGAGTTCTGATTTTAGCCACCATCAAACAAAATTGCGAATTCTCCGCGAATTCTGAAAGCTTGAAGAGCTGTACCTACTACAATATAAAAAAAAGTCGTAAAGGATCGTAAAAACCCCGTAGTGTTGCAACTTGTTATCAGACGGTTTTGTTACTTCCGACTTGTCATTTTACATGCGATTTTAAAGTCAGACCCCTTATCTTAAATTAACCTTCATTTTGCCTACTGTAATATAAAAAGTGCCGTAAAATAAAAAAAACGGACCGATAGCCTCTACAAATAATTTAAAACAAATATTCAGCTTAAAATATGTGAAAATAGGCCAAAACTCCTGCTTGAAGCAAGGATAATGTTTTTAAAAGCCGACAATCCTTACCGACCTTGCTTCAACGGTGATAATAGACTAGAAACTACATTAACCACGTATTATGATAGAGATTTCCATAAATTTCAAAAGGATTCTTGCAAAATTTACAAAAATTGCAGGGGTGGTCAGCAGACCCTATTTTTCCGATTTTCGGCCCGCGGCCCGGCCCGTCTAATCACCGGCCCGGCCCGGCCCGTCTAGTCTTTTTCCAGGCCCGGCCCGGCCCGGCCCGTGCAGGCCCGTCTATAGAGGGTTCTGCGAACTGCGCCCAGGCTCGGGATCTAAACTGAGGCAAAAAAGGCGTTGATCTAGCTAGTAAAGGATCAATGTGATAGTTTTGTGGTTCTATAATGGAACTATAGACTTGTAAACGTGTTAGAACTTGAGAAACAGCAACTATAACAACATCAATTAATTTTCCCGGCGTGAAAACAATGAATGCCAACGGTTTGGCATTGTATTTTAGACGGGCCGGGCCGGGCCGGAAAAACCCCAGGCCCGCGGCCCGGCCCGGCCCGGCCCGTGACGGGCCCGGCCCGTTTGTCAATTTCCATTTTTGAGGCCGGCCGGCCCGGCCCGCCGACCACCCCTGAAAAATTGTTTTATGAGCAACACTTGACTCATTTCTGAAATGGGTCAAATGTTTCTCTTCTTATAAACATTTTTTTTGTTCTGCAATTTCAGCTAGCTAACATTGAACTTGCCGTTTTTATCGTACTTTGAGAGGTTTATCAATTAGTTTATGAAATTTTAGGCATGTTATTATTTTTTTGGACTAGTTTTGAGCAGTTTAGTTATGTTTTCTTTGATTAATGTCTAATACAATATAAATTCTCCATCCTCTTCGCGTTGTCAGTGTTTTGCCAGCTCATGAAGTTAATTAATACTTGTCTTTTATCTTATTCTTCTTTATTTTAGACGGGGAGCCGTAGATTGCTTCCAAATTTAGCTCGTTTCCTCAAGAATGGGTTCAATCTACTACATCTTCGTGATAAACCGAGCCGGCTCCCTAATTTATGACTATGAAAACCATGAGAACGACGAGAAAGTGATTGATCGCACGTTGACATGGCCAACTGGAATGGTAATAGAATTAATTGATCAGAGGCCGACAGTCGTATTTGGAGAAAGAGATGGAGTTCGGACGAGATTTTGGGTTAATTCGGTGAACGGAAAACCCATAAAGAGTGAGTGTTCTGTTTTTTATGTTCTTTGTTTAGGTCCAAAGATAACTATTGAGAACACTTAATTTCCTTTTTTGTCATGAAAACCCCAAATTTTGATATCAGTTATATTGCACTTGGCAATTTCAGACAATCGCTTCACAGACGAAGATGAGGTGGAACGAAACTTCATCGACTATATCAACGATGAAGCCAACTATCCAGTCCGGCTCTCCTTTTCTCCTCCATCCCTCACAGCGAACGAAAAAATAATTTTATCTTCAATGTTCCATTCCCTCTATACCATTGCCAGTCAGTTGAGCCCCGTGGTCAAAAGCTCAGGAATAGAAGTTCTGGAGACTTCCCAGTTTCGCCTACATTGTTTTCAGACCATGACTGGCATCAAATTCATAGTGGTTGCATCTCCAATCATCGATCGACCGGTGAATAAGCTGCTCAGAAGGATCTACGAACTATACGCAGACTTTGCGCTGAAGAATCCTTTCTATTCGATTGACATGCCTATCAGGGCGGACAAGTTCAATGAAGCCATTAGGAATGTGGTTCAACAGCATGAGAAACAGCCAGCCGTTCAGAATGTGTAGATCATCATGGATAATATTGAAATTCTCGGCGGTTCTGCACGGAATCGTGTGATTTATGTTGCCTTATGTAAATTTGAGGGCTGACAGCTCCTTATGAATGCCAAATCTCTACGGGTGACTTTGTAATTTTATATTGTTTTTGATTTGTTTGATAGGTCGATTGTTTATTGGTCATAATTTATATAAATAAAAGTATTATAGGTAACTTAGGTTATGATTAGGATTTTGGTTGATTGACCATTGATATTGAAGAATTTTAGTCAAGACTTTTGGTGGAATTATCTTATTCTTGACTAGTAGGTAGCCATGTCAGAAACAAGTGGAGCTCTGGGCCATATGATCATTCAAGAAGGAAATGTTGTCAAGGTAAGAGGATTTTCTTTTGTTTCGTTTTGGTTTTAGTGTTAGCGTCAACCAGAAACAATAAAAATATACGATATTACACTTGCCATTTGCAGGCGGATGGAGAACTCGCTAATGCCGAACGTCTGGCCTCTCTGATTCAACGGATTGCCCTTGTTGGCGGTGGCTCCGAACTCCTCAAAGACAGTGCTGGCTTCGAATCCTTGACCCTCGCTTTCCCCACCTACCAATTGGTCATAACAAGGAATGGTCAGCAAATTGTGGTTGTCAAAAGACCTCCAGAGCCCGGAACCGAAGACATTTTAGGTACAAATTCGTCGCTTTGAACAGTCCCACATGTGGTATGTATTCTACGGTGATATCGCTAAAAAATGCCTCCGAATTCCAAATATTTTCCACCAATTATATTGATTTAGCCTTAAAACTTTGTAAATCGTCTAATAAACAGACAAAATCAAAAAATTATAGAATTTTTGGTAATTTTTAGAGGAAATAGGATGAATACAAAATAATGGAGAGGGTTTTTAGTCAGTAACTTTATTTTGTTATCTAAAATTATCAGTATTATCATCCATGTGGACTTATTTCTTGGGGCAGATCCCCGTCAATTTGCAGATCTGACCCGAGTGCTTGCTTATCAGAGTGCTCATGTATTTGCGGTCATCTGCATCGGGCGTGCAATCCATGGCGAAGGAGTGGACTCCCACTACTTTATAAGGGCCCGTCCCTTTTCGAGCAATCACTCCGCCTCCACTGTCTCCCTGAAAAAAATGTGGGATAAGAGCTTTGCAGGAGACTTGATTTGTTATCTAAAATTAAGAGGGTTTCCGGGTAAATTCAAATTTTTTTCGGCCATGATGATCGGCCACGCTTTTCGGACATGGCAATTTTTTCTTCTGCACGGTACAGGTCTCACAATAAGCAAAAACTACACCATTTGCGAATGGTTCTTTCCATTGTGCCGTTTAGAACACGTCTTGTCCTGTTTTGAGCTCTACAAGTTGCGAGACATGAAAGTTGGTATGGCCGAAATGCGTGGCTGAGCATCATGGCCGAAAATTTTTTTAATTTACCCAGAAACCCTCTTATTTCCGTGGAAGCATAACGGACCTGATCCAGTGGCAAAAAACGTACCATTTTGCATCCGGGAAGTATCAAAAATGTGGCAAAATGCCTCCCTCTCCAACTAAAAAACTCCGATTTAAAAGCGCACCCGCTTTTTTTATGAGGGAAAGGGCGCGCTCTTCAAAATGGAGTTTTTTCACTTGGAGAGGGAAGCATTTTGCCTCATTTTTGATACTTCCCGGATGCAAAATGGTACGTTTTTTGTCACTGGATCACGCCGACCACTGCAACCGCTTACCCCGCAAATCCTGGCTTTGTTGTCCTCGGATCGGGTTGTCAAAATATCCGGCTTGAAGTAGGAAACAATCTTGGTCACAAAGTAATACAGTCTCGACGCCAAAGATTCGGCGGAAACCCTGCCAAATCCAGTGCTGTAGATCTTGTATTCATCCTTGTGATCAAGATCGGGCTCATTTTTGCTGGGAAGACAGGCAGGTCGGAGAGTGGGCGAGAACTAAAATTAGAGGTGATTAAGCCGGATTGAAATATTTTGTCGTCCAGAAAGTTCGTTCGTTTTTCATTGCTTTGTTTTACAAGGATTGTTTGTTCTTTGGCAAATGGGATATATTTATTTGATACTCTACAAGACTGGCTGTATCAAATAAATATATACCATTTGCCAAACCACAAACAATCCTCGTAAAACAAAGCAATGAAAAAAACGAGCGAACTTTCTGGACGACCTAACAATTATGACGTTATGACAGATTTTTTACGTCATCCTTGACGAGTTTACTCACTTTTACGGGCTCATCCAGCTCTGCAATGGCTAGATCATCTCCTTTGACGCAATTTTCTCGATTAAATCGGTCCAAAACTGCAAATTGCTTGACTTTTCGTCGAATAACATCGGTCTCTCCGCAAGCTTCGGAGGTACGAAGACAAACTCCACCCAAATTCACTGTGATTTCATCGAGTGTCTTCTCACTTGGACCTCTAAAATTAAATAGTTTTTTTGAATAAATTTTGAATCAGTGATTCAGTAGGAAGCCGCTAATTCCGTACTTACTTGCAAGGCAAATTGAGATCCGAATAGCTGAAGAAACAGTGGGCGGCGGTGATAATGTGACGGTCCGAAATCAACGTCGCACTGCAGAAGGCGGACGACTTGCGTTTGGTTCTAAAAAAATTGAGTTTTGAAGTTCAGTTTATAGAAAATTTAGTTGTATATATTTATTTGGTTTTTTTCGGCTTCATAGAGGTCAAAAAAGGGTCAATTGGACCCAACTATGATATCAAAAATATCTTTATTGCAAACCCCGCTTTGTGGATCTCCTAAAAGCAGCTTCAAACTCACTTCGCGAGGGCCACAGCCCACGGGAATTGTCCGGGATCCGCGGATTCTCCGTTGTCGATCATGAGTTTGAACTTGCGTTTGGGCCTTTCGAATCGGCCACAAATTTGTTGTAACTGGGCATTCTGGGCGGCGCTGAGTCGTTGGATCTGTTGAGTGGCACTCGAACTCAACACAAACTTGGCCTTGGCCGCAGCCGAGGGGATGAAAAGGGCCAACGACAGCCAGCACACCACCGATCTCATGACGACGGGGAGGGGAGAATGGGCATTTTGTGGAGCGATTTCTGTGGTTGATTCGGTAAAAATTTGGGGAGAAGGATAATAAAGAACTAAAGACGGATGCTGAGAAAGTGTTTGATATATTTATTTGAAAATTTTGCTACTTTTTCAGTCGATAAAAAGGTCGAAAATGAGATCAAAATGAGCCCGAGTTTGGTATCAAAAAGTATCGCAAGGAAACAAAAAGAGTTAGGCTTTGGGAAGGTTGTCGTGAGATCTTTTGAAACGCAGAATGTCTCTGAAAACAATGATCTTCAAAGCCAGCAATCTTTTTGCTTCTCTGCGATACTTTTTGATACCAAATTCGGGCCCAGTTTGATCTCATTTTCGACCCTTTTATCGTCTGGAAAAGTAGCGAAATTGGCAAATAAATTCTGCAATTACGTTTTTCTGGCTTGAGGTTTCTCCTTGAGCTGTTGCTGGACAATTACCACAATAGTTTTCGTAATTTGTCATCTCTAATTCACTCTAAATCATCTACAAATCTTTTCGGTTTCGGGGTTTATTGTTATTAAACGGATATATTATTAAATGAACAAGAAATCACAGGATAAATACATAATAATTAGACGGATATGTGAAAGACAATGAGATGCAGTTATATAATCTCCAAATGAGACAGTTACGAAAAATAAGACGTTATATACAAATTAGGAATAATCAAAGATATAGACATATTGAAATTGAAGGCCTAGTTGGATGAAAATGTACAGAAAATTGAAAACATAAGTGTAAAATTTATATTACATTAGCTGTCCAGGGCTCGAATTCTCAGCGAAATTGCGGGCCGGCTTCGTTTCGAGATCGGGGAACAGACATTGTTATTGGGATCGGAGTCCATGGAAATTTTGTCGGAGAGCTGAAAAAAAGAAAAATTAGTAAAAATAATGACAAAAATAGATTTTTTTCGAAGAAAAATTAACTTACACCTCTCAAAGAGAGCCTTTTTGGTCGGAGAACTGGCGAACAAGCACTTTCGGATGGCAGAGTTGGGACGGAAGTGTTCAATTTGTCGGCTGCGGCAAGCTGGAATACGAAAAAATTAGTAAAAATATCGAAAATTAAAAAAAAAAAAACAAAAAAAATGACTAAAAAGGTAAAAATCAACTTACACTTCTCAAGGAGACCCTCTTTGGCGCAACTTTCGTTGTCTTGGTGACATATTCGTCCTCCAAAATCCATCGCCGATGCTCATCACTTCCAGTCACTTCGTCTTGGCCATAATCATCACCATTCTTTAGGATCAGCTCGCTTTCGTATTGAGTTATTTGTTCATCGCTCAGAATGGGTCCTCGTCCACTTTCGGTCTGGTTCTTGACGACATTCTCGTGTAACAGAAGGTCTCTAGCGGCTGGTCGAGCCTCATGATCATGGTCCAACATTTTGCGGAGGATTTGGCGAAGGTCTACGGAGATTTTGGCCAAGAAATTGTCCAAATTTTCCATTTCCAACTCCTCTGGCTCGGACGGTCGGCCAATCAAAAAGTTGAGTAGAGTGGCTCCAAATGCGTAGATGTCCGTCTTGTCGCAAAAGATGTGCTTGAGGATGCATTCCGGCGCGGAGTAACGATCATCGCCTCGGGGCAAGGTCTCGGCAAAGGCTTCCGAATACTCTTTCCATTCGATGCTCACATTGAAATCGGCCAGTTTGTAGATTCCATTGGGCGCCACGAGGATGTTGTCCGGCTTCACGTCGTTGTGAATGACTCCATTGAGATGCAAATGGGCCAACGCTTCTCCAACATCCGCCAAAACTCTCCAGGCATTCAGCTCCAGTGCTTCTCCTTTCTCAACTTTCATCACATAGCTCAGCGGATAGGTGCAGATTTCCAAGACCATAAAAATAAACTCTGCCTCCTTCCAAGCGCCGTAGAATTGGATGATCTTTGGGTGAGCCAGTTGATGGAGAATCTCGATTTCCGGCATGGTCTTGGAGCATTGATGGAGGGCCTTTTTGACAGCGAAGAAATTGCCGGTTCTCTTGCACTTGGCTCCATAAACTTGCCCGAAACTTCCGCGTCCCAAAAGTTCATGCAACTCGAATTGTTGAGTCAGGTATTTGGTCTTGGCATTTGGATCATACGCAGCGAGTTTGTAGTTCTCAACTTCCAACAACGTTCTTGGCGATTCGTCGAGTTGAGGGCTGAGGGAGGCCCGGCGAATTGGCTTCAGCGACTTGAGTCCATGGCTGAGGGATCGGGGGACTTTTAGATGAGTCATCATTGGAATTGGAGCTTCCATTTTTCCCAAGTTTGATACAAAAATATACAATCTGAAAAAAAAGATTGGTTAAATTAATATTAGCCCTCATTAAATCATCAATAAAGTAAGCACGAACATAAAAATTTACACGACTGAAAATGCTTACAAAAAAAGAAAAATTAATCCCCGGAGTAACCGTAAAACATCGCCTAATATCACCTAATATAATGTAAAAATGGACACTGTAAAATACACAACCAGCCATCACCCCCACATAAACGCATGACTGATCGATCGAGACTTGATTGCCGTGCACCGTTATCGCAGAGAAAATTCCGGGAGAGCGTCAATTTGTTAACCGAATATTTCTGCCGTGATAGGCAGGGCGCAGGGGAGTACCGGGAAAGGAAGCTCGCGCGATTGATTGCGTAATAAGTCCTGCGATTAGTAGAAAGTAAAATAATAATAGTCAAGTAATAATACAGACAAAATAAACGCCTTGAATTGCCCTATGAAGCCTTGAAATACAAGAAAAATAAAGAAAAAACCAAAAAAATGCCAAAAAATCTAAAATTTTCAGCGATGGTGACGCAAAATCGCAAGCACAAAGTCCAAAAATCAACTAGCTAAAAGCTCTCCCAACAAGCTCAAGATTACACATAAAACAGACGACTCTGGCACATCTCACTACAAGCCAGCTCCTCACAAATTCACGAGTGATCCCTTTCGGAAGGTGATTTCCATACCCTAATCACAGAAATTTCCCCCATTTTTTCTGCGAAATTGAGAATGTTGGGAGGGGAATTAACGCGCGATGCCTTGCAGAAAGCTTTCGATAGCGCTAGCCTTTGCTGCGTAACATATCCAGTTGTAAATGGATAAAAGGATGCAAATTGCAGAAATGGAGAAGCTAGCTAAATGTTACAAAATACATGTTCAGACACATTTTAAAAGACCAGAAAAAAGATGGATCTGTGCCTGTATAGTACCACCAAAAAATTTACTTGAAATAAGGGTCAATCATCTGTAAAATAAATTCCGAAAGTGATTTCTAATACTCGAACTGCGTGATTGAGTCAATACACATAGAAAATAAAATTTGCAGATGCAGCTTATGCCCTATGTGAATTTTACAAATAAAGCAGGTGAAAGTGAGCGGTTCAATTGGGTATCACTTTGGCTACAGCCGTTACTCTACTTCTCAAAAATTTTGACACCTTTCTGTAGTATTTACCAAAATGCAGAGAGAAAATAACGTTTCAAAAGTCAACTTATCATAGCTAGGGCCAAATCGCGGTAGATTGAAAAATTTTTGGTCCACGACCGGAAAGCCACTCATGAATCTAAAACTGTCGCAATTTCTCCAAGCTATATCAAGCAGGCTATGGGATGAGTTAACGCATTAAGATAATAGACGTGTGTTAGCGAGAAACGCATTGTTATAACCGCTTGAAAGTTCGGCTATTGTTTCGTCAGAGGAATACTGGAACAAAGAGCTGGTGATGATGCCAACGTTTCCTTGAGGAAGTTTGCGTGACTTCACTGTCTCATCCTTGTTGAAAAAAGGGTGAAATTGCTTAATCATTACCTGTGTAATATACTGTCTGACATTATGACATATATATATATGGCTCATTTTCGTCTCAAACATCTTAAAAATAATGAAAAATTCCCATAACGTCTTGTTATGGAATTACGGATATAGCTCCAAATTCCGAAATCCAAGCTTGGAAGAATTGGCAGGCCAAGTGCAAAATCAATTTCGGTAGAAGAAGTAAAGCTTTTTCTTGAAAATTTTAAATGCTACAAGGAGAGAAGCCCGTAATTTGAGTGCAAGAATTAGATGTCATTTGAGCGGCAACCAAGCAATATGCAATTCTATGAAGTTTTAATTTTTGCAAAACTTAATAAGTTAATGAACTTGAACAATTTTTTATCAAATTTTGAGTCCAAGGTTTAGACTGAATTTGAAATCGGACCGATTTGGAGTTCCAAAATTTTGTCCTCGAACTTGATGATTATGAATAACTTGGACAAGTTCGATTTTTTGTGAAGCCTTCTGAGATCTCAGCAGTTAATAATAATAAACATTTACTTCTAAACGTATTTTAAAATTTCTTCAGATTCACTATGTCGATTTTTAACGTATAATATTTGGTATCAAAAAATTAATTTTTGAACTTGTAAAACATGTTTGATGCCTTTATTTCTAGTACATTGCATGTCTGTTCAAATCCCCATTAGTTCTCACCGTATTAACCTTATCACTTCACAATTGCGCAACTCTACTAACGCCGCTGCCGATTTTCTGCGAGCCCAAGAAACTTCTCGCTGGCTCTTTTCCCGCCAATTCGCAGAGCCTTCCTTTTGCATACATAAAACAAAAATTAGCGAAATAAAAACATGTTCAATACTGATCAATATTACTGTTTATTCCTTCAAGGAGTATTTCTGAGATAGCGAATTTTTGGTGGGTTGAAGACACAGGATTATGATGATATTAGAGACAAAATACACGTTCGGAAAATAAGTTATTATAAAAATACAGACGTCTAACAACTAAAAGCTGACGGTTTTTTTGGCAATATTGAAGGAGATACATGATGATTATATAAGACACTAAAAGTCTATGAGTTGAGAATATTAAAAAGTTGGAGGCTTGGTGCTATTTACAAGCTAGTTTAAGGGGAAATATACTCGTTGTGGATCGGTTATTGGCTTGGCATTTTGGGGATTAGTCTTCAAACAGACGTCTTCTGAACGAAATTGAGGGCCGATTTCTCTTGGTGATTGGGGAGGTTAGGTCTGAATCGTCGGAGGAAGTGGAGATTCGCTCGGATGTCTGCAAGAAAAAGGGTTAAAAAAAAGGGATATTAGAGTTTTTTTTACAATTTCAGAAAAATGTCAAAAAGCCTTATATCAGATGGTTGCTTGTTCTATCAAAATTTCAGTGAAACTTACATTTCTCAGCGACAATCTCTTTGGCTTTAGCACAGGCGATGTTAGGAGATCAGAGGAGATTTGAGGATCTGAGCAGTTGAGTCTAAGCGATTCATCGAGCTGAAAAATTAGCAAATTAACCAAAATTCACTCAAAATTCACTTTATAAACCGCTAAAGATGTCAACTGCCACTTACATTTCTCAACGAGACTCTTCTTGGCAAAGTATCCGGCTTGATGATATATTCATCCTCCAGAATCCACCTTCTCAGCTCCAAATCTTCGCTGATGTTCTCCCCATCTTCGTTGCCACTCTTCCTGAACAGCCCATTCTCATACTCCTCGATTTGTTCCTCACTCAAAACCGGTCCTCGTCCATTGCTGTCCGTCTTGTGTATTGTCACAATTTCGTGGTAAAGCAGGGTTCTTGCGGACGGGCGAACAGCCGGCTCATGGTCCAACATCTTCCTCAAGACTTGCCGCAAACTCCATCCAACATTGGCGTTCAAAAACCCATCCAAATTCGTCATTTCCAGCTCGTTCGCTTCGGCCGGTCGACCAATCAAAAAGTTCAATAAAGTCGCTCCAAACGCGTAGATGTCGATTCTGTCGTTGTACACATGTTTTGCAATGCATTCGGGCGCAGAGTAGCGATCGTCGCCGCGGGGCAACGCTTCGGCCTCCACTTTTCCGTAGCGTTTCCACTCGACGCTCACATTAAAGTCGGCGAGTTTGTAGATCCCGTTGGAGGTCACCAGAATGTTGTCCGGCTTCACGTCGTTGTGGATGACTTTGTTGAGATGCAAATGCGCCAGCGCTTCGCTAATGTCGGCCAGCACGTTCCAGGCGGCCGTGCTGATGGCGCTGCCGCTCTGCACTTTCATCACATAGCTCAAGGGGTAGGAGCAAAGTTCGAGGATTGTGAATACGTGCTCGGCCTCTCGCCAGGCGCCAAAAATCTTGATGATTTTGGAGTGACAGAGTTGGTAGAGAATGTCATGTTCTGGCAGTGTTCTTGAACACTGATGAAGGGCTTTTTTGACAGCGAAGAAGTTGCCGGTTCGTTTGCACTTGGCTCCATAAACTTGCCCGAAACTTCCGCGGCCCAAAATCTCGTGCAACTCGAACTGTTGAGTTAAATATTTTGTCTTGGCTGTTGGATTATAAGTAGCGAGTTTGAAGGCGGGCAGTTCAACTATTGTTTTTGGCGATTCATCGAGTTGTGGGCTGAGGGAGGCTCGGCGAACCGGCTTAAACGCCTTGAGGCCATGACTCAGAGATCGGGGGACTTTCAATTCGGTGACAATGGGAACTCCATCGTCCACTGGAGAGGCGGCGAATAACTCCAGCTTCTCCATGATAGTTGAGGGTCGGTTTAAAACTAAAATCATCAAGTCAAAGAGCCTCGGAGAAGAGCCCGCTCGCGAAAATAGACTATTTTTTGAAGGCTGCGATTGTAAATCACTCGCGATCAAAGCGCAAAAAACGGGCGGTGATGGATTAGTGACAAAAAACAGAATATGCAAATGAAAGGGCTTTCGGGGAAAGTGAAAACAAATTGATCGAGAGTGGAGGAGGGAGATTGGAATCAGCTGTGGAAAAAACGCCTCAACGATGGGTAATTAAATAGACAGGGCGAGTAAAAAAATGATCGATCAGGTAGTGAAATATGATAGGAGATTTAGGGGCTAGGCCAGGACAAACACAACACTAGACTCGAAATTTGGGTTACTGTAGAAAAAACGATGACAATTAAAGTCATCGTTTTTTAGTTGTAACTAAAAGCTGTGTGGATAAAAAAAAGTTGGCGGATCTCTCAAGACTCCGCTCAAGAGCCACCTTCCCCGCAGAAAACGAAGCGCGAGCACTGACCACAGAACAAGTGAACAAGCGAGAAACGACGCGTCCGTTGCGCAACTCGTGTGCCGCACTCGCACTTTTTCGCGAGCAGAGTAGAACCTTCTGGACAGCGAGTGAACTGTGATCTTTGCGCTAGAAAACAAACGTCAGCGATGTCGAAATTTTTTGGACTTTGAATTTGGAATCGCGCGGGAAAATGGAGTTTAGTTGGGTCGTGCCTTGGACAGTCCTTGTAAGAGATCGCTTATAAACGCGTGAAATGAGGAAAATTTACTGAAGGATTTCTGAAGAAGCGACGCTTGGAATTCGATAAACTTTAGCGCGAATTAAGATTACAGTTTTAAGAGAAATATAGAAGATTTTTGGCTTGCTATTTTTCAGAAATCTTTGAGATATAAACTCGAAAATTGTCTACAGATTGCAATTTACTCACATCAGATTTACCATCTTCAAAAATCATAAGGCACTTTCAATGACATAAATAAGATGTCATTGCAAGTGTCCAATAGGAAAAAATAATAATTTAAGTTGCTTGTCGCAGACATACAAGTAATTTCAAGCAACAACCCGCCCATTAAAACAGTAAAAATCTTCCCAACACACCTCTTCTTTCTTCTTCGCTCATCGCACTAGCCAACCGCAAAACTAACGCCTTCGATAATTTCGACACTAGCGACAAAACACCCTCAATCCCTGTCTCTCCCTTTTCCGAGCACAGATAAAAAACATTTGATCGCCAACCATCCCTCCCCTCCTCCCCAATATTAGCCAGGTTATTCCGAAAAAAGTGACCAGTGTTCGCAGCGAGCACACAAAGAAGAAGAAGGGAAGCGCTCGGAAAAAAGGGGCTGCTCGAGAAAATGGGCGGGGGAAGGGAGGGTGGATAGGATAATAAGGCAATCGGGGATATTATAGACGCTCATGTGAGATAAGAACAATAAGATAAAAAAGCATACACATGGATTAGAGAGGGTAAAGGCAGCCTCGGCAAGATGAAGGGGGATGACGTTGGATGTTAAGAGTGATTACAAAAAATCGAGTTGGTGAAGGTACAGTAAACAAAAAAGATGGCCGAAATAGTCAAGTAATAGGCTCAATGAAAAATCAGCAAATATATAGAGCCACAGCTTGGTTTTATGTAGGCATGCATTAATTTGCTAACATCTAGGGCTCCTAAATTTCGCTAGACCAAAGACAATGAAAAATGAGGAGAGACGATCAGAGGAAAATATGTTTTTTTGGCCGTATCTTTGCAGCTAGCATATCAAAAAGTTGATTTTTAGTGTAGCGTATTCGTACAGCATAAAAAATCCATGCCAATTTTTTTCACAAAGATGATCAAATTTCTGACAATTTTTGAGCTAAAAAGCTTGGTTGTTTCTGCAAAGCGCGAGCCTCAGATCTCAGGCATACCTGTTAGAAAGAGATCCTAGTTTGGACCACCTTTCATCAAAATCTGAGCCTCAGACCTCAAGTAGTCCAACGTTCAAACTGAGCTCTTCAGTGAATCTTTAGTCATCCAATTTTTTTGATGACTCAATTTCCCCTCAAAAACACCACTAAAACAACAAAAAAACCACTTTCGAATGCAGTTTAATGTCCGCTCGCTCACTTTGCAATCATATTTATGTTGTGCCCGTTTGCGATCGGGCATCACCGTGCATCTGTCCGCGCTTTTTATTGTGTATTTTATTAGCTGCGCAAAAAACGAGTGGATCAAATTTTTCGGATCCAGCCGAGTCCTTGAAGAAAAGTGGCAGGTGTGTTTTCCGGTCGCCTTTTATGTTCTTCGACGCACTTATCGGGTCTTGATGAATCGGGCATTTAGGAATTATGGTAATTAAAAATGGCAGGAAGGCAGTTTGAAAAAATGGAGTGATAATTGGAGTGGTGATGGCCGAAATGCGAAGATAAATATGTAGCAGAGAAGTATCCAAAATATACTTTTCAATTATGATGATTTAAGGTCGTTAACGGCATTTTCTGGCAGATTTTTTTAGAAACTGATTTCTCAAAGTATAACTCTCTGATGTTCTTCATATTAGGCACACATAATCTACATATACCACATCTCAATTGATGCAAATTTGATCTCACGACTTGCACCCAAAGCCAAGATATTTCTCAATCTTTTTCCGAGAGACTAGGCATAACTAGGAGAGTCGGCCAGAGAAAAAAGGTCTTTGGGCCGTATCTCCACAAGTTTCCAGTAATTAAAAATTGATTTTTTTTTGTGGAAATATTGTACTCTTCGCTTGTAAAACACCTTTATTTTTTCAGTGCTCAAATTGAAAAAAAAAATATTTTTACTTTTTTTTGACTTAAAAAAGTTGATGATTTCTGCAAAGCGCGGCTGAAAATCTTGCGAATGCCTTGGAAAGTTGTGCTCCAAATATCTGCCAACTTTCATCGAAATCCAGCTGCTTCAAAATCCAATATTCACCTAACTACCACCGAGTTTGCCACGCCATATTTCATTTCCCGGTTTGTTTTTTTCTCCCCTCCGACTTCCCACTGTGAGTCAGGTCATCCAATTTTATGGGAATCGACTCCACACACTCGGATTATGTCAATTTGTCTCTTCCGATTAATTGGCTTATTGTGACAAATATGGAGGGAATCAGCGCGCTCGCAAAGGTCAGACAAGATGCAATAACAACAGTGGTGAGCAAAATACAGCTGTTGGGAAGGCGGATTACTGGCCGAAAGAGGGCCAGTGTAAAGTCGGGATTGTTTGCGGAAGAGATGTAAAACTAAGCTCGAGAGTGACCAGAGGTTTTTTTAGAGGCTATTAAAGCCGCGATAACCTCTTATCAGCCCCGAAACTGGAGAGTTTTCCTGATAAGGAGAGTGTTTTTCCACGGAATTACCGATAATTTTGGATTCGTCGCCTTGAACGGACGTTGTACTGTATAGCATTTGGAAGGACTGTAAATCAAAAATCCACGGGACATCTGCGCCGGAGAACAGATTTTTGCATTCCCTTTGTGATTTGCATACTTCCGACCGTCGAATTTTCGACGTAAAAGGTCAGAGATTTGAATATGCAAGGAAAGGTTAGGAAGACGGATCGGCGAACATCTGGACGGGGCGACGAACGGATAAACATTGTAAATTTGAAATGCTTTTATTGTAACAAAATTATGAGCCGTGTTTTTATTGGTCATAAAATTCAAATATGAAAAATTCTTGTGTAGAGAAAATCTAAAATATGAATTCCGAGTTTCGCATTTAAACAAATCTAAAAAATATCATATAGCAAAATATTAGCCCATGCTTTGCACTTGCAGTCAAGAAATTAAGGAATCTTTTTTTGAGAGAGCACGGAAAATGAGGAGAGTCGATCAGACGAAAAAAGTTTTTTGGCTGTATCTATTTGAATATTGCTAGGAAAAAAGTGATTTTTTTTGTAAATAATCAATACCTCATGTGTAATAATCACTGATTTTTTCAAGCCGAAAATCATAAAAAAATTTAAAAAAAAATTTTTTTGCCAAGTTTCGATCTAAAAATCCCGAAATTTTTGTGAAAATCAAGCTATAAAGATCATAGATATCCCTCAAATGTATTAATAATTTAAAAGTAACCAAATTTTTTTGCCGGTGTAGACCGCAAAGTATTCGCCGTATCCATATGTAGATCACGTGCCGATCTTGCGGATCTCGACCCCTTCCTCTGCCTTTTCATTACGTCATCGGCGTCTTTTTTGGTGCTGTTCCTTCGTATAGCAATTTCTAGGTCGGATGATGCAAACGTCGATGCTTTTATGGGGCCTCTCGATCGGCCCCGCACAAATCCCCAAAACTTATGCAACAGCCATAAAGTACGGCCTAATAAAGGGAGGATCGCACTGTTTCGTTATAAACAGAATAGGCACTGCGCTCGTAAAACTTGTCAAGGAAATTGGATCGGAGGGTGGCGGATCGAGTAATTGGCTTTGTGGCTCAAAATTATGATTGGGCGTCGAAATGGAATGAAAAAAAGGAAATATTGCATACATGGGCATCTCAACCTTACTCAAATTATTAAGCGAAAATCTGCACAGGGATGATCAAAGAACCCTAGAAGTTGTCAATCGAAGAAACACCACCAAAAAAATGCCAATGAAATAAAGGGGAGAGAAAAAATACAACAAGGTTGGAACATGATCCACATGTGGATAATGTTTTGTCGTTGATATGGGCAAAATTGTAATTTTATTTTGATGAAACTTGGAACAGATGCATATTCCGAATGTACTAGTCGCGGAAAAAAGTCCTGGGATTTTCTCGCGCCCCCCAAATTCCGTCGCGCACCGAAAAGTTGATTTGTCGCGGGAATCGCGCGCGACAATAAGGCAAAATCAACAAAATTGCACTGTGCAAAAGCACTTTTCGGGTTCATGCACAGTGCAGAGTCGCAGAAAAATCCCAGGACTTTTTTCCGCGACTAGTATGGTTTATTTTGAAGCAGGAATTTTTGAGATTTTACGTTTTTTTTGTCTGACCGACCCCTGCCATTTTGCGTTCATTCTCGGAATCTGGCTAGCCCAAAAATCTTTCAAAATTCTTTTGAGGCTTTCTATTTCCTCTATTAGGGTTTTCGTACATCAAAGCTTTGTGATACCAACTTTTCGATTTGCAAAATGTCGTTGACGGCATACGATTTCAACGAGACCAGTTAAAATAAAAGTTTGCTCCCCGGATATTTTTTGCTCGTTTCTTGGCGAACAGAGACAAAAACATCGCCATGCTTGTTTCGAATTATCAGTCCACTCCGAAGAGTGGACTCCCAAAAATTGATAGAACTCATAAGCGAGCCCATGCACGGAAATCTTTAGTAAAAGGCGAAAGATTTGTCCGTTTGAGGATGCATGGACCCCAGAGATAACTAACCCCACCTTTTCCCAGCGCCTATCCCTTTCTCTTGTCGGAAGAGGAACGGGGAGGCAAAATGGAGAGAAGCGGAAAGAGCGCGCTCTTTTTGTTTCTCTCTTCTTCTCTCTCGTTGTTCCAATCGCGCGGTCTTTTCGATGCGGATTCACGGAGGTGCGCACATAGAGAAGAGAAGGGGGAAAATCATTACAAGGTGGTTGGATTTACCTGGATTTTATTGGAAAAGTGGACAAAGTAATATGGATGCAAACTTTTTTATCGCAAAAAATCTGATTGCCTGCCCAAAATATCCAAAACATGCAGGTGTAATTAAATTATTTCAAATTTGCATACATCTTTTGTATGCAAAAAATTTATGGGCAAGATACCAACACATCAAACAAAAAAATCTTATGTATGTCATTATTTTTTGTTTTGGAAAACAATACTTTTTTAATTAAAAGTATGAGACAACACGGGTCGATCTTTTGTTTCTGCAAATTTAAATTTTTTTTTCAATTATGAGAAGCCTTTAACAAAATATGTCATGTTACAGTATAAATACATTCGACAATTTTTTAAATCATCACTCTAAATGTGGTGCCTCTTGTTCATTGCTCTTCTCGCGACGGTCCAGGCCGAGGAAGATGGTGACATCTTCGCTGTGCTGATCGCAGGGATAGATGAAATGTGGGCCGAAGCATCCGTATGTCACACTTATCACTCGCTGAGAAACCACGGTGTTAAGGAGGAAAATATCATTGTATTCCTGCTTGATAAAGGTAAAAATTACTCTGGGTAAGTGATTTCAACGCCGTCGAAGGAAAAGTCGAACTTTATCGCAGCTTGAGGTCCATGCCTCTTTACCGATACCACCAAGGTCACTTAAAAGTCGAAAAAACTACTCCAAAAATTTTTTTGCCGTTTCTTGTTGTAGCAATTAATTGGCAATAGTTCAAGATAATCACATAGATTGTAAAACCTCTATAGGATAAAAAAATTCGACACAATCCAACTTTTTGGCTAGGTTGGTACCTGTTGGGCTGTTCCAGTCATCCGACAAGACGTTTTAATTTCACTCATACTAGTCGCGCCATAAAGTCCGTAGAATTTTTTTCGCGGACGTCGCGGGTGCCATCGCCGAAAAATTCATGTCGCTAGTGCAAAAACTTTTTGCCACCTCTAATTTGGGCATATTCCCCGTCCGAACCCTACTTCCAAGCTGTAAAAGCGACGTTCAAATGTTGTCGTTTTGGTCATTCAGAAATCCGCATTTCCAGCAACCCTTGGCCCGGTGAGCTCCACACTTATCCAGACAGCCCGGATTACCGTGTCGGCTGCAAAATCGATTACACTGGAAATGACACCAATTTAGCGGCGTTTTTGGATGTTTTGAGACAAAACCAAACAAGCCCCCGACCTGTTCTGCGTAGCACCTCGAAGGACAATGTTCTCATTTTCCATGCCAGCCATGGCTGGTGGGGCGGTTACCAAATGCCGGGGGGAGGGATGGATGTTGCTCATTTGCAAAAGACTCTGACGTACATGCATGAACAAGGGTTTTATAAAGAACTGGTGTTCGTTTTGGATAGCTGCAACTCCGGCTCTCTTTTCTTCGAGTGGTTGACGCCAAAGTACAACATTTTGGCCTTAACCGCGGCACCACACGACCACGTGGCATATATAAAAGGTAGGACTAAAAAATGACGGAATGTTGGTGGTCATAAGGCGCATTTTGCTAATGCGAGGATAAACGATTGGTTAACAATAGTTTTAACGGGTCAGAGAGGCTCGTGAGTCGCAGGACATAACTTTAGATTTTGGTGGCTTGGCACAAATTTAGAATATTTTTTTCTAAAATATTTGCGAGAACCCTAGGTCGCGCTTTGCAGAAACAACCTAGATTTTTAGATCGAAAGTCGGTGAAAATTTGGCACTTTTTGGCACCAAAAGTTTCGTGCTTATTTCTAAAACTAGCAAAGTTGTGGCCAAAAAGTGTATTTTCTCTCTTTAGCATACTCTCTCGTCGGCAAAGATCGTTCAATATCTCGACGGCACTTCCAAAGCGCGAGCCAAAACTTTTAGAAATTGATTCATGACCGACGCACGCCAACCCAAAATAGGACTACTAAAATGTGTTGAATTTCGTCCAAACGAAGTTTTGCACGCACGTCGCGACGTGTGTGCAAAATTTAAAGAAAGTCTGAGCGTCGCACTTGGGGTCCTTCCCTTGTAAGTGGATTGAATTTTGACCCTGTAGGGCCAAGTTGGTAAAAATATGCCGATGGGTTCTCAAGTCTCTCGCGAACCTTGTCTTAACCCTTTTCTCACTGCTTGACATTTATGTTTTAGGATTCTACGTTCCCAAAATTCACAAATCGATTGGCCTGGTTGGGAGCCTCTCGTATTGGTGGCAAGACACCTTGGATCACAAAGACATCTCCAACACGACCATGCGGAAAATGTATTGGGACATCTATCATCGAAACAACTTCGTCAGGTACTACGGTGATCTGGATATTCTGAGCCGGACGGTCGACCAATTCCATGGACGGGAAAACCCACATCCGACCTTGAGGGGCTCTCGCAAGGTAAGATTTGTGTGTGGTACACGTAAGAGTTTGATTGTAGAAAGCTTCGCCCAGTCACTCGATTAAAATGTGCGACGCATGATGAACCGGAAGAGATATACGATACACATCTTTGAAATTAAGACCAAAGAGTATGTGTTTACCTGATAAATAAAAATTGCATCAAATTGTTCGTGTGATTTTTGGTCTTGTAGCGAATTCAACTGACAAGGGATGGGTTTGAGGATTAATTACAGCGACTAACCTGATCCAGTGGCCAAAAACGTACTATTTTGCATCCGGGAAGTATCAAAAACACAGCAAAATGCCTCCCTTTCTAACGAAAAACTCCGTTTTGAACAGCGCGCCCTTTCCCCCACAAAAAGAGCGGCTTTTGAAATCGTAATTTTTTCACTTGGAGAGGGAAGCATTTTGACACATTTTTGATGCTTCCCGGAAGCAAAATGGTACGTTTTTTGCCACTAGATCGGGTCCGCCACTGTACGTACTATCGACCCTGATCTTGTGACCTCAAAAAAACCTAACATTTCCCACGATTTGAAACGACATTTACTGCTATTTATGATATAACCAGTGGAATCACTGCGAATTTAGAGACATTTGATTAATGAAAGATACTGTCAACAATTCCCTGTATAACGTTGCGGATTCAGACCTGACCCCGACAATACGATGGGATCCGTATGACATGTGGTATATTCTTGGCAAAGAATAAGACTGTGGTATTGGTTATTATTGGAATTCTAAATTGGTAATCAGATTACCGAGCGAGCTCCTATGGATCAAAATTACTTTTGGTTGGTATGTAAAACTCTATTTTCTCCCGAAAAAACCATCAATTTCTATTCCTAAAACTCAATTTCTCCTAATTTAGATGATCTATATACCAACCAAAAGTAATATAACTAAGAAACGACAAGTAACAATAACCCCAAAGAAACGAAAAAAGAGGAGAATACGATGACATTGTTGTGTGTAATGACCATGGAATAAATATAACAAATATGAGGAAACTATGTAATTTACATCAGTTCTGATTGATTAATAATAAAACGAATTAAGGTTGTTGATTCTCGCTCCTCCCTTCGGCGGCGGCCAGATCTTTGGGTTGGGGCCCAATTGGGGAGTCGGTTGGGTACTTGTCCTTCAGCGCTGGGGTCTTGGCGACTTCGAAGAAGACTCTGGAAGAGAAAAATCATAGACTAGTCCACCTCAAGATTTTCTAATCATCTATCAAGACATATGCCCTAATCAGATGGGTGTTTTTTTTTGGACCTTTCGGCCCTTGACCTCTTCCAGAAATTTTCCACATTTTTCTACAAGCACGCCGCAGCTCGTTCCCTCCTTTCCACCCAATCTCAAAACCAATTCAATCACCAAACAACCTACTCATGTGAATATTTCCCCCACACCATCTTCATCTCCGGATATCTTTGTCTGTAGACGACCAGCATGTGGTTCAACGCCCAGCTCAGCGATTCCAAGTCCTCGGTAGTGTATCCGGAGTACTTTTGAAGCACTTTGTTCCACTCACCAGCCTTGGTCATCCTTAGGGCCAACAACAGAGACGCCGCGCCCATTTTGGATGGGGACACTCGGCAGAAGTCGAGGAAATGGAGTGAAACTTCCAGGATGTATCGAGCCAAGGTCAGGAGAGACATGTCGCTCTTGATGACTCTTCCGTAGCGTCTGAGGAAGGAGTAGGACAAGGGTGAACATAGGTCGAATCCAACTGTTGCCAGAAGCTCTTGCTCCATTTTCTTTAGTTTCTTGGCGTCAAAGGCATCCTTGACCAGATAAATCAAGTCATCGATGAGAGGGGCGCTTCTCTCCTGAAAAATAAATAAATAAAATATATAATTTTATATTATACTTGATCAACCAAAAAATCGGCTTCAAAAACTAACCTCAACTTTAGCTGCAACCAAAATCGCAGCGCATCCAACCAACTGCAGATGTTCCTTTTGAACGCGACGAGTTTTCGTGAAGAACCTGTCGACCAGATTCACCGCCATGTACAAGGTCTCGTGGTTCTGTTCGAAGGCCTCCTGGATTTCAATCAGCCAATCGACCAGGACGGCTCGTGTTTTATTGTCCACGTTCTTATGATGTTGCATGTATGGGCCTGGGATGAAGAGAGGCTGAAACAGAGCCAATCAAAAACAGTTCTTCATCTTGATCCTGAACATTCAAACCATCGATATAAACCAAGCTTACCTCCCTCCACTTGAGATACTTGAAGATATCCCTGGCAAATTCAGAGACAGCATTTGGATCGTGTGAGTTTTCTCGGTCAAAGTCGACTTCTGGGCAGGGGTCGACCTCCAATTCCTCGGCTTCCAGGACATCCTTCAATGGAAGTAGGCGTTCAACCTTGTTCTTCTTGTTGTTGAATGTAATCGAACTACACTTCTTTTTGGTTGAGTCGATTTGATATGAAGAGAGGGCCTAAAAGAATATCCTTTTACCAAAATAAATCTGAAATTTCGTCGACAAATTAACACAGGTCTTCAAGATCCGAGGTAATAAATTTCCGAAATTACAGCGGCCAGACCGGCCCGGTGGCTTTCTAAAAACAGCTCAAGTCCGGTACAAACAATGGTTTGTCTGATTGTCTCCTCTATTCAAAACCATGTCACATTATAGCTCCTTCTCCTCTGTACCTACAAAACCGAACAAACACAATATCAAATCCGACTTACATGAGTAATATCGCCGAGAGCGGCCTTCTTAGCCTTTGGCTCATCGGATCCCACCGCATTCTTGTGTTTCGAGGCGACTGGCTTCAACGGTTGCCGTCGGCTCTCGGCATTCTGGTTGTTATCACGAGCACGCAACATCATTTTTTGTTTTGATTCTTTCGAGGGAGTCCGGATAAGATCCCGACCTTGGCCCAAACCTGAAACAGCGAAGGCAATAAATGAGGAGTTGGAGTCGGGAACGAGGCGAACTCCAAGCCGGAATTGTCTTGTTCGGGCGTTCAAATCGGGGAAAGCGCGGTGCGGCGCAAGTCAAGGGGGAGCGCCGAGCTGCGCCCACAGACCGGCTCGTTTTATACGAAAAAGGGAGCTACCGTAATTGACAATCCATATGAGACAATGAGAAGATAGGAGAACAGCACTCCGCATATAACGCAGCAACCCAAAAATAGGAAGAAATCATTGCAAGCAAATTTTAACACCCTCACAAGATATCTGTGATAACACTTTACCTTGTCTGTAAAAAAGTGTAATTAAAAAAATTGTAAGCGTAAAAAACTTTTTTCCATAATTTTGAAGGATAATTCACACTGACATTTTTTTGAATTACACTAAAAAGAAACAAGGTTACACTTCATTTTGTTGAAATCGTTTTTATTTGTTTTGGATGTCAAAGGAAAGACTTTTACATCCAAATACGGGATCTACCGTGTTCCTATTTTAGAAGTCCAAATAGGCATAAGACAAAATAATACATGATAAAAAATTCAGATTTTGCTTAATCGAGTCTGGATTACAATTCACTTGCTGTACCTCAGCGCCTAATACAACCAATTTACCCGGTTTTAGTGCAATCATGGTCCAAAAGAACCACATAAAATCATGCACGTTTCTGAGAATTCCTCAGACACACCGAACTCAAAATGATCGAACCCAACAAGTCCGCCCATTACTTGAGAACATTTGACTCTCAGTAAAGTTTCTGTGCAAAGAATGACATTCAATTGGGGAGACAGGCGATCCCAGCCGTTTTAGTGATGCAACGGATTCGAAAAGGAATATCTCGCAGAAGATGGATACTTGGCTACAAGATAAGCCGATCGATTCAAGGGATTAGATTACTATAACTTTATGGAGGGGATGAGAACATAGGAAAGAATCACGGAGGAAGCAATATGGGCCGAATGCGGCTTCTTGGAAAATGGACAGTGAAATTGGACAGAAATAAATTGGACGGAGCGCGGAAATTGGACAGAGGGAACTTAGACAGAGTGAAATTGGACAGATTTTTTTCACTGCAAAAATAATCATTTGATGATTCAATAGTGACATTTCGTACAATTGCAGCGAAAAAAATCTGTCCGATTTCACTATGTCCAATTTCCCCCTGTCCAATTTTCACACTCCGTCCAATTTCACTGTCCATTTTCCACGAAGCCCCCCGAATGCAACAAAATCTCACTAAAACAACTGAATTCAACAGCCCCAATATCAACTTATTTTTGGACACAGCTTACTAGACGAACCTTTTTACTGTTCATACACACAGTTCTCCAGCCGATTCTCTCTCCTCAATTTTCACTAATTCAACAACTTTTCCACGACAAGAAAACCTCAAAATCTCATTAGACTTCAAAAATGGCTCCAAATTACGTCAACCAATTGGGAATGCTGGCTTTTCAAGCTCACGAGGCCAGAACCAAGCAAACGCGCAGGACGCTCGCCGAAGACTGCATTCGGTTTTCGGCTCCTTTCCGACGCGCTGGTCATTTCGTTCGGGGCTTTTTCGCAGCTCCAGTTTGAATGGACAAAAGTGCGCGGACCGACCCTGACTGTCGTTGTGGGGACTCGAAAGGGAACGAGGAGATCAGAGAGCCTTCTAACGGGGCTCTTGCAGACAATTGCTCGACGAAATAAGACGACAAATCGCCTGAACCACACACTTTTCAAATTCAAGGACAAAGAACTAATCAATTGAAGACTAAATCCCTGATTTTTAACCCTATTTATACCAAGGAATGAGTGAAATAAGCTAAAAACGGCACAGCCAAACCTTTTCTTGGACAAAATTCAAAATATCGCAAAAGAAAAGTCCATTACGAATACCAAGAATTATGCAAGAACGAGGTTGACTCACACACTCTTATGATGGGAATGGACGAACAAGCTTCTTTCCGTCTTATCAGATACGAAAAGGGACGCTGGTCACGTATAAAAAACAAACAGGAAGGAGACGAATGGACAATTCAAATTATTAAACCTTTATCATTCAATTTTTTAACTCATCCATCTGTAGTTTTAAACCAGAAACAAGTATTAGGTTGGTGCATAATTACCCCCCGTTTTTATTGGGGCGTTTTTTGTTAGTTAAAATTCGCGTTTTGTTAACTTTTTTCATAAAAATAATCTTCTCTGTTTGGTTAATAAAATACGTGTCGAACACCATACTCATATTCGCCATATTATGCTCTACCACTTCGAGAAATGTTGGAAGTCAGCACAGTAATTTGCAATCTCAACGAACTTTTCGGGCTTTTTTGAGTATGGTTTTCGACACGCATTTTATTAACTAAATAGAGAAGATTATTTTTATGAAAAAAGTCAACAAAACGCGATTTTTTACTAAAAAAACGCCCCAGTAAAAACGACGGATAATTATGCATCAACTAATATAACAACAGCTAAATCAGCCGCAAGCAGAGCCCAAAATGGCTTTTTCGCCCACTTTCGCTACTTTACGCGCGTAACAATAAATTTGAATCTTTTTTTGGAACTCTCGCCGTTCTCTTTGTTTTGCGAAAAGAAGGGTACCTTGCCGGCGAAGAACAAAAGATTAAAAAAATTCAAAAGAAGAGGTTTATTTTGGAATTCAAATTTTTTGTACTGCCCTATCGTAAATTCAAATTCAAAAAAATTACAGCCATGTTTTTGAAAAGCCCCTAAATTTTCCACAACATCTCAAAAAATGCAACTTTTTCCTTTGACCCCCAAAATTTCGAAGTGAATTTGAACCGGCATTCATTGTAAAATAGCGCCTTACTTAAATGCGCGGCGAGTGCTGACTTGTACCCCCGCCTCAGCAGCGCTCTTCGGGTGACATTGGGAGCAAGATTGGCGGGAAATAAACGGAACAGTTGACGAATATAAATAATGAGTGATGACTGCTAATATTGAGTGCAAAATTTCGAAGAAAACAGCTGGATATTACGCAGCTTCCCCAACTATGACCATACTTGGGAAAATTATTAAAAAATTGTTCAGGAATAAAACAATTTTTTTCTCAAACTCAAGAAAAAGGATGCTCACACTATTCCGTCGATATTCCAAGACGTTTCTTCCACCAAATCGTTCAATTTTATGCATAAATTAATTCAAAAAACCATCATAATTCGTAAGCACCCGTTATCTCCGAGGTTCGATCAGAAAAAACGTGAAAATTCAAATAATTTTCCAGACAATACAACGTTTTTCATCCAGTAACCCACTTTACACAAACAAATACACCATTATAAACACCTCAAAATAGGCATGGTTCCGTATTGCAGAAAAAAATTCAAATTTAAAATAAAGAAAATAAGGTATCAAAAGCAAAAAAACCTTCACAAAAAGAAAAAAATATATTCAAAACAAAATAGTTTATTGTAAACATTTACATGAGAACATGGGGGGGGGGGAATAACGATCTAACGATCAATCGGTTATATACACATTAGTCAAAAATATTAAATTTTTGTGTTTTCTACGGTAATTATAACTGTTTTGGACTAAAAGGCTCTACTGTAATCGCTAAAACTGGACAAAGAAAGACATAAAAACGTGAAAACAGGTCGAAAGTCACAAATTGAAATAAATAAGTCAATAAGACACAACAAAAACATACAATCACTGCTTGAACAGTTCACAATCAAAGACAACAAGAACAAGGTGTGAGGAAACGACAAAATAAAGACGAAATAAGTTCATTACGACCTTCAAAGTTAATAAGCGCTTAATAAAGGCTGTGGGCATACTCGGACCAGGAGGAGATCAGTACAAAGCAGTAGTCGGGACATCTTGGATCTATTCTCGGTAACCAGGAAAACTCTCTGGCCGGGTGAAACCCTCTGGTGGTTGGACTGGCGATGATGCCGGGAGGAGATCGGGGAGTGGTTGCTGGTCCGCCACCTTCATAAACACTCTGAAAAGAGTCGAAATTAGGCGGGAGGCAGTTGAAATTCATTGGTAAAGTTCGATGGCAATCTAAAAACCAAAGCAAAAAAAAGTTTAAAAAAACTTACTCATTCTTGTACTTCATCTTGACGGCGATCAATTCCCGGTAGACTTCCGGGAATTTGATCACCATGTGATTCAAAGCCACTACCAATGGTTCCACTTCATTCAGACGGTACCCACTGTACTTTTCCAAAACATTGCTCCAGTCTCCTTTCTTCGTCACTCTCAGAGCCCACAGAAGCGAAGCAACGGCTATCCGACTTGGGCTGACTCTGCAGAATTGAACAAAATGAAGGGATTCCTCCAACGCGTATCTTGCCGTCGTCAACAACTGCATGTCTCCTTTGATGGCTCTGGAGTATCGGCGGAGAAATGAGTAAGACAATGGAGCTGAGAGATCAAACCCAATCGTTTGGAGAATCTCAATCTCCATTTCTCGGATCTGCGTGATGGTGAAGATGTCTCTGCAAAGATAACAAAGGTCTTCCAGGAATGGTGGAGCGCGCTCCTGAAAATATTCAAGAAGTAATTCTTCAAAAAAAATACCCAAATCAGAAGAAATAAAATCAAAATTTAACCAAATCAATAAATTCCCTATCAAACTAACCTCATATTTACTGGCCACAAAGATGGAACAGATCGCGACCAACTGCACTTTGTTGTTGTCATGGAACGGGGTCTTGCTGTAGTATCGATCCATCACATTGACTCCCAAATAAAGAGTTTCGTGATTAAACTTGAACATTTCTTGGATCTCCACCAGCCAATCCACGGCAATAGCTCGATTCTTCTGGGCCCAGCGCGTCTTGATGTAATCCTCTGGCTGATAACGGAGCTCCCTCGACTTCAAGTAGATCATGACATCACTGACGTATTCGGAATACGCAAACGGATCTCCCTTTGAAGCCGAGTCCACATCAACGTCCGGAGCTGGGTCCTCTTCCCAGAAGAGACGAGGGACTTCGTAGCGCGAGATGACGTCTTGGCTGTCGGCTTTGGAGGACTGCGACGGGTTAGAACAGGGGATTGATCCCTAAAGTAAAAAGAATAATGCAACTTGACGCAATACAAGCCAAACGTGCGGAAGAAGAGGCCTAAAAACAGAAGCAAAAAAGGAGCGAACTTACACTGGATTGGTTGTGTTTGGTGGGCCTTTTGGCGATTGGTTCGTCTTCATGTGGCTTGAACGTCTCTTGCATCGCGTCCGCGGACCGCTTCTTCACTCTGGCGTTATTGTTGTTGTTGTCCATGTTGCTCTGGTTGCGATCGCGGAGCCGCAGAGACATTCTAATGCCTGGCAGCGGCTTCTGGTTAGTCTAAAAAAACAATTCAGAGATATTGTCGTCCAAAGCAACTTCGAGTTTTAAAACGCTTCAAAAGGTTAGAACGAACAATACACCTTGCAAAAACGACTCGAAATCAGATAACTGGACAAGAATTCCCCGAAACACAAAGAAGAACACTAGAAACCAAAGGATCTAACTAAAGCATAGACAATAAAAAGAAGAAACAAACCAAATGCTTGGGGTTTCGGCCGGAACGACGGAACATCTTATTCATCATGACTGGTTTGGCGCGGAGATCGGCCGTAACTGAACTTGGATACTTTTGAGACCCCACCGACTTGCGGGGAATCGAACCGACGACAATGGCTCTAACCTGTGGGAATACTCACGAGAAAATGGAAGGATATTCGCATAAAAAGTTCAAGAAGTTTTGAAATTATTTAGGAAATAAATAAATAACAAAAGAAATTTGAATGTTGCACCAAGATCAACGGAAATTGGCGCAACTCCATCAAATCTACCTAAAATAATAAACGGATCCTAAAAACATGGCGACTATTTAGGTAAATCACGTCAAGCCAACGGTAAAATGCAAAAAGGAGGTCTGCAAAATTGTGAAATAACTAGAAAGACAACAATTTCGCCGAGGACCTATCTTTTTTACAATTCTTGTTTTTGAGTCCTACAACGAAAACTTCGGGCAAAAGGATATTTTGGCTTTCCGCAAAATAAAAAAAACGTAAAAATTTTTATTGTTTTTTTATTTTCTAAATTTTTACTTTCTTCTTCAAACAGTCCTCGTTATTTGTATTCATTTATTTCTGCGGAAAATTTATTTTATTCACATTGGTCAAGTATAACATTAATTTCCTTTCGCTAATCCTGGGAACTTGCATCAAGTGGTTCTGTGTGTCCGCCAGTGGAAGATGAAGCGTCCGCTAAAATTTTAAAGAGGTTTAAACGATGCCTGAGCAATACTTTTATAGGTTGCTCAAGGTCTTACTATGTAGATAGGGATGTTGAAGAAGGGTCTCGCTGCTCGGGCGTTTCTTGCGGTCATGGTCAAAGATTTGCTATGAAAGTAGGTACCCCATCAGGTTTGAGTCTAAACCTTCTTACCTTCAAGATATCGAAGATATCACTCTGTTTTATCGCGCTCAAATCGGCTGGTCGGTTGCAAATAACTTTCCGCAGGTCTCCCTTCGGATCTTTGAAAATCTTCTGGCCAGTGCTAAGCCAGTACAAGATACATCCCAAAGACCAAATATCCAGTCCTTTCGATGCGATCTTTTCCTTCAGATATTCCGGAGACATAAATCTGGTGGTGCCCAAGGCTTTCTTCCGGATAATTGCCTCATTCAGAGGGCCAAGAGGGGTGGCGCAGCCAAAGTCGATCACTTTCAAGGTCCTGCCGCACTTGATAAAGTTTGCTGGTTTGATATCGCAATGTATAATGTCTGAAGGATCAAATTTTTAAATAATTTTATGCTACCCACCTTCAAGGTGAATGTCGTAAACACATTTAACGCAGCAGCGAAAGTAAAACTTCGCGAAGGCAGCGCGATTTGTAATTTTCTTTCTGGCAACGTGCTCGAGATTCCGACCAGCTAGTTCTAATACCATGAACAAGACATCATCTTCGATGGTCTTTCTAAATTACAGTAGGGGACCTGATCCAGTGGCAAAAAACGTACCATTTTGCATCCAGGAAGTATCAAAGAATGTGGCAAAATACCTTCCTCTCCAAGTGAAAAAAAACTCAGATTTCAAAAGCGCGGCGGCTCTTTTTATGAGGAAAAGGGGCGCGCCTTTCAAAACGTAGTTTTTTCAGTTGGAGAGGGAGGTATTTTGCCACGTTTTTTGATACTTCCCGGATGCAAAATGGTACGTTTTTTGCCACTGGATCAGGTCTCCTACTGTAGAAGACATGGACAACTTACGACTCGAATATCTTGATGACTCGTTGGGAGTGGTCCAATCTTTTGAGTATCTCGATTTCCCAATAGGGTTGGCGTTCGATTCGACTGGCTTTGGGCTTTTTCAGATCCACAATTTTCATGGCAACGCGAGGGCAATCGGGATGACCAAGAAGTTTGGCGAATCTGACCTGAAACGATACGTTTTACTGGTCTGAAATAAAAAGTTTAAGATCCTCCCAACAATAAGCCTACTTCCGAAAATCCTCCTTTTCCCAATTTCCGTCCCAACAAATACTGATGGGTGGTATTGAAGAAGGGATCCGAGATCTCGACCACATATCCATAGTTAAATCGGGAGTTCTGATCCGAAGCGCCTGAAGATTGGGTGGATTCATCAGCCAGTTTCGGCTCTTGTTTTGGGACCGCTTCTTCAGCATTTTTTGTTCTGAGCCTTTTCAAAATGTTTTCGTTGCGCTTTTGGACCAACAAGTCCACTTCGAACTCTTCGTGGTTTGCTGAAAATGGGATTTTTGTAAGGGCGACTAAAGTTTCTTGTTCTGATAGGAAATACAGGGTGGGCCACTCGAAACGGGTAAGTTTTTTCCTTGGATTTCTCCGCGGAGACTCCGCCGATTTTCAGGAAATTTAGACTTTTCTGTAGCGGAGACCCGCCATTTTTAACCGGTTGAATTTGAAAAAAATATATTTTGAATTGACCTTTCTGTGCCTTCCCAAAGTTTCGAAGAATTATTTTCGGGCCGAAACCGCTAAAACTTGGAAAATTTTTGGAATGATTTCGAAAACTTGGTCACTTTTTCGAGTTTTTGGGTGAAATTTTCTAAGTTTTACCTCACAAGGGAATGGTCCCAACGATCCGTGGGATCCACAAATGAAACCTAGATATTCTAAAAGAGCAGGTAAAATTTAGTAGGAATCCGTTTTTTCTACTTGCCGAATAAGCCTGTGCGACGAGAAATATCGTCGAAAAGATCCGACCAAAAAATCGAAAGAGAGAAAAGACGAACCGAAAGGCCTCCGAAGGCGTCACCAAATGGTCTAGTGGAAAAAGTTCCACGCACAAATCTTTTGGGGGAGGGAGGCTTTGGAGGTTCGAGTCCACCCGGAGCCGGACATCTCCGGATTTGAACCTACGTGTTCACTACTGTATTCTACAGTTACATAAAAAAAATTTTTTTGTTTATTGACCTGTTTTGCAAGGTTTGTTGCAAAATTTTAAGAAAAGTTGACACTTCGGCAATATATTTGATAAGCCCGATGTCGACATAGTGGTATTTTCAAGACACTTCTACTCGATTCTGGAAGGTTGTATAGGCTCTTGCAGATCTTTTTCGGTTTCCCAAAAAGGATGTTGCCAAAATCTCAGCGTTTCATAAAATTTTGCAAGAAAAGTTGAAAAGAGAATTTTTGGGTCCTTGCATCAGCGTGTAGACCCCGTGAATATTTACGAAAAAACCTATTTTGAGTTTTTTGGTTTAAAATGGCCGTGGACGTGTGTTTAACAAATGCCCAAATTATTTTTGTCAAATTCTGCCCGGAAGGTATAAATTTGCATAAATTTGTCTTCTTTGGAACTTCGGACCTGGCGTCATCATAAAAAGAGGTAATGACCAGTGATTGCCACGCCTTCGGATGCAAAAAATCTTGTAAAACAGGTTAAACAAATAAAAAATTTTTTTGTATAACTGTAGAATACAGTAATGAACACGTAGGTTCAATTCCGGAGATGTCCGGCTCCGGGTGGACTCGAACCTCCATGGCCTCCTTCCCCCAAAAGATTTGTGCGTGGAACTTTTTCCACTAGACTATTTGGTGACGCCTTCCAAAGCCTTTCGGTTCGTCTTTTCTCTCTTTCGATTTTTTGGTCGGATCTTTTCGACGATATTTCTCGTCGCACAGGCTTATTCGGCAAGTAGAAAAAACGGATTCCTACTAAGTTTTACCTGCTCTTTCAGAATATCTAGGTTTCATTTGCGGATCCCACGGATCGTTGGGACCATTCCCTTGTCAGATAACCATAAAATATTGTCGTAAAAACAATTTTATTTAACGGCCTGATTATTAATATTTCTATCTGAGTTCGAAATGCCCATTTCCTCTCGCAGCACAAACTTGTAGGAGCTTTGAGAGTCATGAGAGTCGTGAACAGCTCGAATTGCAGATCGTGAACATCGTCTATCTTTAATCGGGCTGGGCTCCAAGCTTCAATGACTTGGAGCTGGGGCTCGTTGCCAATTGTGTGGACTTTTGCAATCTTTTTGAATTTTTTTTTTTTTTGAATGTTCGTGCCTTAATGGTAATACAAACAACCCTCTTGTGGCTTTCAACTTGCTTTAAACAAGTTTAAGGCGAGCACTAGCAACTTTTTACTCCGCGATTTCCCCCAAAAAAAGCCAAAAATTTTCCAAGTCCGAGAAAGTCAATTGAAAATCATTCCAAAAATTTTCAAAGTTTTAGCGGTTTCGGCTCGAAAATAATTCTTCAAAACTTTGGGAAGGCACAGAAAGGTCAATTCAAAATATATTTTTTTCAAATTCAACCGGTTAAAAATGGCGGGTCTCAGCTACAGAAAAATCTAAATTTCGGGAAAATCGGCGGAGTCTCCGCGGAGAAATCCAAGGACAAAACTTACCCGTTTCGAGTGGCCCACCCTGTAGTTTTTCAATCGCGATCAAATTTTGCACGTTTTTAGAATAGCGTTTTCCGATAGATTTTTGAAAGTTTTAGCTTGTAACTTGCAAAAATGGTGGAAGTTTTTACAGTGAGGATCCAGTGGCAAAAAACGTACCATTTTGCTTCCGCGAAGCATCAAAAATGTGGCAAAAAGCTATCTCTCCAAGTGAAAAAACTTCGTTTTGAAGGGCGCATCCTTTCTCTCACAAAAAAATCTTTTGAAATCGGAGTTTTTTCACTTGGAGAGGGAAGCATTTGGCCACATTTTTGATACTTCCTGGATGTCAGGTCCCCAAAAACCAATATCTTACTTTAGGCATGAAGAAATAAGGGGTTTTTCTTAGCGGAGTTAACAAATTTGTAGCCTAAAAACGTTTTTCGTCTGTCTGATTCTCCCCACACTGTGTGCTCTCTTATAAAAAGTAACATCTTTTCTGCGGATGGAAATCTAGAGTAAAACTTTTGTGGATTGATACATGGCCTCTTTAGAGTATGCATGCCAAATTCAAAGAGAATCAATGTGTTACACTTTGGATGCCTTTTTTATTTACCTTTTTCTCTGAGTTGCGACCAAAAATTTCCGAACTCACCCGGTGATTCGGCTTTCTCTACAGTAGATCTCTTACTGTGGACGTCGGCCTTTGAATCCGCTTTAGGCGCTCGGACCCCTTCGGCACTGGGCGTCCGGGCCGTTGCAACCATCACTTTCTCCAAGCTCTTCGTTTTCGCCGCCGCTGTAGCCATAATCGACCGGTGATTTAGAGGTTGGCTCGTTTCGTCGACCGACCGTGCGCTGACCGAGATATAGAAGGCAAATGAGAGAGATTTTGGGAGATTGGAGTGTTTGAAATTTGGAGAAAGATAAAGAAAAATTTGATTATAATCATTGTTTTTTAGTCTCTTTGACATTTTACAGTAACATTTTTGTGTTTCATTTCGGTTGCATCGTATTTTACATTGTTCTCAGCTCATTTTCAACCTGAAATGGCCTCTTCCTGCTTGACTGGTTCCTAAACACCAGTGTAAATTCACTTTGAATGGTTGTAATTCCCTCCTTTTGAAGCTGTGGACGTTTTTTTCGAACCTCATCGTTTTTTTTTATCGAGGAGTCAAGCTGTCTATGCGGTAACACAAACTCTATCGAACACAAACCTAGCTAATTTTGAGGGTTCAACAATCAATTTGAAATGGAATTTTAGCAAGGTTAATTCGACCAGTCAACAGAAATAAAATTTTCTTTAATCCACCGAGTTTTGTTCGAAAATGCCTCAAGTAAATTGTGAAATAGTACGTGATGGACAGGTTTTTATTCAAGGTTGATTAAATTCAGCTTTTACCTTACAAGTTTACTGAATTGTAAAGTAATTTCCGAGCCGGAAGAACTATTTGGTCGCTCCTGAAATGTCGTAAAAATTGACACAACGCTATGATAACACGCTTCGAAAACAACAAGCACCCATTATTCACAGCCTTTGCGATGCGAACGGAAGATTACGTAAAATTAAAAATGATTTGATTTATGAAAGTCGGAGTCTTCAAAGTGCAAGTTTATTAGCGTCGGAACGAGTTCTTGAAGGGGAAACAAGCCGGACAAAATTAGCTGAGAGTAGTTGAGAATTGAATATTTAAGTTACATCCGGGAAGTATCAAAAATGTGGCAAAATACCTCCCTCTCCAAGTGAAAAAATCGTTTTGAAGGCGCCCATTTTCCTCACAAAAAGATCGGGCGCGCTTTTGAAATCTGAGTTTTTTCACTTGGAGAGGGAGGTATTTTGCCACATTTTTTGATGCTTCCCGGATGCAAAATGGTACGTTTTTTCCACTGGATCAGATCCCCCACTGTAATGGGCAGTAAAAAACTTTTCACCGAAATTGAAAAGAGATGTAAGCGAAAGACGTTTTTTGTCTAGCCGACTCTCCTAATTTCACGGGCTGTCTCAGAGAAAAGATTGCGTTTTATTTCTGCTGCGGCTGAACAGGGCAAGCTGAAATTTTGAACGGTTGATAAATGGGGTATTTGGAAGATATCTGAAAAATTTGAATAAAATCGTATGGTTAAACTTGGAGTACCCTCCTAAGACTAGCTTTCCATAAAATAAGTAGCCCTATCACTAAAAGTTGTTTCAAAAATTTTAGATTTCCTAAACAGAGTCCTCAAAGTGGCTCGACATATCGCCGAGCTCATCAGAAATCATCTTGAACAACTAACATTGCTACTAGAATTCAGCCGATCAAATTGATTGCCCTCCTTTTCTTACACTCAGATTCAGTGCATCCAGCACTTTACGGTCCTAGAAACCGATGATTAAATTCACATCCCACACGATTTACACTCCCTGAAGCTCTGTCGCTCTTCCCACGCTCGCGTCTTTTTTTGAATTCGAAAAGAAAAGCCCCGTTCAGATCACAAATTACAGCAAAAAATTGCAATTTTCTCGGAACTTTACGACGCAAAAAAGCAGGTTACGAATTAATTCCGCATAGAGGGTAGCGGGACGTTCGCCAGTCCGGTATATAAGATGCGGCCGGACGTCGGGAAGGCCAGGCAGCAGCATTCCTAGTCCAACCATGTCCACCAAGGAAGATTTCTCTCAAATGGAGGCCCTGAGGCGAGTCGCTTTCGTCGGCGTCGCTCTCTCCACCATCGCCGCGTTGGCCGGTGTGATTGTTGTGCCCATGGTCTACAACAACATGCAGCATCTGCAGGCCCAGCTGCAACATGAGGTCGACTTCTGCAGACTTCGCAGCGGCAACATTGTGAACGAGATCAACAAGGCTAAGGTGTTGGCGTCGGTCTACCCAAGAGTCGCCCGTCAGGCCGGCTACGGAGGCAGCTCCGGCTCCGATCTTGGAGCTGTTGGTGGCGGACGCCTTGGAGGAGGCGCCGGAGGCAGCAGTGGAGGATGTTGTGGATGCGGTGTCTCTCCAGCCGGACCACCTGGCCCACCAGGCCCAGATGGTGAGCCAGGAACCGACGGACAGCCAGGTGCCCCAGGAAACGAGGGACAACCCGGCGCTCCACCTCCACCAGTCGCCCAAGTCCAGCCATGCTTCGACTGCCCACCCGGCCCAGCTGGTGCTCCCGGAAACGCCGGACCAAAGGGACCCAATGGAAACGCCGGAGCGCCAGGACAAAACGCTCAAGGTGACGGAGTCGGTGCTCCAGGACCCGCCGGACCTGCCGGACCACCCGGTCAGCCAGGAAATGACGGACAGCCCGGACAACCAGGTCAGCCCGGAAGTGTTGTCGATGTGCCCGGCTCTCAAGGCCCAGCCGGACCACCCGGACCTCCAGGACAGCCAGGACAGAACGGAGAGGCCGGACCCGACGGACAGCCAGGACAAGATGGCCCACAAGGACCAGCCGGCGACGGCCCAGGACCAGATGGACCTCCAGGAACTCCAGGACAGCCCGGAGGACCCGGAGAACAAGGACCCGATGGTGCTCATGGAACCTGCGACCACTGCCCCACCCCTCGAACTGCCCCTGGCTACTAAAACTGGACTGGCGAGGCTTTTCGGACTTGTATTTGTCATGATTACCCATATCGTGTCTAAATAAATATTTATTTTCAATTTTTTGGCGATTTTTTGAACTGATTTGACTTTTTGTACGAATTTTGTATTTTCCACTCATTTGGGAGCCCTTCTCATTTGTTTGGTTATTTCTTTTACCGGTCGGCCGAACATGGAAGGCAATGATACTTGTGAGGGAGAAGTAAACAATCCAAATGTAGTCAACGTGATGCTCGGATTGATCGGGACATTAGTCGGGATGTTCGTAGTGATGGCTATTACATTGGGTCTTTTTTGGAGGAAACTTTTGGTAAGCTTGAAGGGCAAGGTCTAATTTAATATAAAAAAATTTCATAAATGAAAAGTAGTCATCCTGAAATGAGATTCTTTGATGAGTTAAAAATTGTAATCCTTCTACAGCATTTATTCACGATTTTCAGAAAGATTTGGCGAGAATCCGTCTAATGCAACATATTATTTCAAACCTCGAGCCCGACCCAATCGACGTTCGAGAGCCTCTTCCCCAAGAACCGTCTACAGGGTATACTGGAAGCACCCAAATCAGCCTCGCCGATCCCTCTTCCAATGGCAATAATGATTACGAAGAGGATCTTCGGGTCTTTGAGAGGTTCAGAATCAGAGTGCGGGCTCTGGAGAAGCACAAGAAAGATGAGAAAAAGGGGTGGCTTAAGGGTAAGGAATGGTGTGGAATTTATTGTTTATTTTATGGATGAAATTTTCGTAATTTCCAAAAAAATGTTTTACAAAAAAAAATCGGCATTTTCAGCCAAGGATGAAAACCAAGGAACCGAAATGAAGACCGGCTTCGAAGCCCGAAGATCCAATCCCAAAACAGCATTGGCTATAGGGCAGTCCGAGAAGGCCGATAACGGCAAAGACAGTGGAGGAAGAGAAAAGGGAAGGAAGACCGACAAGACCGGACCATCTAGCTTCGTTGAAGCCAGTCAAATCAAAACTCAAGCCTCGGTCTTAAATCAATCTCAAGCTAATCCCAAATGATTTTGAATAAATTATACCGATTCGAATCTCTGATTTGCAATGTTTATTCACACATGCAGTATCAATTTTAGTATGCTTTTCAAACCACTTCAAACCTAAGCTTGACGAGCTCGCTGACGTTGACGACGAGCAACCTTGCGACGATAGCCGCCAGCAGCTGGGGCTGGAGCTGGGGCGGGAGCAGCGGCTCCGTATTCGCTGGTCTGGCCGACGTTGGAGACAGCGGCTTGGGTGGCACGAGGTGGGCAAGGACAGTAGGCGGCGTCCTTTCCGGGGATTCCAGCACCTCCTGGGGCTCCTGGCTGTCCATCGCTTCCGGGCTGGCCTGGCTGACCGGGTGGTCCAGCTGGTCCGGCGGGTCCTGGTGGGCCTGGTGGTGGGGCTTGTCCGGGATTTCCTGGCTGTCCAGCTGGGCCGGGTGGTCCAGAAGGTCCTGGTGGGCCGGGAAGAGGAGTGGAGCGCTGACCGTCTTGGCCTGGGTTTCCTGGTGGTCCGGCGGTTCCTGGCTGTCCGTCTGGTCCGGCATCTCCGGGAGGTCCTTGGGTTCCTGGTTGAGCTGGGATTCCTGGAGTTCCGGCTGGTCCGACATCTCCTGGGGCACCTGGAGGTCCGGCTGGTCCGTCTGGGCCTGGTGGACCGGCTGGTCCAGCTGGGCAGGAGATGCATTCCTTGTTGGCTCCATAGGATTCATCCTGGGCCTCTCCGGATGGTCCGGGGTTTCCTGGCTGTCCTGGGGCTCCATCGTCTCCGGGAAGACCTGGAGTTCCTGGTGGTCCGGGTGGGCCAGGTGGACAGTTCTGTGGCTGACGGCCACAGGCGCAAGCAGCCTGTCTCTTGTTGCGGCCAATGAGGGCGCTGAAGGTAGGGGCAGCGCGCTTGGCTCTTTCGCGGGTTTCATGGATCATAACACCCCAGGCATCGTTGGAGTGGAGTTTGAATTCGTGCATGTCGTCCATGATTTCTTCGTAGAGATCGTTGATGTCATTGAAGATGAACACCGAGGAGATCAAGGTGACGGCGACGCCGACGACCGAGAGGCCGCAGATTATTGAAATTAGTGCCTTTCCCATTTCTAAAAATATAAAAATGATTTGAACGACAATTATCAGAACTGTTTCAAAACGTAAGATAATTACGGGAATAAAAAAGGAAACTAAATTTAACATCACTTACCGATTCAAGCTGAAGCTGATCGAGTCGGGACAACTGACGGTCTTCTCCATGTCGCTGCGACTTTAAATACCGAAACCGTCTCGCCAGCGCGCCAAATATTTTTACAATTCGCAAACAAACAGAGTCCCAAACCAGAAGTCGACCATCGCGCCCCATTTTTTTACAAATTCGGTATGCGTATACGAAACGACGTTACAGTGTAATACCTTGCTCGCGCTACCTCAAAGCGGTTTTTATTGTTTTTCCTTTCGCGGAAGCGAACATTTGAGACAAAAAAAGCGAAAGTAGTGATAAGAGAGTGCGTCGTCGTAAAAATAAAAAACATCTTCCTCGTAACCGAGAGCGCAGAAAAAGGGGTCCAACAAAACCTGTAAACAGACAATGAGCTCGACCGGTAAAATTGTCCGTTCAAATGATTTTTTGGGTTGTCCGGAGGCGAAACGAGAACGTGATGAGGTAACGCATATATAAGCAAGGCCTTGTGGAAATTGGTCGTCAGTTGTCCCAACTCGATCAACTTCAGTTTGAATCGGTAAGACAAAATTTTAATTTCCCGCCTTGATTAATTAACCATGAGTATAAAAATTTGCTGATTTTTTTTGCTTTTTACGTAATCAATTTGTCGAAGCAACGTTGTAAAAAATTTAATTATCCTTGTATTTGTAGACATGGGAAAAGCACTAATCTCAATAATCTGCGGCCTCTCGGTCATCGGCGTCGCCGTCACCTTGATCTCCTCGGTGTTCATCTTCAATGACATCAACGATCTCTACGAAGAGATCATGGACGACATGCACGAATTCAAACTCCACTCCAACGATGCCTGGGGTGTTATGATCCATGAAACCCGCGAAAGAGCCAAGCGCGCTGCCCCTACCTTCAGCGCCCTGATTGGCCGCAACAAGAGACAGGCTGCTTGTGCCTGTGGCCGTCAGCCACAGAACTGTCCACCTGGCCCACCCGGACCACCAGGAACTCCAGGTCTTCCCGGAGACGATGGAGCCCCAGGACAGCCAGGAAACCCCGGACCATCCGGAGAGGCCCAGGATGAATCCTATGGAGCCAACAAGGAATGCATCTCCTGCCCAGCTGGACCAGCCGGTCCACCAGGCCCAGACGGACCAGCCGGACCTCCAGGTGCCCCAGGAGATGTCGGGCCAGCCGGAACTCCAGGAATCCCAGCTCAACCAGGAACCCAAGGACCTCCCGGAGATGCCGGACCAGACGGACAGCCAGGAACCGCCGGACCACCAGGAAACCCAGGCCAAGACGGTCAGCGCTCCACTCCTCTTCCCGGCCCACCAGGACCTTCTGGACCACCCGGCCCAGCTGGACAGCCAGGAAATCCCGGACAAGCCCCACCACCAGGCCCACCAGGACCCGCCGGACCAGCTGGACCACCCGGTCAGCCAGGCCAGCCCGGAAGCGATGGACAGCCCGGAGCCCCAGGAGGTGCTGGAATCCCCGGAAAGGACGCCGCCTACTGTCCTTGCCCACCTCGTGCCACCCAAGCCGCTGTCTCCAACGTCGGCCAGACCAGCGAATACGGAGCCGCTGCTCCCGCGCCAGCTCCAGCCCCAGCTGCTGGCGGCTATCGTCGCAAGGTTGCTCGTCGTCAACGTCAGCGAGCTCGTCAAGCTTAGGTTTGAAGTGGTTTGAAAAGCATACTAAAATTGATAATGCATGTGTGAATAAACATTGCAAATCAGTTATTTGGAATAGCCTTTTTGTGTTGACTTGGTTACTTCTTAAGTTTATGTTCAAAAACCATATTTATTTTTTGGTTATCTGATGGAACGGAGAAAAAACGGCTGGGATTTGGGTTATTTGGGCAATTTGTCATTGAAAGTGATATTCAATTTTTGGTGAGGGATTTCGCACTTATCTGATTTCATGGAACGGGATTCTGACTTATAAAAAACAAAGAGAGTGAAAAAAACTGAACTACTTGCTCTGTGGAGGAAATTTGCATATTTAAAAAAAATTTGCATAATTTTAATATTCATTTTTTCGATTCTTTAATTTTAGAGCGACTTTTTATTCCCCTTCTCATTTATTTTTTCACATTTTTACAAGTCCTTTGAACCGCAAACGCTTTGTCCACTTCTCGCCTTCATTTTATTGCCCTTTTTGCACTCTTCCGGCGGAAATTACAAAACGGTACAAACCCTTTCTTCGTCAACGCCTAGCTAATTGTCAGCTAAAATTTTACAATAATAAATCATTCGTTTATTCAAGCCAAAGTTTTCGAAAAGCGGCGGACGCTGGCGCTCTTTGTGAATAGATAAACAATAAAAAGTAATGGGGAGAAGATACGCAACAGCGATTATGGATATTTGGAGGGATTAGAAGACACCCTCTGGCGTCGCCTTCGCTCCAACGAAAGGGGGGATTCCGGCGCTCAAGAAAAACATCCGGTCAAACACTTGTCCCGATATCCATCTCAGCAAGCAGGTTCTAAGTGTTTTATGAGGGAAATACAAGGGAAATTGAGTAAACCGGAGGTTTTAATTTATATTACACCACATAAAAATAGGAAAAATGTAAAACTCGTCATTCTCTCTTCGATCTGCCTATCTGATATCAAGTATAATATAACAATCATTGGCAAACCGCATTAATTATGTAAAAACAACTTCATGATATAATAAGTAGTACTGTCAATAGATTTATGGCATCGACAAGGAAATTCTCACCTTTGAGGTCAATAAAAATATAAAATAACTTGACTTCAAAACCGAGTCTTAAATAAAAAACAAAAATAAATAACTCTAATAGCCGGGGGCAGTTCGTGGCGGTGGGCAGTGGTCGCAAGATCCGGGCGCTCCCTGCTGTCCTTGGGCTCCTCCTTCGCCTGAGGAGCCGGGCTTTCCGGCCGATCCTGGCTGTCCAGCGTCTCCCGAAGGTCCTTGTTGTCCTGGTTGGCCGTTCTGACCGGGCTGTCCCGCCTGTCCGGGCTGGCCTGGTCTGCCTGGAGGGCCTGGGGGTCCGGCGGGGCCTGGCCGTCCGGGAACATCTCGCACAACTCCGGGCTGTCCTCGTTGACCGGGCTGTCCGGGGTATCCGGGTCTTCCCGATTGTCCGGGAGGTCCTGGTGGTCCAGGAGGGCCACGGACTCCGCCGTCGGCGTGTTTGCCTGGAGCGCCGACGTTTCCTGGTCGTCCCTTGGGTCCGGGGTTTCCGGCGGGTCCTGGCGCCGCTGGAGCACAAGTTTGGCAGGGGTTGAGGATAGGAGCGGCTTGTCTTGGTGGTGGACCGGGTTGACCGTCCTGTCCGTTGGTTCCAGGTTGTCCGTCGTCTCCGTTCTGTCCGTCTGGGCCTGGGGGTCCGGGTGGGCCGGGTGGAGAGACGCCGCAGCCGCAGCAGCCAGTGGGTTGAGCGGCGGGAATCGCGGCGTGTTGGGGTTGGTAGTTGGAGACGGCGGCTGGCTCACCATAGGAGTAGCCGGCTTGACGAGCGTGCCGAGGATGAACGTTGGAAAGGACCTAAACATTTTTTAAAATACGTGCAGAAATCCTCTGATCTTAATTAAAACAAAAGTTTAGGCAAAATTCAAAAAAATTCATTTATGATGACAAATCAAAAAATTAAAATTTTGGGCCGACAGTAAATCAAAAAATCTGAATCTCCCAAAAATCCAATTTTAACGTACCTGAGTCCTCGTCACCTCTCTCCAAATGTTGCCAGATCGGCTTTTACAGAAATCGACCTCCGACTGCATGACCGACTGCACATGTTGCATGTAATTGTAGATCATAGGGACCGAAATGACGCAAACAAATGTGGCAATCGTTGAGAGGGCGACGCCGAAAAAGGCGACCGTCCGCAGACTGTCGGCCTCGTGCTGCCGCTGCTTTTCCGACTCCATGACAGCGCCGAAGGGTGAACGGTGATCCAAACGCTAGCCCTTAAATACCCGCTTCAAGTTCTCTTTTTTTCGCTTTCACGTAGCGGAATTCGGAGAGGGCGGTCACTCCGCGCGACGTAGAGATAAGAGGGGAAACGGAGAGCGTGCAGAGAGCGGCCGGTCGAACGGGGAGAACGGGAGGAACACGGAAGAAGATAAGGGCCGCAGGGGAAAGCCGGTGAAAGTACTGTAGGTCAAAACCCGTTTTTTACAGAATGATGGGTTGAAGGTTCAAGTAAAATGAGAGATTATTAAATATGAAGATGCGGCAGAGTAAAATCATAAGGCTAAAAAAGCGTTGTAAGACCGGCTACCTCAAGGTCGAACCATTCTGGCGCCAGATCTTGGACCCGTCAAAGGTTTTTTTTTACTTTCTTTGCAAATGACCCGTAATATTGGGAGTGTAAAAAGTATCGCCGCAGAGCAAGGGAGTTTTGAGATGTTTTCTGCAATGAGCAATGGATTCAAGAAGTTTGGAGAGGTATAGTAATAAAACCAGCTAAAATACGCCTGATATGGCTGGTTTTTTATATAGAACATGGACTGTATAAAGAGTGAAGTTAAAAATCTTTTAATCTGGAAAGACAACAAAAAATTTAAAATTGAAATTTTGTACCAATGCATTGAAAAAAGTTATGAGCGTTGCAATTCCTAAAAATTTTACGGTCAAGGTTTGTCGAAGCTTTTTTGAAACCTTTTATTAGAGCAAAATTAAGTCAGGCAAAATAATTGCAGCAACAAAAGCAGTATTTTGTCAAGGACCTCAAAGAAAGGCTAAAGAAAATTTTCTGACTGTTCTTCCCATTTTTCCCATCATTATGTTTGCAAGGATCACTAAAATATTGGGTTTCCTTGCAGAATATTCAACCTTACAGGGATCAATTACATGGCTAGCTAGAATCAGCATGCCAATTTTGAGAAAAATCCTACCACCAAGTTTCGAGAACCTTGCTCGTAAATTTTAAATTATAAATGGTCTGTATTTATGCTGCAACAAAAAACCGCTGGTTATTTTCGGATTATTCTTTTAGCGATTTAAATTTACTATGCATTTTCTATGCCTACAATCTCTTAATTATAAAAAACAAAAGCCTCTAAAACATCTAATAAGCCCACTTTCTCCCTACAAATCAAAGACCGAGCCCCCGCGCTTTCCCAGGCAGTAGCCGGCCTCCCCTGAAACTTATCGGCACCGAAAATCAGCGTTCCGCAAACTGACTCAGAGCGAGCGCCTTCAGGAATGGGATTGGAACGCAAATGAGGGGCGGATTCTTGCGGATTCGTCTTCGTATCCTCATCTGCACACAGATTAGCGGCAATTGTTGTGTGGGAAAAATGGGGGTGAGGATGGAGGTGAGAAGCGGGAAAATTTACAAAGACAGGAGATCAAACCGTCAGAGGGTGTGGGAAAAATATTGGCTTAAAACTTTGCACTTTTAAGCGTTTTGGATTACTGTAGCAAAAACGATGACTAAAGGGCCGAAAAGTAGGAAATAATTTCGGATTAATTTTTGATAGAAATTTCAAGGTGGCGAGGAGTATAGTCACTCCAAAAAATCAGTGTTTTCGAATCCCAGTTTGCGCAGATAGAATCTGAACGGCTTCGCCTGGCCGACTATCCTCATTTTGCGTGCTCTCTCGGAGAAATATTGCATAATATTTCCGCTGCGGGTTGATATTGCGGGCTAAGAGTTTCAGGGATTAATCTACGGTTGGTTTAAAACATATGTGTCAAATTCAAAGAAGATCAAAGTGTCCTGCCTGGCATAACCTTATGTTAGTTTTAAAATACGACCCTCTGTATACTCTTATCATTAAGAATAGCTCAGGCAAAAGCCAACGTTTCAATTTCACCTCACAAAACCCCATGTAAAATATGGGTGCCTAATTTTTGAAAAATAAAAGTGCCCCACCTGGCATAGCCTTATATAAATTTTAAAATACGGTGTTCTGTAATCTGCGGTTTTTAAGACTGTCTCAGACAAAAGCCAACGTTTCATTTCACCCCACAAAACCCCCAAATTTTACTCTACAAAATCGCGTCTGCGAATATTCGGAATCCAGTTCTGTATCCCTAATTTTTCTCAATTTATGCTGGCGGCGAGCCCCTCATTAATGCGTAATTCGAGCTCAACGTAATGACTACAGAGTGGCGATGAGACCGAATATATTTTTGTTGCAATTACAATGCATTTGTGCTCCACGGAAACAATGAGATCATCAGGAGGAAAAAGTATTGTAATCGAGAGGGATTTGTGGGCAGGAAGAGGGCATAAGGAAGTCATCGAGCGAACAACTCGGAGGTTCTTGAAATTTTTAGTTACTTTTTGAATGTCCTCTATATAGGTGGTATACCAGTTGCTGAAAATTTTGGCTTTTGTTTTGCAACGGCTGCAGAGATATTCAACGATCTTTGCGGACGAGTCAACATAGAAGCGTTATTTTATTTCTTTTGTCAATTGTGACACTTCGTTTGGACGAAACTTCAAAGTGGATGAGAAACATTTTTTCGTATTTTATCCATATTTATATCCAAATTCCTGAAGTTCCATCAAATTTCCCCCCTGCAGCTACCACAGATTCTTTGCCTTGTGTTGCTATCAAGGTCACACGAAAAAAGTGTTAAGGGTGTGGTCACAGCGAATGCCCTTCATTTGTCACACCTCAAGTGTTTCATTTCAAACCAATTAGGAAACCGTTTTGTAATCAGTACATTACAACCATTGCTGCCAATTGGAATTGGTCGTAAATAATAACGAAACGAAAGCTTGTGGGTTGCGAGAAAAAGGAAGGAAAATAAATAACAATAAACTGTGAGAATACCAAAATAAAGTAATATTTATAGTTGAAGCACCTTTCTTACTTATGATACATAGAAGCGTTTGAAAATGAGCTCAGATTTTCTTTGAATTTTGCACACGTTTCTGGCATAGGCCACATAAAATTTTCTCATGATTTTGACTGCTCCTTCCTAGGCTAATATATTCAACAACCTTTGCGGCCGAGAGAGTGCGCGAATGGCCGAGTGCGATCAAAGAAAAAAAACTTTTCGCCGTATATTTGCCAGTTTCGCATGAAAAGAATTGATTTTTTGTGGAAAGGTCGCCCTCTATTCCAGAAATATGCAATGAAACTTTTATGCCAAAATTCGCAAAAATGTATCACATTTTTCCCGACTTTCTTCTTAAAAATCCCAGTCGTTTCTGCATAGCGGGAGCTAGGGACCTTTAATTGCTTGTCTAAAAAAATTCAGTAGGTCTAAAAAAAATTTTAAAAATTCAGTAGATCTTGGGAAAAAAGTAATTAAAAACTGCGCCAATTTTCATCAAAACCTGAGCGTCCCACTTCTCGCACTTCTCCTGAAAACGCATGACTTCGAAGAAAAATGGCACCAAAATTCGTCCATAAAGAGCATCACTATGAGCCTTTCCAGGGCGTTATATAGGAACCGAGTGGCCTTGAACACCACAAGAAAAGCATTATTTTTCCAACTACATAACCCCAGTTACTCAAACATCAATCTCCAGACTTGAATTTCCCTTCACAGACACCTGTTTTTTTCCGCTTTATATAACACAGTAATGTCCACTGTTTTTCTTCTGCGTTGTTTTCCGGATAATCAAATCCCAGGTTGGTTTTTTTCGCTCGCAAAACAAGTTTTGCCGGCTTAAGCGCTACCTTTAAACTACCTTTTACTACCTTGCCTTAATGGCTTCTTCTGCGCAAAGTTTTTTTTTTCGATTTAGCTAAGCGGGTTTGGTTTTGTAATCTTGCGTTTTCGAAAATTGGCTTTTCCATAGAGAATCCAAGGACGTTCGAAATGAGCTTGGAACGGCAAATTAAATTTTGAAGAAAATCGCAAGATCGCTTACAAATAAGGAAGGGTCAAACAAGAAATAAAAAAAATACAAGTTTTCTGTTTTCCCAAGGCCAAAGACACGTGTTTTACCACGAAAACAATACCATTTTGCGCATTATTTGTCGGATGTCATACGTGAATAGTGTTGACGCTCAGACTTGCTGTCGGGTTCCCCGGCCGCTTACAGTAGCAGACCTGTTCTAAATAACGACAAGACAATTCAATCTTGGATCCGGAATTATTTTTTTATTGTACAGGGGCGATAATTTTTTGGCCGGATTTGAAATGGCTATAACTTTTCGGAGTTGGACGATTGGGGAAAAAGACGATTGGGGAAAGGGACGATTGGGGAAAAAGACGATTGGGGAAAAGTACGATTGGGGAAACCGAAAAGTATTATTTTTCTTCCATGCAAATGTCGAAGTTAGGATAATCGAGGGTGCTCATTTCGAAAATGACATTCTTTTTTTTTGATTCTTACTTTTTTTCTTAAGTAGTACTGTAAAGTAGTAATTTTTGATTTTTTTTCATAAATACTCGATTTAGGGGTTTTCGAGGGTGCTGATTTCGAATATCGGGTTTATTTTTTCTGAACATTACTAGTGTTCCTTAAGTAGTACTGCTCAGTACCAATTTTTTAAAAATTTTCGAAAAATACTGGATTTAGGGGATTTCGAAGGTGCTGGTTTCGAAAATCATGTAAATTTTTCCTCTAGTACTATATAGTACTATTCTGATACTATATAGTACGAGGTCAAAATATGGCTTTTGACGTTAATGGTGTTGTTTTGATGCTTAGTACTCTTCAAAAACACGTTTTAAAGACTTGGTGCTATATAGTACTACCTGATACTATGTAGTACGAGGTGTAAAGTTGGCCTTTAGGCGTTCGTGGTGTTGTTCTGGTGCTTAGTACGCCTATTTTTACTTCGTACTACATAGTATCAGACAGTACTATATAGCACCAAGTCTTTAAAACGTGTTTTTGAAGAGTACTAAGCATCAAAACAACACCATTAACGTCAAAAGCCATATTTTGACCTCGTACTATATAGTATCAGAATAGTACTATATAGTACTAGAGGAAAAATTTACATGATTTTCGAAACCAGCACCTTCGAAATCCCCTAAATCCAGTATTTTTCGAAAATTTTTAAAAAATTGGTACTGAGCAGTACTACTTAAGGAACACTAGTAATGTTCAGAAAAAATAAACCCGATATTCGAAATCAGCACCCTCGAAAACCCCTAAATCGAGTATTTATGAAAAAAAATCAAAAATTACTACTTTACAGTACTACTTAAGAAAAAAAGTAAGAATCAAAAAAAAAGAATGTCATTTTCGAAATGAGCACCCTCGATTATCCTAACTTCGACATTTGCATGGAAGAAAAATAATACTTTTCGGTTTCCCCAATCGTACTTTTCCCCAATCGTCTTTTTCCCCAATCGTCCCTTTCCCCAATCGTCTTTTTCCCCAATCGTCCCAGTTCCATAACTTTTTTATCTTTTGGCCAAATTTTAAAATTCTTGTTTTCTCTAAAACCTCAGACATCCCAATTTTGTTTAATACTAAGCATTTTGGTATTAATCTCTTCGGCACCGGAAAAATTGGGCCCTGAAAAGACCTAAAGGCAGTAGATTCTTTTACTCTTACCAAATTGTTCCAGGAGGCCATATTTAATCTTCAAATATCGTCTCTGTAAACCACAAGTCTTTCGTTCAAAAAAATTCAAAACATATATCCCTTGTTTTTATGGCACTTTACATAACAATATCACAAAAAAAAATTTTCCAGGCAACAACAAGTACGACCCGTAGCAATAACAGAGCGAAAAGACATATGTAGTAAAAGACAAAAAAAAGAGCGAGAAGTAGATGTTTACAAGCCCTCCAATGGCTTCCACAAGGATGTATAGGGTAAAACGTTATGGAAAATCAAAACAAACACAATGATATACACTCCTCACACCTTGAACACTGCGATATCATTTGCGATTTTTTTATCTCCACCCTTTACTAAATCCGAATCGGACAGTTCTCTAGTAATTGCGGGCTGCTCATTCTCACTTCCCGCGTCTTCGTTCTTCCGCACCGGGCAATACGAATACATAACGACCGAGAAAATAACCATAACCGTACCAAATCCAAACAAAATTGTTGGATAGCGATTAAAAAGCAGAGCCACAGCGATGGCCGAGACAATGATGGCCAACGAAGAAGCCAGGGATTTGATGATATTGTCGGCGTACTTGATGACAACGGCGATTACGAGCCCTCCAATGGCTTGCAGAAGAACAGCCGACCAGATGTAGATATTGAAGCCGGCGGCTAGGCCCTCAGTTCGGACAAGATCGTAGTCGGAGATCTGAAAGGTGTTAAGAGTTGGATTAAAATACGCTGTAAAAAGTTGACAACAGCCAAGGCCTTAAGAGTGATATAGCAAAGGAGGTTCCCTAAGTCAGATGCTCATAACTTGTTTAAATTTTACATACGCATTAAGGATGACATATAATTTCCAACAATTTTTAGCTCGCTGTTTGAAGCGGCAGCCCAGATATTCAAGAATCCTTGCCGTCGAGAGAGCATGATTGTTGCATGCGACCCCCAATTTCGCAAGTTAAAAATCCATTTTCTGTACAAATCTTTGAACTGCCAGAACTAGTAAAGGTTGACCAAGACAGGGCTCTCGGCCGGACGTGGGAAGACTGGCCGGCTCCTTTGAAAGGGTCGGACCGAATCGAAACTTATATGGTACTGGTCGGCCCGAGAGCCATTTCTGTGATTGTCGAACATTTACCGGTTTTCTGCCCAAAAATCCTAGTTGTCTATGAAAGAGCGTAATATAGGATAGGGATTAGAAAAACGTCCGGTCAAGGGGCAATAAATCTCATTAAAATCTAAGCGTCGCGCTTGAAGCTCTTCCCTTTGAAAGGTCAAGCAAGTATGTCCTATAAAAAAGATTTTTCATCGCACCTCATATACAGCTTAGTTGTTATTAGTTGTAAAATACGTCTCGGCTTTTTTAATGTGGAAAAACTTACAAAGATAGTTGCCACAGCGGCTGGAATGGCCAACGTTGACAGTTGTAGATTTCTCATCCACAACGAGACATTGGATTTTTTCAAAACTTTTTCGAAATAAACTCCAGCGAAGCCGGAGAAAACACAAGCCACTAAAACAGCACCAATTCCAATAGCAACATGCTTAACATGGTCAATATTTGAGTGATCCAGTAGTAAATCATTAGTGTTTTGACCAGTAAAATTAAAGGAAGTATTGTAAAAGCCAGTGAGATTTGAAAGTTGCAGATCAATCTTGGCTGGAGTCGCCTTTTCCTTCTGAAAAAATGATTACTGACTTTTTGTAACTCGTATTTTACAAAAACTTGTCTTTGAATAGTAGCTTACAGCAATGGTCACAACGGCCACTCCAGCACTCAGAATGAACAATGAGATCCATTGGGAAACGGAGAGCCGTTTGCGCAACATCAGAACCGAAAACAGGGCCGTTGTCAGCGTTTTGGTCTGGTAGGTCACCTGAAATAGGAAAATATATGGGCATTGTTGGTGATCACAGTCAAAACCTTTGGGAATCAAATGAAAACTAAAACGGAGGCATTCAAGCATCCTTGCCGACGAGAGAGGACGAAAAGGCGGAGAGTTTGCCAGAGAAAAACACATTTCTGGCCATACCTTTGCTTATTTCGCGCTATAACAATCAATGTTTTGTGGAAACATTCCCAATTATCCGCAGAAAACATGCGGATTTTTTTACGACAAAACTCATAAAGAATTGCGAAATTTTTGGTTTTTGGCCAAAGAAAATCTCTGTAATCCTGCAAAGCGCAGCTTAGCAATCTCACCTACGGTTCAGAAAGACGTATTAAAATTAAAAAAAATCAAAAAAAAGTAAATTAAAATTTCCTACCAAATAAGTCGTACTGTCGATGTGTTCAATGGCCAAGTAAAGTAGATAGTTTTGGGCTGTATAAATGATGGCTGGAACCCCGACCTTCAGCGTGTCCACAAAATCGTAGACAAAATGGTATCGAATGCCTCGAAGGAACCTGAAAGCAGTGAAATTAAGTGTCCACATACTCTAGCAACACCATCACTAAATATGAAAAAAAACTTACTTTTTCAGCGATCTGCATGACATAAAGTAGAGAACAGAAGTAATTGCGAATTTGATGAGCTCAGTGAAGAGAACAACCGAGGATCTGGCGTATTTTTTGTGGTTAGGAATCTCGTTTGCATATTTCATAACGAGGACATAGGATGAGAATTGAATGACAAGGATGGTCAGGCTGATGTAGCGGATTATTGAGGCTGAAAAAAAGAGTTAAATGGGCTTCTCTTTGCAATTCTTCCTTGTAAGTTTTTGCCAAATTTGATGAAAATCTGAGCGTTATATTGCAAGCGGTCCCTGTGTATGTTGCGCCGAATCTTCAGCAACTTTCCCCCTTCAAATGTTGATGGCTTCTGCAACGCGCATGCCAAAAATCTCGCATATGTCAGGGGAAAGTCTAGTCTTAACTTGATGCTAGTTTTCTCAAAATCTGACCTGCCCAATTTACAAGGGAAGTACCCGAAGTGCGACGCTCGGATTTTGATGAAACTTACAGGGGAAGTACCCCAAGTGCGACGCTCAGATTTTCTTTAAATTTTGCACAGACGGCGGTCATGAACTAGGTATCAATTCCTGAAAGTTTTAGCTCGCGCTTTGCAAGCGCCGCCGAGATATCAAAAGATGTTTGCCGCCGAGAGAGTATGCTAAAAGCGGAGAGCGATCAGAGAGAAAAGTGTTTTTTGGCCATAACTTTGACAGTTTCGCGCGGAAAATTTTGATTTTTTGTAGAAACATTATCCTTTACGGTTGAAATAGGCATGAAACTTTTTGTGCCTAAATTCAGCAAAAAGTGTCAAATTTTCGCCAAATTTTGCTCTAAAAATCTCGGTTGTATTTGCAAAGCGCGAGCTAGAATTCTCGCATATGTTTTAGAAAAAATACTCTAAATTTGTGCCAAGTTTCATCAAAATTTGAGCGTCGCACTTGGAGTACTTCCCCTGTTAGCTGTTTCCTCGGCTAATTTCAAGCTTTACTCACCTTTCTTTTCCTTGCGCGTTTGCCTTTTTTCCTCGATGATTTTCTGCTCCAGACTGCCAACATCATGAATTTGTGGTGTGTTGCAATTCTGGACCTTTGTCATTACTGAAAAGAGAAGCTAAACAAAACGAATGATACGATTATTAAGGGAGAAATGATTGTAAACCCGAGAAGTTTTTATTTTTTCGACCTAAATTGGCGAAAATTTAAAAAAAGGGGATGATAAAACGATGGGGGAATCACTGTGAGTAAGACGTAAAAGGCAATGTTTGATGTTTAAAAAACTTAAAAATGGCCTTAAAATTCGTATACAGTAGAAGTCATCTTTTTTAAAGGTATATTACAATTACTGGCTATCAAATCACATTAAACCATATGTTCGCTAAATCGCAACGTAACCAATCGAACTGCTGTTTACCCGCATGCCCTAAGGCTCGTTGCTTATTGATTGTTATTTCACAACAGTCCCAGACCGAACAAGTCATACGTGAGGGTTGCGAATACATTTTAAAGTAATCACAAGCTCGAGAAAGCAAAGATGGATTGAACACATAAAAATGTACATTCAGGAAAGATCTAGGTGTTGTGGAGCGCAGAAAAATTTGAAAAAACTTGATATATTGCAAGGCTTTCAATTGTCTTTTGCGTTTCTGCAAAAGATAGAGCTTTTTAGATTGGTGTGATGACCAAAAAAGCTTTCAAAAGTCTCCGCCGAATACAGTACGTTCCGCGTCCGCGGAGAAAAAAAAAGTTTTTTAGGCAAAAAACCGTCCATTTTCTTCTTTTTAGTGCAAAAAGATTTTTTTGAATATCTTGCATGAGCGACGAGAAATTGACAAAAACTTTCCGCGGAATTTTTCAGGGCATCCTGTGTAACAGTGCATCTAAATGCCGGAGCAACTTTGAAAATGGTTCGCGAAATAGGGTTCAGACAGTGAAATGAACTCAATAGAGTTCACGCAAAAATGAATATAAATTTTGTTAATCGTTTTGCGAACTGATTTCAACAAATTGGGTTCAGATTGTGAGTAATTCAGGCTGTGAACACTTGCTCCGGAATTTAGATTCACTGTCGCTTACATATATGTCTTAAAAAAGCTAGTATGTTCTAAGACTGAGTGTAGTTTCATCAAAATCTAAGGGCCGCATTTTGAATATATAACCTTGTTAAACACCATAATGTAAAAAATTTTTTTGGTAGTTATATAAATAGCTGTAGGGTGGCTTAAATTTCCGAGCGAATTTGGCAAAAGGCTTTCGAAACGTCTCGTAACGGTCTTGAAAACATACAGTGGGGGACCTGATCCAGCGGATCAAAAATGTGGCAAAATGCTTCTCTCTCCAAGTGGAAAAAAACTCAGATTTCAAAAGCGCGCCCGCTCTCTTTGTAAGGGAAAGGTCGTGCCCTTCAAAACGAAGTTTTTTCACTTGGGAGAGGCATTTTGCCGCATTTTTGATGCCTCCCGGATGCAAAATGGTACGTTTTTTGCCACTGGATCGGTTCCGTCACTGTATCAGTATGTCGGGAAAATAATGCGGACTTATCACGCCTTGGAATCACCCATCATCGAATTGCGTAATTATTTGGTTCGTTCCTGTGACGAGATGAGAAATTTGGCAGCGACAAGCGCACATTATTTTCCCAACAGACTGCTAGCTAAATAAAAAGGAGCCTTATGGCGTTAAAATCTGAGAATCATCACAATTTCAGTCTGTTCTTATCTGACGAGCCGCTCAATAAACAGACATTTATGGCCATAAAAAATCTTTAAACTTTGGCCGAACTATTTTTGATCGAGTGTCAAATAAATAAAAGCCAATTACTATATAAAAGGCATACGAACAAGAGATCATCCCTCTAAAGAAAAAACATCTGATTCAGAAAAGTCAAAAGAGGTGTTTTCAACATAGCCAAAGTTATTTCGAAAAAGTCTTTCCCGCTGATTACTCAAAAGCGCTATAATTAGCAAAATCAACATGTCATTGATATTGTTCGTTAATTACTTTTTATAAATCGACTTAAAAAATCGGAAAATCAATGGTTCTCCAGCTCGGAATATGTAAAATTTCAACCCCCAGTCTTATTTACTGCGCAGACGCTCAAATACGATCAGTTACAGAAAGAAACTGTAAATTCTTCGTTAACCCTCCCTCTTATTGTCCAATAAATCGCATGGTTTGTCATGGAAAACCTGCGCAATACACTGAAAATGCACCTCAAATGTCGTTGATATAAATGATAAGCGGGTACCCCCATAAACAACAAAAAACTCCTGACGGCGGAGAAAATAATCAAAAATGAGCCGAGATGGTGGTAAGACAATCAGTAACCGTTAACGGCTTGTACCATCCATCACTCTTCGGTCGCCTTTAAAGGTCTGACGATGAATGCTTCGACCGTGAACTTTGAGTGGAGTTGGGGGTGAGCAACGAGCTGCTTATTACTAAATAAAACAACTACGTTTTTCTTTTGATGGTTATAGTAAAAAAGTCAGTTTTGTGGAGGAATATTTTGACAGGAAGTGCTCAAAGATAAATGCTTAGTTTTTTATGAAAATCGATATAATCCTAGGTCAAGATTTTCTATGAAAATTTTGAGCTTCTCAGTAAATGTTGGATTTTATTTTATGCAAGATTGCATAGAAACCCAAAATGGATTTTACAGTTGCTTTAGATTCTATAACGTATGTCTTTAGGAGTATTGAAAATTTAGTTTAAATAAAGCCAAAAGAAGTAAAAAAAGTGCCATCAAAAATGGGCCGGACACATCTAAACACTTGCACTATTGTTTTCCACCTTCATCAATACACTACAAGCAATTTACGCAAACGTTTTAACAACCTGCAAGGTTCCCGTGTATGACCCCGAGTTTGTTCGGCGAACGCTCCTGTTTGCTCTGACGTTCGTTGATTAGATATCAATTACCCAACATTAGCAGGAAACTACGAACCATAGAAGCTACCGTAATCTGGCTCAGTGCTCATATCTTTGATTCAGTTGGCTTTTAGGGTTTTTCAAATTACCGTAAAGACATCGTACCACAATTTCTCTACTATTAATAATTGCAAATCGACAAAAAGTAAAATGATTTATCGAAATAAAGCAGCTTCTACCAAGCTGCGAATTTTATGATCGAAGGTCGGAATAGGCAGATATCAGGACAATATTCAATTCAATTCAATTTATTTCCGCTAATCATCTAACAAAAGTAGAAAAACGGGCCATGATTCGGGGCCAAGATGGGGATGTCACGTCGGTTCTCCAGTTCTGTCCCACCATGTTCAACTTGTAGAAGTTCTTAAAGTCGTCTTCCCAGCGCGTTCTTGGTCTTCCCAGCGGCCTTTTGGTATCGATTTTGTCAGTGCCCAAGTTTCAGATCCGTACAAAAAGGCTGGTAGGACACAAGAGGCTGCGGACTTTTCGCATCCGAATTCGTGTCCAAATTTACGATTTTTGTTGCAACCGTACCCGAGAAGAAACGAGAATATGTGAACCTATGAACTGCATTCCACTTTTATGCACAACTCGGAAGTACAGCCAAACTTGAGATACTATAATAGTAGGATTCATACGTTTATCCAGTAAAACAATACAGTGGTAAGAAACTAATATTTCAAAAGCGCGCCCGCTCTTTTTGTGAGGGAAAAGGGCACGCCCTTCAAAACGGAGTTTTTTATTTGAAGAGGGAAGCATTTTGCCACATTTTTGATACTTCCCGAATGCAAAATGGTACGTTTTTTGCCACTAGATCAGGTCCGTCACTGTAACCCGTAACACAGAGCCTTTTTTGATCTTAAATTTCCTTTCAATTACTCAGTTATGGTCTATATTGCATCCGAATTCAAGTTTAGAACTTTATTTATACAAACAATTTCCATTTACCGTGCCCGGCAAACTTGACTGATAAATATAAAGCTTATGTTTCCTTTTTCGTCAGAGGTATCGGAGGATTTACAAAGGATGGATACAAAAAAATATAGTGATACGAAAGCACCGAATCTATAATACATAAAAGTGAAGGGTAAGTGAAAATATTATGGTTATATTAGGACCTAATTCGATGGAAATCGCGGTGAAAATTGGACTAGAAAGGGGATAATTGGACGCTGAACGGCTGGTTGGGGATTGGGCGGGCCTGAAATTGGGTAAATTAGAAAATTTTTGGAATAACAAAAAAAAAAAATTTTTTTTGACTTACAGTAAGTTCAACATGACTTCCATGATGTTCGGCTAGCGCTCGCTTCAGATTCTCATTTTCTCGCAATAATTCGTCAATCTGCCGCTTTTGAGTTTCAATTAGACTCTAAAATATCAAAATATTACCTTATACTAGACACTACTCCAACATAACCCCAAAAAATCCTACCAAATCCTCGTCTTTGATAGCTACTCGTCCATTTATCGACTGACAAGAGGTGCTATTCGATAATCTCGGTTCCTGATCGGGTAATTGCGCGACCACCGACCTGGCTCGGTAATTTGATCTGGTCTTCGTATAGGGTATCCTCTCATGGCCGGTTTGGCTTCTGCTCAGTTGATATGGCCGCTTATCTTCCACATCATTGTGCCCTGACGATGTCGAAGAGCATGAAGTTGTGGTGGCCGTGTGATACGAGAGGTTGTCCTTGAGATAATTCGAGTATTTTTGGCTATCGCCATGCGATTTTTCCTTCCCGAACGTGTCATTTGGGCTGTTCGAGGAGGACGAATAGCAGCTTTGATTTTGGCTCTGATATCCCGAAGAGGGTAGACCGAGTCGTCGCGACTCCGGATCGATCATATCGATGCGCATGTCGGTCATATAACTCTTTCTTCGGGTCTTTCTCGGTGTTATCCTCCGATCCACATGACCTTCCGTTTCCGAGTCCGTCGCTTCATCGTCAGCAGGATCCAGACTCACATTCGTCAACTCATCAGCCTTCAAATCGTCTTGAGAGACCTCATCGTACAAATGGTAGCCGTCTCGAGCACTCGGGGTGATATCATAGATGTTGTGGTAGGGCATTGAATATCTCTTGGCCAATCCCTCCCTTCCTTCGCTCATATCTCGATAAAAGAACCTCTGTTGGCTCTTCGATCTCGACGAAGATTCTGGAGTCACTGCGGTGCCCATAACATAGTCATCCACCGTGTTTAGGTTCATCGCCGCTTGACGTTGCGATCTTTTTGGTGGTGGAGCCGGTTTCACATTATTTTCGTAGTCGGATGGGGGACTGGTAGACTGCCGAGAAGAATACGAAGAAAAGGTGGACTGAGGAGTGTATTCGCGGGTTTTGCACATGTCGATCTCGGCGATAATCGCTTGTAATTGCCCCATGTTCTCATCGATCTGACTGGCTTTTTCGTGAAGCTGAAAATAGTAAAATCAAAGTTGAAATAACCAAAATTTCAATCTTAAAAGAAAATATACGGTCTAATTTTTCCGAATTTCTCATCCTCTTCTAAAATACGAACATTTTTCGACCAAAAAAACCTCAGAGAAACAGTTGACCCAAATCGTCAAGTCTTCCCCTCTCTCAAAAAAAAGCCGTAAAAACGTTCAAATTCTTACCTCATTCGTCCAATGTTCCTCCAAATAAGAGTGTAGACAGCTCAACTCCTTCCCTTGATCAATTTCGCTATCAATATCATTGTTTGAGGCAGTTATCGCCTTCTCATTCAAAAGTGGTGGATGTGAGATGCCAACCAAGAAGGAATGCATGGGTCTGGTCTCTTTGATAATGAAATTGTTCATGAATTCCATGAAGCTCTCCTTTCCACCAAACTTTGTGAAGTTTGCCAGAGTTTGAAGAGTTTTTGCGATCAAAGTCAAGTTACGGGCGGCTTGTTCTGATGGATACTCGGAGACCTGAAAAGAATTTTGTGGTACGTTTGTTTGAATATTATTTTCTTTTGTATTTAGGGAGGGAATTATGCATTATGCGGACTGAAATTGGGAAATTACGATCCACGCTCAAAACAGGTGGTCTAGTGTAAGATAATACAAATTCTTATAGAAAACAGTTGTCAAATCCGGATTCTTTGTTCAGAGTAGTTGAATTATACAACAACCTACATTTCAAACATTTTTAAACAATTTCAGAAACGAAAGAAAGACCCACATTCAAATTGTCTGAATTTAGGTATCTAAAATCTAATATAATTCCAAAAAATCTTCAAAATATCCAACTTTTCCTCTCTAAAAATAAACAAAAAACAAACTTACCAGTCCAAACAAGCTCGGCGACAACACGGCAGGGCATAAGAATCTCAAAAAGATGGAAGCCGACACTAATTTATCGCCCAGTTGACCCTTTCCCTGTTCATCCAACCTTCTCCTCAACGCATGGAACACCTCGCGCAATTGTTGCGGGAATATCGAAGCGGACTTGACGATGCATCCCCACGCCTGCTCTACGGCATCCATCAATCGTTTGCGGTTCGCATTCAACGCCGTTGTCGAGTTGGACGACATTTTTGTCGGGTCCACTTCACAAGTTGGTGGATTCACAACCAAAGACTTGACGAATTTCCCCAATGTGTTGTGGAGATAGTCCGCCGCGACCAGCTTGATGTAGGCTTCCATTGATTTCGTAGCCAAGGAGTTCCCACGGAACATGAGGTGATCGTTGTCCAGCTGACCCACTTCGGCCATGATGATGTCGCAAAGGAAGTCTTTGACCACTCGCTGACGATGTAACACTTTAACAAGGCATGTGGCAAAGTCCTCCTTCAATTTCACACCCAATGCCGACTCCAGGTGCTCGCAAAGACAGAGATAATTGAGTTTGACAAAGTTGTTGAGACGATTGTAAACGATCAAAGGAAGAACATCAACGGTTTGATATCTGGCCTTGATTCTGATTGCTACCGGCTCAGAATTCTTCGACAACATTGATCGAGTGTTCTCCTGGCCGGTTGTCACTGTGAACCTGCAAAATTTATATTATTTATGGGACTTTTCATCAAAATTTATATTGCACTAGACATCTCTACAAAAAATTTGAAAAATTTATGTAATTTCCCAAAATTAATGACGTGTCTGAGTAGTCTATGATGCATGTAATGGATTCTACTGTAATATCCTTTAATTTATTTCGAACTCGTCGAAAAAAATGGATCGTGACCAGCCAACCGTCTAATTTCCCCTTTCGAAACCTTGAATAGCAAATATTCGAGCTCTACAGGTCCCGAATCCTCGGATCCCTCAAGGAAATCATAGAATATCACCTAATTTTGGAGTGTAAAATAATTTACTTACCATTTTTCAAGTGGTTGCCGAGCTTTGAACTGATCGATGTTAATGGTCACCTGGCCAATTAAAGTGTGATGATCCTTCTTTTTTCGAGGGTCCTGCTCTCGATACAGATTGATGACTGCATTTCGGATGGGCGGAAGGCTTCTGAAACACTCAGAATGTTAGATTTGCGGGGGGAAAATTATGAAAAAATCAAAAAAATTTTGAAAATCTTAGCTCTTGAAGGATAACATAAAAAATATCGCTGTAAATCCACAAAAAAAACTAAAGATTCTGCATTTTACCATCTACGTATTCATGAATTCACAGCCTTATCCTATCTGCCAAAAAACAGGAAAAAATCTGCATGTGCCAAGTGTCCCCCGAAACTTTGAGTCAACTGTTTCTCTGTGCAATAAAATCTCAAAACCCCGGCGAAAAAATGTAAAACCCGGAGAGAAACGTTGCTCAGAAGATGTAATATTATTCCCCAGGCCTTCGAAACCATTTTTTGACCTTGTTTCCCCCCTATAAACCTACTTTAGATCGAAGAAATCGCCCCAAAAACAGTGTTCGCTGTGTGTTTTCGTGGATGTTTTTGCATACAATGTGGAGTCAAGGACGAGATCACAGTAGTAGCGGCGCTTCTGCGGGATGCCCTTGGCTTCCAGGATCCAAATTTGAAACGAATTCTCGGTGCGTCGGCGCTCATCAAGGTGTGGGTTTATTGCCCGGCGCATGCTGAAAGGAAATGGGTTAAATTTGAATGAAACTCGTATTTTACAAAAGCTTTTTGGGTTGAATATGTAAAATAAGATTCGCAGAGTCTGTTCAGATACTTTTTTTACAATTTTCCTCTCAAAAATTAGAAAAATTGGCAATTTTTGTCTAAAACAATATAAATTCTATCTTTTTGGCGGAAAATCTTCATAAATCCTTTGAAAAATGATGACACCCGCTTAAATCACAATAATCCAAAGTGACATTCTGCCATAGCGCTTAGTTTAAGCAGAGAAAGACCGCTTTTTATGGGCGAAAATCCCGCGGAACCCCTTGAAATCCCTCAAAGTCCACTTGAAACCGCTCAAAATTAAAATTTCCGACTAATTTCTCGGAAATTCAAATTTCAAACCCTCGGAAGCCGGGTTCGGCGTCAAACGCGAACGTGAAACCCAACTTTTTTGGGGTGGGATTTACTCGAAACAGGGCCAACGACCTTGCTCCCTCACTTTTAATGTCCGATCGCCTCGTCCCCGGAAAGGCTGAAAGCGAATGCGGGGTGGGGATTGCGCGCCCCCATTCTTCAGTGCCATCTCCGAAGAGGGAGCGCGCAATTTATTATTATTAAAAAATGGGGGGATGGCCGACGGATTTACCGGAGTGTAAATGGCTTCGAAATGGCGCCGCCAAAACATGGCGACATGGTTTATGTGCCGGCTTGGAGGGAAAAATGAGGCCTGATACAAATGTCTGGGCTTGAAATAATAAATTTGGTGTCGAAAAGTATCGTAGGAATTAAAAGATTGCTTCTTTTGAAGAGACTGGGCTAACATTGCTATTTGAGATCTTTTGAGACTCAAAAAAAGTATCAAAACGTATCCCAAAGCAAAACTTTTATCTTCAAAAGCAAATTTCTTTTTGTGAGCAGTATATTTTGATGCCTAATTTGGACTTGGTATCAAATGCAATTCAGACTTTTAGGGAGATTTTTGAGCCGAAATGAATTTGTGGACAACGAATATTTTCTACAAAAATCCATTTTTAAGATCTTTGTTTTTGAGCAAAATTTAAAATTTTTAAAATACGATGTGTGAAAAACAGGCTAAATTCAGCTTCTTTTTCAAAATCCCGAAGTCCGTCGGCCTTCTTTCTTGACTCAGACAGTCAAGAAAGAGGAATTGTACAGTGGGGGACCTGATCCAGTGGCAAAAAACGTATCATTTTGCATCTGGGAAGTGTCAAAAATGTGGCAAAATGTTCCCTCTCCAAGTGAAAAAAACTTCGTTTTGATTGAAATCGATTTTTTTTACTTGGAGAGGGAAGCATTTTGCCACATTTTCGATACTTCCCGGGTGCAAAATGGTACGTGTTTTGCCGCTGGATCAGGTCCATCACTGTACAATTCCTATTTTTAGGGAGATTTTTGAGACGAAATGAGTTTGTGGAGAACGAATATTTTCTACAAAATCTATTTTTAAGGTCTTTGTTCTCGATGAAAATTTAAAATTTTTAAAATACGACGTGTGAAAAACAAGACAAAATTCAGCTTCTTTTTAAAATCCCAAGGTCCGTCGGCCTTGACTCATAAGTCCGCTAAAAATTTTTGCCTCCAAAAATTGCCTAAAAACTCAAAAAAATCGCTTTCATAAAATAAAAAATGACGTCATTTACAACCGCCTGAAATTTACAACCCACTAGCGCTAAGATTAAAACTGTGACGCCGATTGTAAACGTCCAAGCAGCTCGTAAAATGACACTTATGCAAATGGAGGTGCGAGGAGAAGGTGAGAGATAATTATCTAATTGGCGTTATGAAGGGTTCATTAGGCAATTGCCCTCAGGGCAAGGGCAGGTGAAGAGAAATTTGAGAAGAGGGAAGTGAGATGAATAGAAAGGTCAATTATTGAGTATAAAATGGATTTAAAAATGAAGTTGTAGCTGTGCAAAAGTTTGAAATTTCGGTTCGAAAAAACCGAAGCATGGAAAGTTTTAACAGAAAGAGTTGCGCAGTTGATGAAAGAATTTCTGTGCTTATTCCAACTATAAACTTTGGGGAAATGGGACTTCGCGTATTTTACAAAAGGAAGGGTTCAATAAAAATTTTTCTGTTGCCGCCTTTTCTCATTTCTCATAGCTTCGTTTTTACAAAAAAATCGCTGAATATATCAATCATATCTGCAAAGGGGAACTAAAATTTTCAGAAATTAACACATAAGCCAGACAGATCATAAGTGCAAAATTTCACAGTAAACCTTCATACAACAAACCTTTTCTATTATATAACAAACTTTTTTACGATCTGTGAGATTCGTTCTCGAGATTCATGAACATTTTTCGCTAGTTTTTACTCAGCCAGACCACCTATTTTAAACCTCAAAATCTAGCCCAAAGAGCCTCCAACCTCTCCTCAAAAGCTCACCCTTTACCGTCCCGTAAATGGGTAAATAAACCTAATCGAATAATCCCGTTATAACCCACTGAACTCGGGGGCCCCCAAAAAAATTAATGAAATGAATCGCAAATCCTCCCTCCTTCTCTCTCCATAAAAGAGGACAAGGTAAACACGGGGAAACATGCGAAGAGTGGCCTCAAGTGCAATGTAATTACGGAAATGCAAATATACACGAACATCGGAGCAGACATCGAGATTTGCCGAGATCAAAGCGGTGAGACGGGTAATATAATCTGATTGGAATAAAAACATAATCGGATAGAAACGAATATAAATAAAAATAGAGGGAAGTTGTGTGCTCAGCTGACAATGAATAGATTGGATTTTAAAAAAAAAATGAAAAGTGTTAGGGAAGATTTTTGAAAAGAGATTTTGGCTATCAACATGTGCAAGAAAAACTGATTGTTGCTCTGGGAAATGTGAATGATTTTTCGTAAAACTTTGGACAATTGGTCTACACAGAGCACTAATTGGTTCTTGAAAATTTTACGTTGCGCGTGGCAACCGCAGCTGATATATTCAGCGATTTTTGCTTACAAGAGACTACGAAAAATAAGGAGAGATGGTCGGAAGAGAAAGCTTGAAAAATTTGGAGTTTGCATGTAATTTTCGACCGAAAAATTTCAAAGGCTTTTGCAAAGCGTAAGCTAAAAATTTCATATACGCCTCAGAAAAATCAAATCTCAGCTTGTGACATGCTTCATAAAAATCTGCGGTTCAAACCTCGAGTAATATTCATTTTTTGCCAAACAAGAGCCTCAATATAACGAAGGCTTTTTACAACAACCATTTTTTCATCTTTTATCATCTAGACAACATAACTTATAAAGTACAAAAAACTCCCCTCAAATCGCCACTTTTTAAGCTTCATTTCTTCCTAACTAACCCCAAGAATCTCAATTAAAACCCCGTTCCGTTGATTATTGGCTGTTCCAGACGCTCCGTTCAATGGGCCGAACAGAAGGAAGCGACTGAATAAATGAGGGGTTCCGTCGTTCCATGAAACCTTGTCAATGCGTTTGAGAACGAAGCCGACACTCGTTTTATGATCCAAATTATTTGACAAAGAATTTGAGGAAGGGAATGGGAGGCGCGGGTCAGGGCTTTGATCCATTTCCGTAAGCCATCTGCTTTGAGATGGATGTTTGGAATGGAAGAAGAGCCAAGGATGAAGGAAAGGTTGTGTCACGATAGCAGTGGTAGCCAAATAATTTTTTTCCGATCTATCATTGTGGCCAAAAAGTATTTCTATGTCCGTCTCTCTTCTTTTTTTATAATCTATCTATTAATACTTGACTGCGAAGATTGCTGAATACCTCTGCTGCAACAGAAAACTGATAGCTGAATTTTTCAAGGGTCGTTATATGGCCTAGAAAGATCATACAAGCAGTAGTTCAAGAAGATCTGAAGTCTGAGGTCTCAGGAATTTACCTTATAATGGAAGCAAGAAGTACTGATAAGTCATCGATTTTTTCACCTGCCAAGACTTCTCGTATACACATACTACCGAGACATCTTTTAAGTACACAAACCCATCAAAAAAAGAGTTCTACCCAACTCTTTTTACCTCAACAAACTCAACCTCTTCTTAGTCCGCGGCGGCAGTGGAGGTTGCGGGTTCAAGAAGTTTTCCGGCATCATGAAGACATCCGACGACAGCACTCTCCTCAGCCTTCCTCTTGGAGCAGTTGGAGCCGTCGAAAATCGCTTGGAGCTCGTCATATTGTAGTAGGGAAAGTGACGAGGCATTACTGTGGAAACAGTAAAATTTGAAGCCTCCTGGCAGAAAAATTAGTAGATGTTTTGATCAACAAAGAATACTTGGATGATAAACAAGTAGTTAATGTAGATTGATCATCAATTTCGAGCTGAATGCCAGCTGTGGAGAAGTCCGAATCCGCCTCGCTTCAAATCCGTAGAACCGATTTCTGCCAATGTCACAGAAAAAAGATCTACCTTCTGCCCCCTCTGCTCCCCTTCCTTCTCCACACACAAAGAGGGCCTTCTGGGGCGACAGAGTTTTTCGGATGCCAACAAACCGGAAAATAATTCAGCGTCGAGGTCATCGCTCATGTATAAGGTATGAGATACATCGGCTCTTCGTCCCCCTCCATCGATGTTTCACCCAAATAAAATCGCGTCACATCCGCCGGACCGGAATGAAAACAATCTCTTGGGGTTGCGCAATGGGTGCGTTAACGATTTTGCTGGTGATTTCGATGACGGATGGTGGAAGTGAGCGAGCAGATGATGGAGAAGCATATGCGGGATGATAAGCATGATAAATCAAAGGATTTGAAGGGAAGTGGAGCTGGAGATAAGGAAGAGGAAATGGGGCATGTTTGGGCTCTCGATCATCACGTAAGTGATGGGCAGAAGTTGAAGCCGCAGATGTTTCAGGAAGTCGGAGATGTTGGTTTCATGCAAAATTATGTTGCTTACAGATTGACACAGTTTTCGGCGAACAAACATAGAACATATCCGCAATAAGTAAGATGCAATATACGGCGAGTCCCCTAGCAAAATTTGAAAATTGCCTGAGGCATGATGAATGGATCTTCTTGAAATTTGGAGCACGTGTTTCATCTAGATCTAACCTTAGTTCCTCAAGATTCCAGCCAACTCTGTGCAATGCCTACCGAGATATTCAGAAATCTTTGAGGAGGAGATACTACGGAAAATGAAGAGAGACGGCCGGAGAAGAACGTTTTTAGAATCTCTCTTTGCATCAGAAAGCTCAAAAATTTTAGGTTTTCCATAAAAAAGGCTATGTTTAAATTGATTTCAGAGAGCCTCAAGGCAAAGTGGAAGTTAGAGTGTAAACTCTAACTTAAGAAAAACGATATATTAAAAATGATGATAAATTCCCCTAGTGACCTGTTTAGCTCTGCAATAACTTTGCCTACACCTAAACCTTTCCATAACAAACAATTTTTTAACCGAGAAAACTGTTACATCAAACCCAAAAATAACTCTTTGAAGCTTCTTTACCCACCCTTTCCGAACCCCCGACTAATTTCTAGGAGCCTTCTTGAAGCCTTTTACGCAATACCGAACGACTCTATCCAATTTACCTTCTCTAATCCCAACTTTGAATCCATTACTTTTCCTTGTTTCCCTAATTACAACCGAACAAAACAATTTCTGTCAGAGGTTCCAAGAATAATATAATAAAAGAAGGGGTTCCCAATATTACAGAAGAACAAGTGCGATTTGTAATATGCGTGGGATATTTTGGATTAATTTTTTTAAATGGAAAAGATGAGATTTTAAAAAAATTTTAATAAAAAAATCGTATTTTAAAAAAAATTTCCAAATTAAGCCGTAGAAAATTTTTAAAGCCACTAAAAAGATTGCAACTTACTTTTCAAGCCATCGCGTCCTTTCTTGCGGCGACTCACACACGTAATACGAATTGGCGACTTTGAAACAGTTGTCTACTTCCAAAACTGACGGATGCACAGGATGAATTCGGAGGTCGGGCTGCTCTGAAGATGAGTAGTATTGTATAAAAAAATATGTTTTATTGTTTGTAAAAGGTTTAGTCATCGTTTCCGCAGAGAAAATTTTTTGGATTGAAAAAAAATTTTTTTGGACAAAAATTTGGATATCCAAATTTTATGGGTCAAAATAGAGAAATAGCCTTATAGAAACTGTTTTTTTTGCCAAAATAATCAAAAAATTTTAAAATTTGAATATTCAAATAAAAAAAATGCTCAAAAATTATAAAATTAAAGCTCTGCTGCATGGAAAATGCGTTGAAAAGCTAATTTAACGTAATAATTTCCAACTTACTCAAATCCGACACATGATTCGTCCCACTAAAACTGAGCAGACTCTCATGACTTCTGGAACTTTTCATACTCTGCCCGAAGAACTCTGGCATGTGCATGTTTCTGTATGAGTCGATTGGCATATTCACTGGGATTCGAGAGCCGTTATACAGCATGTTATCTTGTGATGTGTGAAGGTTCGGGCTGAAAAAAGGGAAATTACAAAAAAATAAAGGGAATTTGTGAAAAATCTAATTTTTTTTTGATTTTTTATAATTTTTTTTACTTTTTTATTTTTAATATTTTTTTTGAAGGCTCAAAAATAAAAAATAAAAGAAAAAATAAAAAAACCCCTAAAACATGTGCTGACCTTCGAAAAATTAGTAAAATATGCGAAAATTTCATTTGAAGTTAAAAAATAAAATTTTCCACCAACATCTACAGTCAGTAAGCGACCTATAAATTACAAAATTTTCAAGTTCCCTCCCTCTTTCCGACCTTCAAATCCCATAAACATGAATCCGAGCCCACCCTCTAAACTAATAAAACGTCTGACCCCGTCCGGAAACCCTGATTTTATGTCGAATGACCTCAACGCCGCTTCTGAAGCCACTTGAAGCCGTTTACGGATCAATTCAAAGTTGAAATAAATTGTTTTTTGAAACTGAAAAAAAGTATAATAAAAAACTACTTGTTAGCGGGAGACCACAAAAAAAACTGCGAAAAATTGCGGCTCGTAACATCAATCAAGTGACTGTTACTTTCGATTTTTTATTTGTTCGTTTTTACACCACTGGTAAGAGTTGTTTCAAAAAAAAATTTTTTTGATTTTCCTTATCAAAAATAAAAATTTTTGATTAAAAATCAGTCAAAAATAGAATAAACTGAGGAGACTCTTGCTAAAACAGTCGCAGTATGGTATAAACAAACCGTTTTTGGTGGAAAACAATTCGGCCGCGGACTAGCCTCCGGGCTTTTTTTGGTTTCTCGTTTTGCGATTTCTTATCCAGATTTTCACAATGCGATTCTGTGGTTTCCAAAGGCTTCAAAATTTGAGCAGAACTTTGAAAAATTATCTTTCGGTCATCAGAATTGCGGAATGACGTCACTCTCGCAGGTTGCCGACTTTGAAGGCCATTTTCAGTTTTTTCCAAACTTCCGCTTGCTTCTTGAAAACTTCTCCGTTCAAATTCAGGAGAAATGTCGGTAGAATCGATGTTCCGAAGACTCGAACATCCGGAATCTTCAAATCGGAGCCGTCGAAAGTTGGGACTTGAGTCGACATCTTCAACACCATCTATAATATCCGTAGCCTCTGATTCTGACTCCAATCGCTTCAACTTTTCTTCCAATAGCTTTTCTGGTAAATTTTGAAGGCTCAAAGATTCCGATTTCTCGGAATTAGTGGCTTCTGATGACGACGAATACTGTAGTTTGTAATCGTTCAGATGAACCGAGCATCTATTGTTGACTGTCGAATTCCTGTTGCTGCTGCCGTTGTCTACATCTTTGGGGCTTCCAATTTCAATTCTAGACGGTCCAGGGGTTGTAGAACAAGACCTCAAAATCTTTGTGGAATAGCGATTAACAGTAGGCGTAGAATCGAAAGTTTTGGTAGAGTAGATGTTAGGTAATTTCATAGGATTTTCCTCAAATTTCAGGACTTTCTGACTCTTCAAAATTTCATTAGAATGATTGGAACAGCAAGGCGCAATATTCTGAAGATGTGCCAAACTGGAAAGCCGACGAATATCGCCGGAGGGGATCGTAATCTCCAAGGGAGTGAAGGCAATGTCGACTTCATTCATCACTAAATTCAGAAGCGAATTTTCGATTCGGAAATATGAAAGTTGACGACCTTGGACATCATGGGCGCGACGAAGGTTGATTAAAAAAGAAAGGGGGGGGGTGAAGGTGACGAAAAACGGAGATAAATATTTTGAATAGTCAGAAGAGATATCAGGCGTTTTTGGAATGCCACAAAGAAGTTTTAATTACGGTTTTTGAAGACGTCAAAGTTAAGAAGGCAAAGTAAAAAAGTCTTCTGCAGACCTAAAGCAATAAAAAAATTTTGAAATTGGCTTTTGCATTACACCATGATTAAAAACAGCTATAAATTTTGAGTTTAAAAAATAGCCCTAAATTTAAAACAATATTTTTTCGTGGATGGAAAAATAAGCTCCTCAAGTGCAACAACAAACTCATAAAATAAAATCTTTTTTTATAAAAACGCTTGCCAGAAGTTAAAATCGAAATTTTGATCTCAATTTTTGATATGTTGATCTGGAGAGAATAATTCCAAATTCTAAATTCCACATTTCCATTCCGGTCTGAGTCCAAAAGTGCAGCAGGAATAACAAGAATGATTAATAATTTTGTTCTTTCCCCCCGAGCTTTCATTACTATGACAATGCTTGGGCAGTGTGGGAGGAGTGCACTGATAAGAAAGGTTTTCAAATTAGGAAGATTCTTGAGAAATAGAGCTCGGATCTCGTTGAAATTTTGATGATATGACCTACAAGGGCGTCAAAATAAATTTTGAAAATTTTAGGTTACAAGTTGCAGAAAAGGCCAAGGTTTTGACGGTTTTTCTAGACGAGAGAGTATGGGAAATGAGGAGAGACAAACAAATTTCGAATTGTAAGCATTTTTTGAGTGAAAAATATAAATGGTTTCTGCAAGGCGCAAACAAAAAATCTCAAAAATGCTGACAAAAAATGACAGGCCAAGTTTATCCTTCCTAAATTAACGGTACCAAAGACATATTTTTCAAACTCTCCAGAACCAAAAACCATCTCCAAAACAAGCCAAAAAAAGTGCCGTTCCCGGCGTTCCATGCCATAAACGCCCTCTCATTCTCCCCATAAAACCGCCCCCGAATATGCCTATAAAGCATTCGTATAGGGCCTTTTGTAAAAATTCTCGTTCCATGAATCAGCCGAAAAAAAGATTTAGACAAGCTCGTTGCAAGAGTTGAAGAATCTTCTCCTTTTTTATTGTGTTTTTTGATAGTTGCGGAATATTCGAAATATGGACTTTGTGGAGGTGGAGAGAAAAGTCAGATGGGAAGGAAAAAGTTAGAACAAAGGGGTTTTTGGAGGGAGAAAAGGTGACAAAAAAGGAGCACAACGATAATGGAGATGGAAAAAAGTCGCTGAAAGTAATGCAAATGTAGGATTTGAATTTTTAGAAGGTAAAATACGGATCTCCCTATCTTAAAAAAGTTTTTCTTTCAGAAAACGATTTTTTGTTGGAAGAATAAGAAGTCAAAAAATCTTTAAATATTTTTAATTTTTTTGAGATTTTTCAGAACCTCTACGTTCTTCAGAGTTAACAAAAATTTCCTATCTAGACCACTGATCAAACCCTGAAAATTTTAGCTTTTGGCTTGCAATTTCAGCTGGGATAATCAAAGACCTTTGCGGGCGAGAGACTGTAGAAAATGAGGAGTGACGGCCCGAAAGAACTTTTTGGCTATCTCTGCGAATTTCGAAGGGATAAATTTGATTTTTCAAATTAAAAAAAAATATAAAACCTTTGCCATTTTTTGCCCTAAAAATCTCAATGGTGTTTGCAAAGCGTGAGTTAAAAATTTGGAAAAAAAAGTCAATATTTTCCCCAAATTTCATCAAAATTTCCTCCGAATTTCCCAATTTCCCCCAAAAAGTCAATAAAAATTTCAAAGCCCTTCGGTCTCGAAAGTAAAGTGGTACATCCCGTTTTACCCGAAATAAACAAATCAGCCATAAACCGAGGGTATTCGCTTCATTTTTATGATCCTTCCTTTGATCTCGGGTCCAATTCCAAATCGCTCCATTCGCTTCGATTATGGGCGGATTGGAATATAATAGAGACCCCGTTTTTTGGCAAAAAAAGAACACCCCCGGAGAGATTATGGGGGATGATAGTCACGAGAGGGGCGAGCTGGTATCGTGATTTATACAATTCTTTTTACTTTGCTACTGTTTGATCGGGAGTTAAAAAAAAAGAGGAAAATAAAAGTATTAAAAACAAAAAAAAACTGTTTCAGATTTTAACTTTGTAAAAATTAAAGTTTTCGATGTGGGAGCCTCAAATTTTGTATATACATTCTATCTAGGCTACCCTAAAACTACTGAAAATTTTAGCTCTTGCTTTGTAAGTACAGCCAATATATTCAAAGATCATTGCAGATGAGAGACTATTGAAATTTAGGAGAGAAAGTAGATAAGTGAAGACTTTTTCTACCAGGTATAAGATCTTTTGGTCATCAAAATTTAAAAAAAAATTCTTTCGATGGACAAATTGATTTTTTTGGTTTAAAAATTGCAGCAAGACCGCGGAAATTGCAAGCAGAATAGTGATAAATGATCACTGAGAATAATTTCAGAACCGGCTAAAATTTTTGTTTCTCTCTTCGTCTCTCTTCATTTTTCATAATCTATCGTCTTCAAAAATAGTTGAATCTCTCAGCGGCGCCCGCCAAGCGAAAGCTCATATTTTTACAAATTGATAAACGGCCTAGAAAGAACATGTGTACCAAATTTCAGAAAGATCTGAACCATGGTCCCTGAGCTATACCAAGTTTAATCACTCTGATCTAAATGTCCCCAAACTCACCTCAACTTCCTATATTGCCGTAATACCACATTACTCATTGTCTACACCATCTACTACTCCCTCAGCTCTCTTATTCAGCTACTTCAATCATATTCTCCCTCCTCAAAGCCCCCTCTTCCCAGGGATCTTCACCTTCTAACCCTAATAGCCCTTTTATGCCGCCTTTCTTCCGCTTTCCTTCCACAAAATCTCAATTTTCAAAAAAGAAAAAAAAAATGAAAAGGAAGGGTCCCTTTCAGGATTAATCCCTATAATATATATTCGGTCTCCAGCTGAGCAACGGCAAACTGGCGGTAAACAGATTTAACTCGAAAGTGACTGATTGTTGCGCCATCCATTTTGTCGGCGACGTTTTTTTCAAATTTTTTGTAAAATTTAGGAAATAAAAAAACGGAAGTGGAGAATATAATAGACAGTTTTAAACCAAATCAAGGTGGTTAAGAGGGTGTAATGGGAAAGAAAAGAAGGGTCAAAGCGAAAAAATGGAGACAGATTACAATTAATTGATGGAAAAAGCAAAAAAATGCCGATTGAATAGGAATTGTACAGTTTGGAAGACAGTGGATGGGATGTAAAGTAATATAGAGAGGAAAGAAAAAATTCCTTTATCTCAAAAATAAAAAAAAAAATTTTGCATTTTTCAACCAGCGTTCTTAAATAGAGTAAAAAATCCCAGTGGTTTCTGAAAATGGCAAGCTAAAAATTTCTTGTATACCCGGAGAAAAAAATATGATTATTTTTACAGTGCCATTTTGGCCCGTCGCTTCAAAAATTGTGAAAAAAGTGTTTTGCACAGTGCATTTTGACCCAAAAGAACCATTTTGCACAGTGCACTGCCAGTCCGTTCGCAAAGCCGAGTGATTTGACGACATATCGCGACATGCACCGTGCAAAAAAAAGTCGGGGCGACAGCCGAAAAAATCCTATTGCACTGTGCAAAAAGAAAAAAATTGCACAGTGCAAGGTGCACTTTTGTTTTCTCCCAGTGCATGTCGCGGAAATCACTCCAGCGACTTTGCGAACGGACTATGATGACTTAAATTTGAGATTGGAGAGGCTAGCGGAGGCATAGCGCAGATCTGGATTCTTTTTGAAACCTTTTTTTCTTTTTTAAAATGAAAAATTATTTCTATTTTTTGTCGCGAAAATCACTCCGGTGACTTTGCAAACGGACTAGTGAAATCATCAGGGTCTTCAAAATCAAAAAAAAATTAAAAATTTCAAAATAAATTCAAACTCCCCCCACCCTTCAAAAAATAATAAAAATCCCAAAAAAAACCCTGCTGGACCAGTAGCTAAGCTTATTAAAAATGAATTCAATTTGACTTGACACTCTTCCAAAAGCCCTCTTTTCCTCCAAAACCCTCCCAAAATGGCGAGCCACCCCATCCTTTTCCATAAAGTAATTACCTCGGAAACCCTTATTGTAATACGATCCGCGCCAACTCAATTAATTTCCGAAGAAAGGTGTTGGGAGACTCGTTGGGTAAAGATTTATGTTCCGCTACAAACACACTAATAACGTTGTCAAGGAGTGAAAAATTGGAAAAAATATAAAAAACCGCTTAGAAAGTAATTCAACGGGACGTAAAATCCCATTTTCGACAACATGACAAGCAAAAAGAAGTCCAAAAAATATTTAGAATGAAAAAACAGGAGGTTTGTGATGTCCTTGAAGCATGACAATTGACATTTGACGAAGCAAATTTTTCTGCGGACAATTTTTTTTGATTATGACAATTGTCGTTTGGTCGCTGATTCGATTTCAATTAATCATTTTCATGTCAAATTCGTATTGTTTTTGACTACAGCAGGTCATGCTCTTGTCGGAAATTGTTGTTTTCGATCAGTTTTTGTTGATTAAGACCAATTTTTGGGTTATTTTCTCAATTTTTGACCAATTTGCTCTAGTACAATATAAAAATTTTTTATTTTTAACCAAATTTTCAGCATTCAGCACAAGTTTTAGTAGAACAGATACTACTAGTCTCAATAGCAAATAAAATAAAATAAAATTTAAGTGATAAATCACAAAAAATCCACTTGAAATCTCCGAAAAGTCATAAAAATGCGCTAAACAATGGTCTTTCTTGCTTGGAAAGTAATTTAACTACCTTTGTATTGTTACTGATACGCTATTCAAGACACATGACAAGTTTTAGGCTCGAAAATTTCGATTTTTCAAAAATTTTTTTTTGAATTTCAATTTTCCCGCCAAATTTGGCATTGTGTTTTTTGAAGAGAAAAAATGGGTCTCAACAATTCAAAAATAATAAAACAAGTAAAATACGACATTTCTATCTTCATTTTGCTAAATTACCTAAGGGGATTAAAGTATTTGGATTTTTTGAAATTTTCCAAAAAATTTTGATGTTTTTTGCTAAAAAGACTACTTTTTCTCATCCAAAAAACTACTGTTGTGCAAACGGCACAAAAATTAACTATCCACATTATAAAGTAAAATAAAACTCACATTGACTCGATGAAAGCGGGCCGCTCCAATTTAGACACACTTTTCGTGCGTTTCAGCGGATTCGAGCGAAAGGGTTTGGAGAGGAAATTCTGAAATCGAATAACTCGCTGATTAGCCCTTTGTGCGGACGAAATTTGCATAAAACGCAAAGACTTACCGCCAAACGTTGCGGCGTGGTCGGCTCTTCCAACAAAGCCACACCCGGCATATCCTGAAAAAAAAGATTTTCGTAGCGTTGAAGGAATATGCAAATTAAAGAAAGCGAGAGTGTTGGAGTCGGAGGAGGAGTAGGTAGGAGACTTTGACAAAAAAATGATGACTAATGAGGCGTAGGTTATGGGTGTTAGATCAGGTTTTCATGACGATCAGTGATTTTTGCAAATTAGAGATAATAAGAAATGAGGAGAGACGGTCAGAGAAAAAATTTTTCGACCATTGCCTACCTAGGGCGATTTTGGTAGAGAAATAGAAAGCCTGTCAATTGTTAAAAAACAAAAAAAAACTATACAGTGTGGGGCAACTTTGCGGCCCGCAAGCTAATAAATGGGTATAACATATTTGATACTAACAGGGGAAGTACTCCAAGTGCGACGCTCAGATTTTCTTTAAATTTTGCACACACGTCGGGTATGGACTAGATATCAATTCCTGAAAGTTTAAGCCCGCGCTTTGCGGGCGCCGCCGAGATATCGAACGATTTTTGCGGCCGAGAGAGCAGGCTAAACGTGGAGAGCGGTCAGAGAGAAAAGCGCTTTTTGGCCATAACTTTGGCAGTTTCGAGCGGAAAAATTTGATTTTTTGTAGAAACATTATCCTTTACGGTTAAAACAGGCATGAAACTTTTTGAGCCGAAGTTCGGCAAAAAGTCATTAATTTTGGCCGACTTTTGATCTAAAAATCTCGGTTGTTTCTGCAAAGTTTCATCAAGATCTGAGCGTCGCACTTGGAGTACTTCCCCTGTAAACAAAATGGGGACGTCTGAGGATTCAGGAAAAAAAAGAATTTTAAGACCTGGCCAAAAACTCAAAAAGTTATAGCCAATTTAAATTGGGCCACAACGATGCCCCACCCTGCACACAAATTTTTTGACAATTCTTACCCAATAAGCCCGATCCGTCGACATCCGCATCACTTGGCCCTCAAATATTACAATAAACATATTAGTAAGAGAGCCCCGAAAAAAATTGGATTCAAAGGGTAAAAACAAAAAATACGAACTTTAAACGGATTAAAAAAAATTTTTTTGAGCATACAGATGTAAAAGTAGTCATGGAAATTGAATAAATTGCCGTTTGAAGTAACAGTACTTTTTGACAAAAATATGAAAAAATCTTGTGACAAAGACTGCTCAAAAAGTGGTAGAAACCATTGTAAATAACTACTGATAAGACTACAAACCGCCTTCTAAACCGTGTGCTACGCAATTTGCAACGTCATCAGCCTCGAAATGTGAGTATTTACTTAAAATATTAGTCTAGTGCGGGTAAAAAATACCTGCCCAAAACTAATATTAAGCAGTATTGTAAACATAGGAGGCTTGAATTCGAAAAAAATAGTTGTAAAATACGCGTCGTTGATTTTTGTTGGCTTATGAAAATGTAATTTGAAATTATTAAAAGCTGATAAAAAGGTCTTCAAAAATCTGCACAGAAAGTCATGAAACGTTTGAGCTGAAATTTGAGTGCGGTTTTATGATTTACGCCTTAGGGCCTAAAAAATCGGAAACTTTTTTCTTTATCCTCTGGTCACTAAAAGAAAAATGAAGGGAGGCTGAAAGAAAGGGCTCAAAATGCACGTTGTTATTAAAAATCAAAGCAATTATTATATTACTTTCTTATCGTATTGCTGGCAAAATAAAATGAAAATGAAAAAAAGGCTGATAAATCACTTTTTCAGCAAAAAATCGCCAAAAAATTTGATGCTTTGCGATTTTCAAATTGAAAAGTTGATAATTTTGACCATTAGAGTAAAATTTTGATATAAAAAAATAGGTTTTTCTCAATCGAAAATTAAAAAAAATAATTAAAAAGCTTTTTTCTGGCCGTTTCCTCATTTTCCATAGTCTCTCGCCTAAGATCGTTGAATATCTCGGCTTCGCTTACAAAATGTGAGCTAAAATTTTCAGTGCTTGATGTGCAATCTCGACACAATGTTTTTCCAAAAACTGGCGAAAAATTGAACTAAAAACCGCAACTTTTTTCCAGTATAATATCCCTAGTCCCCTCAATAAAGCTCTCCGAAAATGCAGATGTCATTCGTTTGGCAAATGACACTTGGCCCAAAAAAATAAAAACTAAATTGATTGTGAGGTCCATTTTTCTCTTCCTGGACATTCATTTGGCCGAGAATGTCGGGCCGTTCCCAGAAAACAATAGGAATTGTGGGGAAATGGAAAGGTGAGAAAAAGAGATTTTTGAGTTAATTTATTGCGACTTTTCGAGAGGTAAATGGAATGAATTGAATTTTTTTTGGCTATGGTCCATAATTTATCGGGTATTACTTAATGTTTTGCAAGGGCCGTTAGGATATACAACAAAGTTGGAATGCGAGAGACTATGAGAAATGAGGAGACGGTCAGAAAAAAGTGTTTTTGGCTGTGTCCCTTAAAATCTCAATCAGGAAAAATATTTTTTTATGGGAATCATGCCTAACGCTGAGGTAAAAGTTGTGAAGTTTTTATCATTAAAATAAAAAAGTTTCTGAATTTTCTTTCGCTTTTCCGACCTAAAAATGCTGATTTTTTCTGTAAATTGTCAGCTAAAAATCTCACATAGATCCTAGGAGGTCCTATCTTTGATTTCCACTCACAGGGGAAGTACTCCATGTGCGACGCTCAGATTTTGATGAAACTTGGCACAAATTTAGAATAATTTTTTCTAAGATATATGGAGAATCGTAGCTCGCGCTTTGCAGAAACAACCGAGATTTTTAGATCGAAAGTCGACCAAAATTTAGGACTTTTTGCCAAATTTCGGCACGAAAAGTTTCATGCCGATTTCAACCGCAAAGGATAATGTTTCTACAAAAAATCAAAATTTTCTGCACGAACTTCCAAAGTTATCGCCAAAAAGAGCTCTTCTCTCTGACCGCTCTCCACGTTTAATCGTTCGAATCTCGGCGGCGCCCGCAAAGCGCGAGCTAAAACTTTCAGGAATTGATATTTTGTCCATACCCGACGTGTGTGCAAAATTTAAAGAAAATCTGAGTGTCGCACTTGGAGTACTTTCCCTGACAGTTTTAGTGTAATAAAAATAAAAGTCATCAAAAAAATTGATTCAGAAAAATCGGTTGTCAAATTTGACAAAAACGAGGAAAAATCAAAAACTAAAGCAATTTCTAACCCAAAACTTCTATAAACCTCTTTATGACCACACTTTTTGATCACACCTCGAAGCCAAAAGACCATTCCCTTCGCTTTACCTGCCTCAAAAAACAGCTCTATAACAAGTGTTCAAGCCGAAAATCTCAAACCCTTGCTATCCCCTTGCAAATCCCATTACGTAACGGCGGAAGATTTCTTTTTTGATTGTTTTTTAGCCATAAATTTAATTAATTCCCCCCAGGCGATAATTCCGTAAAACTTTTTTTTTGCAAAAATATGGAAGAAATAAGCAAACGCATATTGAAAAAAATCAGAAATATGCGAAAAGAAGTGTTTTCAAGCTTAATTTGTTGAAAATAATGGGTTTTTGGAGGGAAACACATTATTCTTGGGACTTGAGTAAATATTAGGTTGGACGGAAAGTTCGTACGATTTTTTACCCAAATTTCAATTTAATTTTTTTCGCGCCAAGACCGATTGCCCACCGTAAATACCTAGCATATACAAGAGTACAGTGTGAAGATTTATATGCTACGTGCCAATCGTTAGCTCCGCCAAAACGAGCTTAATTATAAGAGGTTTTCCGCTTTGCGGCTATTTCGGGTAGGGTCCAGAACGCAAACTCTAGTTTCCAGATCGCTTTCGATGAAGCTCTGAAACTTTTTAGACAATGTCCAGTGGTCTTTCTGACTACGTTAAACACAATTAGAAATCATAAAAAAGCGTGTCGGATAAAATAATAGCAACACTTTCAACCAAGTCTTCAGCAAAGGCCCCCTATGAAAACTTTTTCTTATTATTCCGCGTATTTCTTATTGTCTGTCTCTGTAATAGGGTGCAGTAAGGCACATAGAGAGCCCTTTACGTGCAACATGAGTAAACCGGATCACAGATGCCTCGGGTTATCCGCAAAGAGACAAAATTGCCAAAAATTATAGCTGTAGAGCAATGCGCGTAATTTTGTGACAGTCAACAATGGTAGCCCATTGTTTCACGAGGTAGTAGAGCAATAAAGCGGCTCTATTTTGCACCCAAGAAAGGGAGGAGTGGAAAGATGTTATGAGCTCTTTTTAGAATTGTACGGGATGATCCAACAGTTCACCAACGATTTTTTGAGAAAAGTAATTTAGTTCTATTATGTCGTACGGCAAAACAGTTGGCTATTGAGGGGTAGCTGAGTGTAAGGGATTGTCCTTAGTTTCTGCATATCATAGTTTTACACATGAAATGCACCGGCAAAGCGGCGGTTGCAGTTATATTCAAACTTGGGTTGGTCCTGCAAAAGTCAAATTTTATGGCTATGTTTTGATTTAGTCCCCGGCGACTTTACGCATACAGTGCGCGCCAAAATGATAGAGCCACTCATTTTTTCTGGATTTATTCTTTTATGGTTAGGTGGCCCAAGCCGGCATAATGCATATATGCAATACCATGACGGACCCATACTATCGCCACCATAACTTAGGACTAGCCATGGCGCCCAATCCAAAAAAAATCAAAAATTCGGACCTTCCCCTTCGGTCGACGCGTCAAAATGATAGAGCCACCGGATTTTTCTCCTCGGTGGTGGCAGGCGGGGATCTACTGGTACTGTAGTCTGTTAATATCACTACTGCTATTCAATGCTGATGTGAAAAGGTTACTGTAACTGCCGGTCATACGGTAGCTTTTGGCAACTTTAGAAAATCTTCCAAATTTTGGGTAAAACTGACCGGAAATCAAATTTGCGACGGTTGTATCCGGGTGGAAATACCTTCGAAACATATTAGAAGGCCTATATTTTCTAACGGGAATCAATTTCCGTTGAAATCACACCGACCATTGACAAGGAAAGATATTATATTACTTTAGTAGATGGGCAGATTCTATAATAATGTCAATTATGCCAATGAGGGGGCATGGAGGTAAAACCAAACTTCCTGCTAGACTGCAACACACCATATAGAATATTTTCATTTAACCTGGAAAGGCTGAAAAGTCTCGTACACCCTAGGAATAATACCACAAGAGAAGCAATTCTGGTTCTCTAGATGACTACACCAAAGTTTCTCTGTAGTTGTTGATCATTACGTTATTATTGAGTTAAACATGCTACGTTACGTACAAAAAGATGCGCACTCGTCGTTTCAAAACACGAAGCAATCATATTCTGACGCTAGTCATGCCACCAAAATATCGTTTTTTCGGGTATAACTTTGGTAAACTTCATAATACCGTTAGCAATTTGAATAAAGGAATTATTGAATTCGATCCTGTTATAGTAATCTATGGTCCTCGTACGATTGCACCACAAGTTCTGGGGCTGCGTCTAAGACCCATACATAAACAATTGACATTATTATAGAACCTACCCATCTACTAAAGTAATATAATACAATTTGTTGTTTATGGTCGATGCGATCCTGACGGAGATTGATTCCCTTTAGAAAATGTAGCCTTTCTAATACTTTTTGAAAGTATTTCCACCCGGATACAACCGTCGAAAATTTTATTTCCGGTCAGTTTTACCCAAAATTTAGAAGATTTTCTAAAGTTGCCAAAAGCTACCGTATGACCGGTAGTTACAGTAACCTTTTCACATCAGCATTGAATAGCAGTAGTGATATTAACAGACTACAGTACCAGTAGATCCCCGCCTGCCACCACCGAGGAGAAAAATCCGGTGGCTCTATCATTTTGGCGCGTCGACCGAAGGGGAAGGTCCGAACTTTTGATTTTTTTTGGATTGGGCGCCATGGCTAGTCCTAAGTTATGGTGGCGATAGTATGGGTCCGTCATGGTATTGCATATATGCATTATGCCGGCTTGGGCCACCTAACCATAAAAGAATAAATCCAGAAAAAATGAGTGGCTCTATCATTTTGGCGCGCACTGTATTAAGAGCTACAGAAGAAGGCTTTTTAGCAGTGCCAAAACAATTTCCTGGTAGGCCTTATTAAACAAACCAGCCAAGGATTTGTAATTTTGGACCAAAGATGGGTAAATGTCTAAATTAAGTTCTCAGTTCGTAAATGCTTAAGATGGCTGAAGGTTGTACTGCTAGATAGGGATGCCTGTCCCCTACCGACACCATATATTTGTGTTTGTCTTTTTCCATCAGCGCAAGAAAAAATAGCAGCAGTAAAAAATCGTACAAACTTTCCGTCCAACCTAATATTTGAAGAATTTCTTGTACAATGGATGACAAAACGTGCGTAGTTCTGGGTTAAATGGGGGTTGAAAACAGTAACCAGTTCAAGGATAAACATTTAGAAAAAATTAGGATGTTTGCGCACGGTTTTTTCAGAGAGGGGAACAGTTGACTCATTTGGTCAAGTCTTTCTCTTAAGCTGTATTTAGACGGTTTTTGATTGAAATCTAAAGTGAACGAAAAAAAAGAAACCAGAGGTCAATAATATAAAGTCAGACTGAGGGGAAGACTTGACTCAAAATTTGACTTTTGGGTCAAATGTTTCTCTCAGATTAGAAAGATGAAAAATGACGTCAAAAAAAGTCTAAAACAGGTAAACGGGTCAGATATAATTTAATAAAAGACAAAAAAAGCATTTCAATTGCAGAAAAATATCAACTTACCGTCCTATGTGCATTGATAATGGTTTGTTTTGGCATCTGTTGGTTCAACCTCCGACTTCCCCTGAGGCTCTTCTGATTCCAATGGAACCGATCCAGACTCTCCGTTCCGTCCAAATCCCCATTCTCTGAAAAATCGGAAAAATTAAATTAAACGAGCATGTCCAAATGGAACTTTTTTTATCCCTACCACTATGAGAGTCTGAGGGCCAAGTCTCTTCCTCGAGAATCGGACGCATTTAATTTGGTTTTGGTAGTTCTGATGAAGATATTAGAGAGAGAATCGGGTGGTAATGTTGCTAGCTATGAGTTGGAGGGAGATTTGGCTATGATAAGGGGAGATTTTGAGATTTTTGGTTGATTTTTGAAGAAAAAGTGGAAAGATTGCAAGAAAATGGGCCAAAAATCGAAAATTATAGAGATTTTTAGAGAGTTACAGTAAGCAATGGGACTTTTAGGTTGTCTATTGGCCTTAAATTAAATTCTACAAACTTTGCTTGCAAAAAAATGCAAAAAACTGCCAAAATTTTGAAAAAATCAGGCAAATCTGAATAGAATCGGACTAGAGGCTCGAAAATCGTCAATTTTTGTAAAATATAGGCAAGCCAAAGATTACGCTAAAACAATATGCCATCTAAATGGTTTTACATGTAACCCACATCGCAATTTGCAAAAAAAAATCCGTTCAAAATTGAGAAAATCGTTCAAAATTGACCAAAAATCGCTTCTGTAACCATAAATCTCCTCGAAAAGCTATCACTCCACAGTCACAGAATCTCCCCATGCCCCACGCTGAAAACCCAAATAAAAGCTGGTCTCAGCCGACTCTCCCCTCCAACCGACAGCCTGAAATAAAACCGACAGCCCCAGGTCTCATTAAATTTAACTCTGGCGATCGCCGCTTCATCGCCTTAAGCCCCGAAAAAAGTGAGAGAATTCGACGGGTCCCCAAAGTGCAAACAAAGCAACGCGTACGCTAGAACATAATGCGACATTCGGCTAATCGATTAGTGAAGGGAGAGCGAGGTTGGACGTTCGCTTCTTGGGGGGAATGAGGAGATTAGGTTGGAGATGAAGATAAGATGGGTGGAGGTCATGGATATGATGATTCAGATGGGCTTTAAGGAAGGTTTGTTGATTTCTGTTCCTCATACAATAGATAAGAGGTTAAGGGTTTACAAAAAATGGAAGCAGTTCAAATTAATACAGCTGTCCTCGTAAAAAATTATTTTTACCTCCATCATGAGATTAGATGTCAAGTACAAGGTAATACTGACCGAAATGAAGAAGAATTTGAAGTGTAATTAGAAAACAATGTTGTACTAAATGCAAAAAAACCCAGTTTCTTTAATCAAATTCAAAATTTAATACAGAGTGTAACCAAAAATCAGTTTCGATATAAATCATGACATTAGACCAGGAAAGTCAAAAACAACGTATTTTATCTACCTACTGGCCGAATATCAGGCAACGAAAAAGTGGGTAAGACAATAGAAAAGTCTCTGTTCAAAGCTCACCCAAATCATTCTTGCTAACGCGTTGCAAATGCAGCTTTCAGCATCGTTAAGACACCTGGTCATGGTGTATATCAGAAATTAGGTATTTAAGATAGTTTTTGATGGGCATCCCACCAAAACATAGCATGGTAAAAAGACGGCTCTAGGTGTTAATAGATTTAAAATTCAAGACTTATTTGTCACCGCTATTCCCTTTAAAATTCACGTTTACTTTTATGAAGTCATCAGATCAAACTAATATCAAGTTTATGATATTTTTTGACATTACTGGATGGATAGCTAATAAAAACGGTATAGAGCAGATAATGAAAAGGCATATAGGTCCCAATTACACCCCCGTTGAATCCCGCTGACTCATCACTCATTAACTCTTACCATCAAACTGTGTAATCGCCGGCACCGAATGTACCGATCCACTTCGAATCAACAGACTAGCCGACTCCAACAAGGGATCGTCCGGCTGCCGGAATCCCCTCAACAAAACAAGCCGCACAGGCCGCGTCTCGACCGGTCGATATTCATTCCGATAGCTCTTGTTCCAAAAACAGACCCCGTCTTTGAGGCGGCCGAAGAACCAGGCCAAGAACCCGAGGACGGCGGCCAAAACGTTGAGAAAAAGGTTGAGCGGACGATTCGAACTCATGAAACCCCCACTGCCGTTCACATCGAAACCCTCGAAGACGCGGCGAAAGTCCTTGGAATCCCTTGAATTGGCGTCGTTTGTGAAATATAAAAGCGAAAAAAGAGACGAATTCCCGTCGCAAGGTGCGCGGATTTGGAAACGAAGGCGTCGAAGATGGAGAAGGAGAAGATGAAGAGCCCCCGTCTCAATCACTCGAGAAAGCGGTGGAAACTCGGGGGCAAGGTGAAAAGTTAATTTGTACTTATGAAATGCGCGATAAAACGGAAGGATTCGGATTTGCAGGCGTTTCCGGCGGATTTTCGCGAGGAAAAATCGGATTTTCGAAAGGTTTGGCGGGAATTCATGGGATTTCTGGAATCCACGAAAAATCAGAAGGCCTATAAAATGTTTAGGAAGACTTTTTTGAGGTCATACGTCATCAAAAAAATAAAAAAACCCTCAAAAAATTTTTAAAAATGAGTCAAAAGGCAAAAAAAATATTTTTAGAGCGCTCACAAAGTTCTATAGTCATCATGATCCGTTAATCATACAAAAATTTCAAAACTTGTAAAAATAAAATTTTTTTTATAAGCCAAAAATAATGTTCTCTGTATGTCAAACAAGCTAAACAACACATTCCACGATTTTTTTTCGCTTTTGATCTGCAGAAAGTGTCAAAAAATCCGGGGAAATCCGTCAATTTCCCGTTCAAGCCCAAGAAGTTCCCTTTGAGTGCATGTTTTTCCATTTGACATGGCTCAAAGGAAAATACAAAGTGGTCTAAAAATTACTACCTGTCATAAAATTACTTTAAAATTGCAAAAATCGCTAATTTTCCTTGATTTTTCAATCGAAAAAATTGAAAAAACAAAGAAAAATCGCTTCGAAATTTCGAATTTGCACTCTTTTTGTCCCCCACTCCGCTCTCTTAACACCGCGATGAGTTTTCATGAGACCGATCGCGAAAAAGAGAGCGCCCCAAACAGGGAAAAGCCCTGGGGGCGCAATCAAACCCGCAGGCTGAATCAACAATTCAGGCTTCTCCAAACGAAAAGCGGTTCTTTTGCGGGAAGCGGAGGCAAAACCGGGTTATTTTCGGACTGCCGGAGGCTAAATTTGAATTGTTTCGAAATCAGGTGATTGCGAAAAGCATGACGAAGAATTTACGGGTGATTATTTGTGGAACGATTTTTAAAAAATACGATTTTTTTAAAGAAAAAATCAACTTTTTTACAATTTTTTGATGAAAACAAGGAAAAAATTAATTTTACGAAAGAAACCCCGAAGAAAAGATGATTTTTTAGGCAGATACATAAAAATAGAGTAATTTTATGACCGGTAATTGCAGTTTACAAGTATACAGAAAAGAGAAAAGAGCAGTGAAGCGGCAGGAGAAAACAACTAATCATGCTTTTTGTTGTGTGTTTGAGGTTGTTTTGTTGATTATTGAGGTAAAATGACCTTGAAGTTGGTGTTTTTGTTTGATAATTAGGGTTTTTGAAAATCGACCGGTCAATTTCATTTTTCAGGATGTGTTTTTAATTAAAAAAATTGGACAAATAACCGAAAAAATTTGTGAGTAAAAAGAATAAAGTACCTATAGACAAAGAAAGTCTAAAATTGACACTTTTATTGAGAATTTACAGACAAACCTTGTTAAATAGTATTCAAAACGATTGTAAATTTGGAATTAAAAAGTTTCGTATAGCGACAAGAAATTTTGTTTCGTTTGAAGACAGAAATTTGAGGGATACCTTTTGGATACTTTTTGAGGCAAATCGCTATTCAAATTAGACTCAACTCATGCTTGTTATCCAGCTATTTTTTGATGTCTCTCTGGTGCTTTTTGATACCAAATTTGGAATTCAAAAGTATCGTAAAGCTACAAGAAACATTGTTTATTTTGAAGAGAGAAATTTAAGGGGTACCTTTTGATACTTTTTGAGGTAAATCATTAATCATATTATATTCAGCTCATGCTTCTTATCCGGCTATTTTTTGATGTCTCTCTGGGGCATTTTGATACCAAATTTGGGATTATTTTGACCTATTTTTACATCTTCTTGGCCAGTCAAAGTGTGAAGATACGGTATGAAAAAGATGCATCAACAATGACTATTTACTCTAATCATTTCATAGCTCTAATCATCTTATATTGGGCTGTTATTCCAAGACAATTCAACTCCCATAAGGCCCTCGAATCTCCTCAACTTTCTTACCTCTGACGCTCGAGAACCGTCCCACATCCTGCAAACCGTACTCAATGATCTCCAAGTTGGGCTGCTTCAGAAGCTCCGGCTCAAACTCCCATATAGCTGCGCTCATGCTGAACTCAAACAATTACAGCGTTCAGCTTTACAATATACAACGGCGAGGTGCAAAAAGGCAATAAAATAAAGCCAGAGAGATTTGTCGCTGAATCTCCCTTAAAACGGGGCTCGTAAAAGGCGAAGGGGGATTGATATGGTCAAGGCTAATGGTTAAGTCATGGTCCGAACGATTTACTTTTTACGGGAAAACAGTCATAACTGCATGGGTTTGCAAACAAAGCCGACAAAGTCGACTTGAGATGTTATAGTAGACATTAGATGAGTCAAATTTTATAAATCCCAAATTTGATGACATAAAAATAAAAAGTAATGGGATTTAGAGGGTCTGTGTTAATATTTGCACTAACACGGAGATACGGAAGAAAAAACGCCTCGGGAAATGTTGTCCCAACAGATGATTAAGAGATAAACATCGGGCGAAACGAGAGAAATCGAATTCTGACTGACTTCGATAAAAATATAGACATACACATAAAGCAGAGGGCTAATTGTGAAAAAATTAGAAGCGTCGGGACATCTGGATTAAGTATTTGGTAATTTGAGAAATTTGAGAAATTTTGGAGGTCAAAGTTGACTAAAAATGTAGCATATAAAAAATCTGAAAAATCTCTGTATAACGAACCGAAAAGAGCAGTTTTTTTAGTAGAAATGCTCAAGTTGCGACTTTCAAATGTTGATCAAACATAGCAAAAATTTAGACTAGAGTTTTCGAAAACATAGAGCATCGTTTTTCATCTTGCCGTTTGTAGAAGCTATCGAGAAATTTAGGGCAAAAAAACCCTGACTGTCAAAAATTTTTTGCAAAAAAATAGTCATTCTACATAGGTTACGGAAAAACGATTCTATAAAATACAAAATATTGCTTTGTAAAGTCGCAGTGACATCAGAAAATTATAGTTTTTCTGACCCTCTCTCTCCATTTTCTACAGTTTCTCGGCAGAAAAAAATGTTGAATATCTCGGCTGTAACTGCAAAGCGCAAGCTAAAATTTTTGGAGATTATTATGTTGCCTAGGTAGACCAAGTGTGCTAAATTTAAAAAAAATCGACAAGTCGCACTTTGAGTAATTCAATTGCTTACTGTGAGTCCATTTACAATTCTTGCAATTTTTGAAACTAACCCCAATCCCCTCAATTACCCATATAACCCGATTTACTGCGATTCCCGACGCGATCTATGACTCTACCGATCCCCGAGCCTTATACGATCCCAATTAGGAAGCCATGAAAACTCTCTAAAACAAGGTCGGACGTAAAGTAACCCGAGGTTTCTAATAAAACAATTTAGGCGTGAAACAGGCTTATAAAGTTTAATGACGCTAATTTGACCCTTCTTCTGGGTACCGGCAAACAGAAGAGGGGAAGTATAACATCACATAACTAAAGAAATATAATGGCAATTTTGTGAGGAAAAACAATTTTTTTGAGTATAGAAATGTAGTTTAAGGTAATGAAAGTTGTAAAACTTGCGGGGAAAATCAAAAATCCATTTAAAAAGTATAATAAAGCTCGTTATAAAATTTCGCCTGAGGCCAAGTTTTCGAAAACGAAAGTTTTTTTGATTTTGTGGACGCTTCAGTTCCCATATGGTCGGAATTATATAATGTGATATCAGTTTAAACTGCACGTGTTCGGAGTTTCCGGGAGTTTGGCCAAAAAGATGGCCAGGGAATGGGCCAAAAAAACCAAAAAAATGAATATTATAAAATTTATCAAAAATTAAGATTACAATTTTTTTACAAGGTTCAGAAACCTTTAGCTTAGGATCTGTAACAATTGCTGATATTTTTAGGTCAAAAATTCTGGAATAATTTGAAATTTTTTAAATTTTTTGGTTTTAAAGAATTCATTTTTCTTACTAAGGAGTAGCATAACATCCTCACAAAAAATCAACTCTTTCCTAGCGAAATTCGCAAAGAAATGAGCGAAAAACGGCATACCTCTGACCGACGCTCCTCATTTTGCATGCTCTCTCGAAAAAAACTTTAATATCTCTGTAGCGCTTGCAAAGTAAAAGCTCAAATTTTCTGGGGTTGATATAAGGGCTATTTAGGGCATCTATAAAAAATATGAATAGTCGCGCGGGCCCCTTAGGGAAAAAATTTCAAAAAACGCAAAAAAAAATTTTCCAAAATTTTCAAAATTTGCCGAGCGAAAATTAATTTTTCTTCCAGAAAATCATCCTTATACAGGAATAATTAAAATAAAGCTAATTTTGCAACCAGTTCCCTCAAATTTGATTACCATTTCCCTCCTGTTTTGCAACGAGTAATTAAAAACACGTTGCTCCAAATAAACATCGCCTTCCTCCTTGCGAAAAACATAATAAGCCCAAATGCAAACGAAATTTGAAGCAAAGAACCAGTGTTAAAAAAAGACTGGCCAAGCCCGTCTCGACTTTCGTTTTCCCGCAGAAAACGTTTAGCGAGAAAAACCACTTGATCTGCTATGTTGAGGACACTCAAATGTCCACAAAAACAATTCGTTACAAACCGCTGAGAGGAGGTGGAGGGTTTTGTTACTCTTTGCTCAAGGGTACGTAGTTGAAAGAAGGGTACTGGGCCAGAAAAAATGATTTTTTTGTAATTTTTATGAACCTTTATAAAGCTAAAGTTATTTTAAACGGCTGAAAAATCAGCCTGCAGCAATAATTTTACGTCTCCATCTATCAAATCCCGAAACCACCGAACTGACCCTTTTTCCAAAATTTTTTTTCATGCTTTCTGTGTAATTTTTTTTGGAGTTTTTTGGAAGAAGTTGGAGAGAAAAACAATCGTAATAAGCAGAGCAGAAAGAAGTTGGGGAAAAAGTAATTAAAAAAATTTTTTTGGGAAAATAATAAAAAATTTTTTTTTAATTAAAGAAAAAATATTTTTTATTGCAAAAAAATTACTAAAAATATTTTTTTCGGAAGAAAAATTCCAAAAAATCAAAAAAAATTAAAAATTTTTAAAAAATTTTTAGTCATCAAAACTGCAAAAAAAAATTTTTTCCCTCCTAAAATTTCGTCTCACACCTCTGTATGTTACGCTTCAGATTTTCCAAAAAAAGTATGCCGATCCCATGAATCCCACAAATTAGTCGTCAAACTCGACCCCATAAACATTCCCTCAGCCGCATTTAATGGCGCTGTTTACCCTAATTTCTTCCCCCAGTCCAGTTTTTCAGCCATCTGGCACAGCTGCCTTTAACGGACGCGACTTCATCAATCATCAGCCTCCAGGGGTTTTACGGGAGAGAATGAAGGAAATGCGACAAGGTCTTTTTTCGTAAATTTTAATGCTGTGATTGAGTGAGGTGAGAGAGTAAAATAAAATACTGTGAATTTGAAAAAATCTCCTGTAATTTTTGAATCCAAAATCGATGGGCCGTATAGGCTTTTTTCGACCGAAATTGATGATGTTTTAAAAATTTATGAGCTTCGATTTTGAAGAAAATTAGCTCAAATCGATCCTGGGACCTTCTATGATATAGATTTTAGCCTGCGGCTGCAGAATGAATCAAAATTTTTACTTTGAAAATCTACCTAAATTCAATTTTTTTAAAATTTTTAGAAGTATTTTTTTGAATTATGTATAAATTAACTATGGTTCACATACCAAAATGACTCGTATTTTAAAAATTTCTTCATTTCCCAACATTTTTAAAAACACATTTTCTCCACTCAAACACCCAAAAATCTCATGCCGAGTTATTCCAAGGATTGCGCAAAGAAATTTTCAGAGAGAAAATTCTTGACGGGATAAAAGGGTTAGAAACGCTTTATGCCGTTATAAAGCGTGTTAATCCCCTTGCGCCCGGAAATGGAATCAAAAATTCGCAAAATTTACGTCGGATCCGACATCAACGCGGTCGGAGAGAGCAATTTATGAAGCATGGGGAAGAGATTAGTAGTATCCAAAAATAGGGGGTACATTGAAAAACAATCTATTTTGTATACTTTCTATTTTTGGATTGGCAGGTTTATAATGCCGGAAAAGAGAAAGTTATGAGCTTTATGCAAAGGTGGGGAAAAAGGTAGTGTTTGAATGAGAAAAATGGGATTATCAGGAGCATAGTAATCCGATTTTAAGTGAAATAGCAGGTGGTTAAAATACTTGAGACGCCTTAAGAAAGTAAGTCTCGCAAAACTTTCGCTTTTAAACAGGCTTATAAAAACTTGTTTGATAAGAATGATGTCTATTTTATACAAGTACGGTTACTCAAAGTGCGATTCCCCAATTTCTTGGAATCTCTGTAGAATCAATCTTCATTGACATTTTCTTAATTTTGAAAAACTCTACATCGCTTTTTTGCAAGTACGGCCAAGATACTCACATCAGCGATTCATAAAGACAAAAAATCATGGAGAATCAGGAGAAATGAAGAAATAAGATCTTCACCCGCGAATTTCTGAAAATTGCTTCCAAATAATTGATTATTCTTGGGTAACTTCAAACAAAAATTCAACTCAAAGTTCATCTCAAAACAATGCATAGTTTCAGACGAATTTCGGCTCAAAAAACCTTGGTGATTTCTACAGGAAGTGGTCTAAAAATCTCCGGAAAAATTGTACTGGATTTTTTCCTTGCCTCTCAAGTCATGATGAGCTCTCGTCAACGTCCTAGCGTCGCTTCAACACCTACGATCTTGCCGAAAATGGTCATCAAAACACTAAATAATTTTTACAGCCAACATTATCATCAAAGATACTCTGCTTTCCATAGTATAACGTGAATATTTCATACTGATCTCTTTGAAGCATACATAAAGCTCTCCCAAAACTTGTAAAAAACCCCAAGAAAACACCACTCCGCCTCCCAAAAGTAGCTGACAATCAGCCGCAAGTCGCAAACTTTCTTCGTTGATTGACATTCCCTTCGCTATAAAGATTTTACTATGGGAACTTTTACTGCTTTATCCAATATCCCCAAGAAAAAAACTTTTTTTTATATCCCATAGGTGCGTGGAAAGAAAGGAAAAAGGCTATGGTAATTAACTAGATCATTAAAAGGAGAATCCGAAGAAAACAAAAAATGGAAGGAAAGGATGCGGTTGTAAAAAGTTTCGAGGCTTTATACCGGGATGATGAGGAGATCAGAGGGCTCATATACGGGTATTACGAAGGTGATCAAAGAAGTTGGGAAGGGTAAAATACGAATGGGAAAGACACTTGTCTCAAAGGAGGTGTTTGTGTTGCAAGACTAACAATAAGATCTTGATGAAAAATGGAAAAAAATGATTTTGATTTTTCCAAGACATATTCATTTTTGTTCATGTGTCAATATCTTCAAGGCCATAAAGTAAGAAACTCCCTGCATTCCGCGATTTCTATATTTATCTATCAGATATTGGTTACAAAAAAGGAGTCTCTAATTTACGTTCGGAATACAGTATTCTCTGGACAAAAGAAAAACGTTTTTTTTTCTCTGGCCCTCTCTCATAATTTTCAATTTTATGTCACTTGCAAATTTAGTTCAGTATTCGGGCTGATAATAGAAACCAAGAGCTCAATTTTGGAGGAATTATACTACGTGATCCAGACACAGCAAAGTTTCAGGAAATCCAAGCATTTCATGCATCTCGCTGAAGACGTACCCATAGACGATATACTAAAAATCTATAGATAAACTATATATTTCTCTTCCTGAATTCCGAAAGCCGTAAAACAGGCTCCTTAGAACAATACCCCCCATAAAGTTAGCCAATCCAGTAAAAATCTAATTTTGGCTTCCTTGCCCTTCGCAATCCGTTGGCTTATATAGTTAGCTAGTATATCATAACGTAAAAGCCCTGAATATATCGCCACCAAACTCCTACTTTCTTCCACTTTTCTCGTCCAAACTCCTTCTGGAAACCTACCTTTACCTCCATTTTTTTTGCCATTCAAATCCATCACACTAACTGCCTCATCCTGTTGTTTCCGCTTTTGCTTCGCCAACAATCGCTCCATATTATCACAAGAGTTGGCGCGCTGAACTTCCTTAATCTCAGCCAAACGACCTTTGCCCGGCTTCGCTCTGATCGGCTTCAGCGATAGCGTTGAGCCGAATTGATCGGTCTGATATCGGGGCAGACTTTTCGCGGGCTTGTTGTAGATGAATGGGTCCTTACACAGCGCCTTATTCGAATATGAGTGTTTGTTGAGGCGAGAGCAGCTGGATCGGGCTAGCCCGTTGCATTGACGAGCTAGTCCAGGCGAATTAGAGGCTGGAGCAGAGGGTTGCTGGATGAGGCTTACGGTAGAGTCAGCGAGGGCTGGGTTTTGATAGGCTAGTCGGGACTTTCTCGGATTTAGACGAGAAAGAGTTGAAGCAAACCCGGATTTTGAAAGATTTATCGATGATTTGGCTAGCCCGGAGGAATAGGCCAATTCAGATGACGATTTGGCCAGTCCTGAGGATCTAGCAAGAGTTGCGGAGGATTTTGCCAAATTTTTGGATGACTTGGCAAAACCAGTAGATTTGGCTGAATCAGCAACCAAGTCAGCATCCATAGGCCTTCTAGCCAACTTGCTCGTCGGCTTAGTCAATGTTCTGGTAGAGTAGGCTAGTCCTGACGACAGACTAGACCGTCTCTCACCATCTTCGTATCTTCCATCACGTCTGGCTAGTCCATTCGTAGAGCTTGAATATTGGCTATATCTGGAGTCGTTGAGGTCCCTGGTTGAAGAATAGAGATGATGATAATGTTTGGGCCTCAAGGTCGCCGATCCTTGGCCCTTAACCAGCTCCAATGTCGAGTTGTACCACTTTTTGTCGCGATCAAAGTCCAGTAGCGACGTCCGCGAACTCATGGATCCAAACGATAGCAAAGAACCCCGCTCCATCGTTGAATGCATCGATGAATTAGTAGAATAGTTCTTCGGCCGGCCGTAGGCCAACCCCTGATCGGCTGACGCACAGTGCCGCTGCATAATCAGTAAAATGGAGAGCGAAAACAACGAACGGAAAAAACGCCTTCGGATAAATCCCTTTAGGCATTCGCAGATCGAGAAAGACCAGTTCTCTCGCTCCGCATCGACTCTTATCAAATCAAGGCGCGGATAAGGATTATTCTGTGGGAACGGGTGTTGTCGTTGTGCGAGAAGGGCCCGTTACGCAACTATGTGGGGATAGGGATTAGTAGGAGCTGACGATTTGAGGGAGGATGACTTAAGATAAAAATTTAAAGAACTAAGCCAATTTCGAAGCCGGATTTGATTTTGTCGAAGGTCTTTTTAACTCGCCGGCCGACGCGCGATTTTCAGCCCGGCCCGGATCTATTGTCATCTCTAGCCGAGGCCAAGATGCTCTAGAGTTCAAGGAGACTGGAGATAGTGAAAAATAAGGAGAGATGCCAAGAGAAAAAAGACAAAATATTAGGCTTAAAAGTATTTAGAAGTTAGAAGTAAGAGACATTTTTCTGGGACGAAAGTTGGTCTTCTTTGGCGCTTCATAAAAACCGCTACGATAAGCCTGACCATACGAAGAATATATCAGTAGATAGCGTTTTCAACATTCTTTCAGGTAATATTAACAAAGGTATCAAAACTTTAATTCTACAAGTAAAAATTGCCCAAAGAACGGCACGGTCATATTATACTTATAAGCCTAATATGTACGTTTCCTCAGCTCTCAGATCCTATTCAAAAAACTTTATTGGCATTATCTTTTGAAACACTTCGTATTTTACCAATAAATCCCGTAATGAAAAACTGAACCAACCTCTGATTGTCCCCAACATGTAAGTGCTCTCTCCTCTTCCCATCGTCATATTGTCCATCAATTTATTCTTCCGTTTCTTCAATGTAAACCGATCCAGCGTTGCTGATCCACTCTGCATCAGTCGTTGAGTCCGTCGAGTCAACGTCGAGAATCCATTGCTGATTGGCCTTCTCGGTAATGTGGAAGATTCTATTGGAGGTGGCGGAACTCTGCAGCCAGAGTCCAATCTGAACGAGGGAAGAGAAGGGGTGATAAAACGGGAGGCCTGAAAAGAACAATGTAAAGGGCTTGTAAAGAGAAGAAGTATAATGTTGAATTGATGAAGAGTGAAGATATAAAAAAGAAGTGTTATAGAGTCTCTAGAGTGTTGATATCAGATAATGCGTAGCAAGTTCCAAAAGGGGGGTTTTCCAGAGCTTTTTTGATCCACAAGAGTGGATGTTAGACCTTATAAGCCTTCATAAAAAACTCCATTACAATGAATTTTCTGATTTCCTGCGATTCGTTGTACAGAAGCTTTAGGCTTATGTTGTTACATAATTAACTTTTTGTAGAAAGTCATAAATTGGACCGCAAAAATCATTATGTTCCTGAAGGCAGGCAAAGATTTTCTTTTCTAATATTTTGGACTCTATAAGCTAATGAATTGCTGAACTCCTTTAGCAAAGTCATCTGAGATATTCAACAATCAACGAAGACGAGAGAATATGGAAAATGAAGAGAGGTGGTCGGAGAAAAAAATAGTTTCCGGGGATTTTACATACAACCAAAACATTGTACAACAAATCAAAATTCACCGAAAAATTGCATTTGTTTTAGAAAGATTTCGCTTTACAACGGCTTGTTTTGGTGAAACATTTATCTGTTGGCCTTGTTTTCGTTATAAAGCGGTTTCATTATACGGGAGTTTTTGCGCATTGTGCAAACCTATATCAAGTACAAGGAGGCGTTTCAGATGACGTAAAAATATTAGCGCGGTAAAAGACAATATCTTTTTTAAAAGGTTTTTAAAAGACAAGAGAAAATGTATGCAGTGTTAACTTGTAATAATTGGCATTCAGGGTAAAATACGACCATCGTCTCTGTCTTTGTATGTATAAAGAGACAGGTTCAAAAAAATCCGCACTCACCTCCGGGTCCCTATAACAAACAAACGTCAAGTCGTCGCTTCGGAATACACAATATCCATTTTGCCATGGGATTTCCTTTGGGATATATCCGTTGAACGGGCATGCTACAAAACATCGGTTACAAAATTCGATAAAATTTGAGAAATTTCATTGAAATCGAAGCCAATTTTCTTACTGTAAAATTGCAGCCATCCTTCGTATTTCACTCCACATTTATCGTATATATTGTCTTCATTATAGCCATGACGCAACATTTATAAAAACGTTGGTATGTGCAGGTTTATCTGAAAATTTTTTAGCTAAAATTTGAGCTCAGGGATTGGCAAAAAATATAAAAATCAAATTCAAAAATTGCAAAAAATGTCAAAAATAAAAAAACAAACAATTAATCAAAAATATATCAATCAGAATCGCAGAATCGAACGCATGAATCAAAAACAAACGTTTTTTAATTTTTTTGTCATCCTAATCCAATGGAAACGAATGAAATCACCCCTTTCCAATTACATATCGTTTATAGACTCGTGAAAAAGGATTAAAATTATAAACGGTTTTAAATCAGGTAACGTGTAATTAACAAAAATTTTACTGAGTATTGAAGCTTATAATTGTTGGTAAACAAAGTGGCATATTGTAAAAATTGAAAGGAAAATAGTAACAGCGAAAAAATTGTAAAATGTTAAAAATAACGTCATTTTTAATTAATAGGTATTTTTAGAGGGGTGTAAAATGTCAGATATCTTTTAAATTTTGGCTGTGTAATATATCTAGACCCCTTATCAGCTGGTGCAAATCTTAACTTTTGCTTTGTAGTGGCAGCCGAGATACTCAGTGATTTTTGTAGACATGGTGGAAAATTAGGAGAGACGGACAGAGAAAAAAGTTTTTCGGCGATAGATTAGTGAAATTCTTTTGATATTTTGTGAAATAAAATATCGAATGCTCGTCTAAATTTTTATCAAAATCTGTGTGTTTCAGTAAACACGTGTACTCTGTAAAAAAAGAATAATTTTGTTAGCCCAGCCCAGTTTCACACAGCTTGAGCCGAAATCTTTAAAACACGTTTATTGTAGATATATGTACCTCTGATATTGCAAATATTATTGTAAATATACGTATCTACGAACCAAAATTACAATTTGATTACACACACCTCCCCAAGCTACACGATCCAGATCACTCACTACCTGCCCAACACCCGAACCCTCACCCAGCCGACTCTCCAAATAAAAAAAAAAAGTCGCAAGCGCAGGCCTCGCTACAGTGGCTAAAAACAAAACCCGTGAAATCCAAAACCGCGGTGTTGCGGGGAAATAAAAATACGAGCCGGGCTCTGTTTTGCGGTCATTTTCACTCGAGAAATCCCGCCGCAAGAGGCGTTGCAAGAGGGGCCCGCGCGCGCACGAACACAATTCTCGTTTCAAGTGGCCCCAGGGGCGGAATGGACAGGTGAATGGGGGAAAGGAAGGGGGGAATAAAAGGAATGGCAACTAATAGTGCCACCTGCGCGAAAAAATAAAGCCGCCGGGTAGGGTGGACAAGGAGAGGCAAATTGGGAAATTCAAGGGGTTTTGGGCGATTTGAAAGGAAAGAGCCCTCGGGACATGAAATGAAGAGAGCGGAGGGGAAATTGGTGGGTTTGTAATAATAAAATTATTGGGTAGTAGGGAATTAATTTTGGAAGAGAAGAAAAAATAAAGGGGATGTTGCAATAACCGAAAATTGCATCCTGGAAAAGATTGGCACGGAAAAAATATAAAAAATTTTAAAAAAATATATATTTATGAGCAAAAAAGGACCTAGAAAGAAAGATGGTGAAATTTTGACATCATTTCCTAAGGTAAATGTCATATTTTTGGCCACGGTTCGGTTGAAATTACAGCTACTTTTGACTTTTCTCTGGTTGTCTCTCATCATTTACCACAGTCTATAAAAATCGTTGAAAATTTCGGCAATCTCTGCAAAGCATCAGTTAAAATTTTTTACCTAAAGATAGCTTATAATCCGGCATGCACCTTAGAAGTTCATTACAATACACATTACACTTGCAAAATTTGTAAAAAATTTCATCAAAAAATCGCTAAAACCCCTTCAAATGTAAAACAAAATCATTTCCGCCATTCTTCCAAGAAATAGACAATTCGAGTTTTTTCGAACCAAAAAATTATTCGTTTGACCCCTATATTATACTTTAAACTTGTTACGAGACAAAAAAAAACTCAGAAAAAAACCGTTTGTTTACTCAACTCTTCCCTTTTCTGAGTATAATTTGAACCGCAAAAAGAAGAGGAATCGAAGAGATCGTCAAGAAATGGGATGGTAATTTGTAACCATTCGCGATTAATTTGCAATAAAACCACTAATAAGAGCGAATAATTAACGCAAATTGGTAATGGGCTTAGTGGTTTGAGGGGAACTTGATTCGTAAATGAATAGGATTGGAGTTCGGGAAAATAAATAGCAACCGTAAAATTGCAACAAGTTTTCGCAAAAAAATCTCAAATTATAATTGATGATCAATGTCTCAAAAAAGAACGCTCAAATTTTGATCTAACTTGGAGCTAGTGGAGATTACGGGTTTCTATGTCTTCTATGGTATATCAGAATATGTTAGCCCTTATTTAAGCTGCTATAATAAACAGAAAAAGATCCCCAAGAGCCTTTGAAAATACATGGCACAGATCTGGATTAATTTTATCTAGGATATGTGTAAGACACCTAGCTGAGAATTATATAGAATTTACGGTAATGACCGAGACTTTTAGCTCAAAACTTGGCAAAAAATTTACGGTTTTTAACAAACTTTGTCATGAAAAAATTCATGCCCTTTACTACCAGCTAATGTTTTCCAAAAAAGATAATTTTTTTCCGCAAAGCTATGGCCAAGAATTTTTTTACCGCTCTCCACGTTTAGCGTGCTCTCTCGGCGGCAAAGAACGTTCAATATCTCTTCGGCGCCTGCAAAGTGCGAGCTAAAACTTTCTGGAATTCATATGTGATCTATGCCCGGTGAATGTGCAAAATATAAAGCTAATCTGAGCGTAGCACTTAGAGTGATTACCTTGTAAAAATAAATTTTTATATTTTTTCTACAATTTTATAGCCAGCCTTGAAAATGATGGCAAATGATGTCTTGATCCCCTTGGCAACCTACAACTCAATTCACACCCTCTCAGATCCCTCGTAAATTCCCATTCCCCAAGAACACCTTCTTTCTCCCAGCTTTTCAAAAAACAACCGTGCCCATTACTCGCGTGGGAGCCCTGAAGTCATAATGCATACGTATTACCTTTCGTCCACTCCTTTTTCTTCCCAGGGACCGGTCATCGCGGATCCGGAAAGCGCTTCAGGCGAGGGAAAAAGACATTTCGGATTCCATAATCATGTTTTAGCAATTACATCCTCATTAACGCCACCATTATTTTTAATTCATAACTCTCTATGACGATAGTATTTCGCTACCAAAAAAATGAAAATATCACTATCAAAATTATAAAAATAAATTTGGCAATCTTATGCCCTAAGGATATGAAGGGATTTCTTTCGTTTCAAGCCACAAATTTCGAATAAGAAATAAAAAAAAAGTTTTCTTTGTTTGTAACTTCCATTACTTTATGGCTAAAATATGGCGTTAAAGGGGGATTCGAAAAAGATTTCGGTAGAAAAGAGTTTGAATATTTTGAAAATGAGTAATGTAAAAAGAGGGAACGGGGTCAAAGAGCCGGGTTATATGAAGGGTGTGGTAAATCGAAGGGCTTAAAGGGGGTTTAGAGAAAATTATAGAAGGAAAATATACATGTTTAAATTGTAATGAAAAAAGACTACTTAAAGTACGCGCGACGCCATAACTAGGGATACACTTGGCCAATTATAAAATAATTCCCGCCGGCACCCAAAGCAAATTTGAAATTATTCGTGTGTACGGTAGAAAAATATTTTTTGTTGGAGGACGAGACATTTTCTTGTTTTGTTGATAGTACTGCAAGGTATTTGGTAAGTCAAGTGTGTGTATTTTGTTTGATTTTGTTGATTTTTGTGTAATAAAGATATAACTTTGTCCATTTATTGTTTATGTGCCGCATTACGGTTTCAAGGCCGAATTATTACCTTTCTGGCGGCTCCGGTTTTAGCTATCGCAACACGGAAGATAATCTCTGCCCAATCGTTGGTCCGGAACAAAGAGGTATGTTGTTTTTGCTAATTTTGAGGTGTGTTTTTGGTTTTAGAACAAAAAGTTACCTGTTTTTCTCTGAAATCTTTGGGAGAATCACTTTTCGGTCAATAAGGGCCTAATTTTTTGTTGTTTTTAATACTAAGGGTGCTTTTCAGTGGATTTCACTGTACCAACCAATGAAGAACAGCATGGTTAACACAGAGAAGGATGGCCCACTGGCAGATGAGGCGTCAGAAAGAAAGGAGAAGGCCCTCAAAACATGCGAAACTAATGGAATAGCCATTGTGAACAAAGGAAATGCCATCAAAAAACTGGAATGGGTATTCGCGGTCATAGATCCGCAATATCAGGATAATATCAAATTATGTAAATGTATATCTGAATTTCATTTATCGTAATGAACTTGAATGCTCTCTTGGTTTAATTAATTGTCCTTTGATGGTTTACGACGAACAGGTCTCTTGTTCTAACGCTGATTTTCTGGGACGTGTTAGTTTCCTTTACCTCATTTTGGCCGCCGATGTTTTACGTTTGGCAGTATTGGATTATAAGTCAAATAAGAGGTGTTTCCAAAAATTTTTTGTGTTCACAAAGATAACACGTCAAGCTACTGGAAATCAAGATTAAAACTTTCAATTCATTTAAATCAACGTGTTTATAACAAAAATAGAACAAATAACAACAAATTTACTGTTTTTCAGTCTCAATATTAAAAATAAAATTGGAGCCAAATACATTTTCCATCTTATCCATGTTAAAAATGTCGTCCACCGAATTCCCCATTTCTGTATCATTAACCAGCGTTTTACAGCCTACATCACTTTTCCTTTTTTCACAATGGCTATTCTATTAGTTTCGCATGTTTTGAGGGCCTTCTCCTTTCTTTCTGACGCCTCATCTGCCAGTGGACCATCCTTCTCTGTGTTAACCATGCTGTTCTTCGTTGGTTGGTACAGTGAAATCCACTGAAAAGCACCCTTAGTATTAAAAACAACAAAAAATTAGGCCCTTATTGACCGAAAAGTGATTCTCCCAAAGATTTCAGAGAAAAACAGGTAACTTTTTGTTCTAAAACCAAAA